TCCAGTAAAATATCTAATAAGTTAAACCCCCTGTAAACCTCTTCAATAATAAGGTTTATGCCCCTGTGTATCCAGTAAAATATCTAATAAGATAAACCCCCTGTAAACCTCTTCAATAATAAGGTTTATGCCCCTGTGTATCCAGTAAAATATTAAACCCCCTGTAAATCCCTTCAATAATAAGGTTTATGCCCCTGTGTATCCAGTAAAATATCTAATAAGATAAACCCCCTGTAAACCTCTTCAATAATAAGGTTTATGCCCCTGTGTATCCAGTAAAATATTAAACCCTTTTGAACAATAAAGGTTGCGCCCCTGTATCCATTGATGAGGAAACTATTCCAATTCATACATCTGATAAATGATCTGATAAATGATTGTCTAGATTGTGTGGAAAAAAATACAAATATTTCAATTTTCACAGTATCCCAGCAGGCTGACTAGAACTTGAACTAAACTCAGAATATTTGCTAAAATAAAACAGTTTAAAAATTGATTTAACGACTGCAACACATTTTTGAGGGAAACCTGCATCCGGAGGAGGTGGTGGAGGGAGAGAGGGAGCTGGTTGGAATACCTAAGCGTTAAGTGTTTCTGCTAATTTGCATAAAATTAGAATGGCGAAATGACATTTCTTTTTTTACAGGTATATGGTCCGAAAAGTCTGAAAAGATCGTCGTCATATTACAAAATGTAATTGATGATTATTCTCGTCTGCAAATTTGCAGAAATTAATTTAAAAAATTAAGGATTTTTTTCATGATAGATTTTTTTTACAAGTTCAGTATCTTTATAAACGGTAAATGCTAGCAAAATCTACAATTACCAGGCAGGCCCTCAATCCTTCTCAGAATAGGATAATTACCAGGCAGGCCCTCAATCCTTTTCAGAATAGGATAATTACCAGGCAGGCCCTCGATCCTTCTCAGAATAGCATAATTACCAGGCAGGCCCTCGATCCTTCTCGAATAGAATAAGGAACTGATGACCTGTTTGAAACCAAATGTCGTGAACCTTTGACTTTCTGAACTATGAATTCTGTCAAATCTAATAGTCAAAGGCTTAAATATAAAAAGTTTACAGGTTTACAAAATATAGTGAATAGAAAATTAGAATTTGATGAAGAAGTTGTCATGATTCCGTTTTACAATGTTAACCATAAAACTATAGAATAGGAAGACGATGCTTAAAGCAATCTTTTCTGTATTTGATATCGTTTTAAAGCAAATAGTTTTACCAATACCTTGAAAATTTGCTTCTGAAGTGAAATGTGAATGACACTTCACAATTCCTGTTTTTAATTTTCATTAAACTATTTGATATCATTACTTGAGTCTAGTAATAGTTGCATTCCTATTCCAGAGTTGTATGGCTTTTACTGAAGTAAAACCGTTGTTGTGATGTTGGCTACTGATGCTATTGGTTAAGCTAGGAAAGTGTTTATATTTCTATTTTCTACAAGATAAAAATACAATTTTCCCATGGCTTCTAAGATATAAGAAAATAAAAGATGTGACAGCAACAATAAGCGAACTATAATGATGTAACTATGAGGTACTAGAAAGGACTGGCAGGAAAGAATTGTCCATCGTTTTTGAGGTAAAACCGTTTTCCGTTTGCGTTTTGAAAATTTGTTTTGTTTTATAATTTTGATCAGAGTAAAAACTTTGCTTTGTGAAAAAAGCAAACTTGTCTATCATGCAATTATAAAACAGGATTGTGAAGTCTATAAACTGAAAACGATGGACAAGGACAGGACGTTAGGTCAAAATGCGTCAGAAAAGACAAAATTCATCTTTAAAATGGCCGACCATGAGGTCCGAAAAAAAACTTGAAATTTCGATACCTGATCTCTGATGGGTACAGTCTGATAACCATCTGGGAACCACGCAATAACTGAAGACTTATGGTACGGGCATAGCCGGGTACTTCTCCTGGAATAGTATAAAGAGAGGTGGGAGATGTGGGAATGAAAGTGTGGATAACTACGGAACTGGGGATATAAAGATGTAAATGGGATTCCGGTTGGACCAAGATCACATTTCTCAGTGTCCAGAACACAAAGGGTAGATTGACATCAGATTTCCAGACCAGCTTTAATTCTTCTTTTCAGATCTAGCAAACTTTATACTTGTTTATACAATTCTATTCGTGGGACATTTATCTTCTTTACTTCATCTTCTCCTATTTTCTTTTTTCTTTATTCTCCATTTCTTTTGTAATTTTTAATTTTCTTTCCCTATTTTTCTTGTCTTCCTTTCTGTTCGCTTTCTTTCCTTCTTTTTCGCTTTCTTTCCTTCCTGTTCGCTTTCTTTCTTTCCTGTTCGCTTTCTTCACTTCCTGTTCACTTTCTTTACTTCCTGTTCGCTTCCTTTCCTTCCTGTTCGCTATCTTTCTTTCCTGTTCGCTTTCTTTCTTTCTTGTTCTCTTTCTTTCCTTCCTGTTCGCTTTCTTTCCTTTCTGTTCGCTTTCTTTCCTTTCTGTTCGCTTTCTTTCCTTCCTTTTAGCTTTCTTTCCTTCCTGTTCGCTTTCTTTGCTTCCTGTTCGCTTTCTTTCCTTCATGTTCGCTTTCTTTACTTCCGGTGCGCTTTCTTTCCTTCCTGTTCGCTTTCTTTCCTTTCTGTATGCTTTCTTTCCTTTCTGTTCGCTTGCTTTCCTTTCATTTCGCTTTCTTTCCTTTCTGTTCGCTTTCTTTCCTTCCTGTTCGCTTTCTTTACTTCCGGTGCGCTTCCTTTACTTCCTGTTCGCTTTCTTTACTTCCTGTTCGTATTCTTTACTTCTTGTTCCCTTTCTTTACTTCCTGTTCGCTATTTTAAACAGTTATTTTCCAATGTCTTTTCATTATTCTGTCTTAATTAAAATGTATGCACTTGCCTGTCATCGGTTTGTATGGTTGTCTTGGCCCCTAAGTCTCATTTTTAAACATGAAAAAACAAAGACCCATGTCTAAACGGTTAATCTCTGATGAATAAGCTACACGTGTTATATTGTAAAACCTTTAGTTAAGACAAATCTCTCCAGGTATTACGTTTGACTGTACAATTGCTTTGTCTCAAGTTTATTAAAGTCATAACTTTAGCCTAAAAGACGTCTTCATATTCCAGAGTTTTCTGGTTATCGCTGTACTTACTTATTATTTTTACACAACTTTTTTCACTATCTGGCCATTGCTATACTTTTACCAAACATTATTACTTTTAAAATTCGGTGATGGTGATGGACCAAACCTCTGTCTGTAGAGTAAAAAAAGTAGATGTTAGGTCCACATTTATCGAAAATTTCACCAGATCCAATACGTTTTTCACAATCTTACCCGTTTTTTCATTATCCATTTTGTTACCTCATGTTTCCTTAATTTGCATCTTATATTTGTTTCCAGATTTTTATGCTTTCAATTGCATGAATTTTTTAACACAAACACTCTTTTCTAGTTACATTTTATATCCTTCTTTTCTAAATCATTTTTCTAGTTTAAATTTTTATCCTTCTTTTCAATATTTTTTAGTTTCATTTTCATCCTTCTTTTCTAAATCTTCAGCAGTACTTCATTTTTTATCCCTCTTTCCTAAATTTCTAGTTTCCTAAATCCTATAGTTTCATTTTTTATCCCTTACTCTAAATCTTTTACAATTTCAAGTTTCATTTTTAGACTTTTTATTTTTTCCTTTCTTCTCTTTAATGATATTGTTTAAAAGATATTTACAAAGTACGACGACCTGTCCTTTGTCTGGGAACAGAGTAGATCGATAGCTACGCCCCAGGCCGCACCGTAAATCCAACATGGCCTGCTCTCGGGGCTGTGTTGCCGTGCGGTGCGGCGAGAAACTGTATTAGAAGTACAACGAGAATAATTTAGAAATTTTTAAAGTGTTATATCAGCATTTATTTGAAAATTATCGAATCCACGGTGTGATAAATCAGTTATTCCAACAAAATGAGTTGTTTTCTTGTTCTGGGGCTAAAAAAGTTTTACTGTTTCAGCTGAATTCTGTGTGGGTCAAAGAACTTTTCTCCCCGGTATTGTTTTAATTGGCTCACGTGGAAAATTATGAAAAAGTGTGATTTTCATTAAGTTATAGGTCCTAATACAAAATTCCTTTTATTTCTACCAATAATTTTATTTTGAACATCGTAATTTTTGTGAAAAAGTACTTAAAGCAAAGTTTGGTAATTTCCTAGAGTGGGGGGGAGGGGAGGGTTCAAATCTTAACATTCTCTAGTTTTGGTAGGGTCCGTCTTATTGAACGATTTTTGGACCCCCCCCCATCCCCCCTCCCTCCTATCAATTTTGTTCATGACGAAATTAGTATTTATTTACTATTATTTAGGGTTAGGTTAGGTTAAGACGTTTTCTGGGCCGAGCGCTGCGGCCACGGGGTAGGCTACTTAAGACACTTTCTGGGCCGAGCGCTGCGGCTAGGACAGGCTAGGGGGCCGAGCGCTGCGGCCACATGGTCAATTATATCCATGTCCAACTTATAAGATCCATGTACAAAATTGATAGGAGGGGGGGGGGGGGGGCAAAAAAACGTTCTCTAGGAAAAAACAAATTTCCCAGTATACGATTCTTTGACCCCACCCCCCTTTTGTATCAATTTTGTACATGTATCTCATTTGTAATATATAGATATATGTGGACGCAGCGCCCGGCCCCCTAGACTGTCCTTGCCGCGGCGCTCGACCCCCGCTCCTTCAAAAAAATTATTGGGGGGGGGGGGGGCCAAAAATCTGATATAAAGACAAAATCGCATTTTCCCACATTTTGTGTTAAAAAATGCTCTATAAATAAGTCAAACTACATTCTGAATCAAAATGTTATATCACCGAACCGGTTAATTTTTCAATTTTATTAAGGTTCTGTTCGGTAATGTTCTAGAAAAAGATTTTGTACTTTCTTCTAAATTATTATAAAACTTATGATTCTTAATATATATGTGAATATGCTCAAACTACTCGAATAAATAATTTATAATCATAAATTCTAATTTATTTCAGAAACATTTTTCCTGGGGAACTAGGATCTGGCCCCAACATTGAGGGGCAAGCCTGGTCAATGGTGGGGGGTGGGGCTGCAGCTGGTGGGGGCGGGGGAGAACAGAATCTTCTCTCAGTTGCTGACTCCCTAGCTCATCAGAGGATGGAACTCTCAGGACAGTGGGGCGCACCGATGCATTCAGGAGTAGACCAGGGTCTCCAACATCAATTACAGCATCTTCAACAACAGCAACAGCAGCAGCTTCAACAGCAACAGCTGAGCATGATGCTGGGACAGCACGGCGGTTTAGCTCCTCTTGTTGGCCAGCAGATCTCCCAGCTCTCATCAATGCTTCCTGTTGGTTCACAACATCAATCTCCTCCAACCCTAAACATGATGCTGGGGAGTGGAGCTAATATTGCTGCCATGTTCCAAGGACATAACGGTATGGCACCTGTTCAGTCCCCGCCCTCCTCCCAGGGTGGAGGACAAGGATATCTGCTGCTAGGAACAGCACAGCATGGACAGAGACCAGGAGAGCAAGGAATGCCTCCTGCAATATCTCCTAATTCTACTCCGGGTATTCAGATGCCAGGACCTCCAGCTACTCCTCCAATGGTTGGGGTAGAGATGGGAGATAGAAACATGTACATGGGGAATATGGGACGAATGGTTCATGGAATTGACAAGTTCTCTGTAGAAGGTATGGATGAGAATCAACAATATGCCTGGAAAGGAATTCAAGGAGGAATTTTGGCGGAGATGTTTCCTAGCGTTGACAGACAAATGCAACACTTTGCAGATCCAAGAATGCAGACGGGGGCTCAGGGACAGAATATGAATCATGCTGCCATGGCCCAGTTTCAGGCTCAGGAGAATATGGTTCGGATGCAACAGCATCAACAGCAGCAACAACTTCATCAGAAGCAGCACTACTCCCAACAAATGCAGGGACATCCTCAGATGTTCCAGGATATGAGAGGATTTTCTCAAATTGTTCCTGCCCAGTCTCCTCCTGCTCCCAATGGTATGCAGTTTCACCATGGAGGTCCTCCTGGGCCACGTCCTCGTCCTGTTGGTGGGGATGATTCATCTCCTGGGTTTACTCCCGAGGTGCCAGCTCCACACGAGGCTGAAAATCCTAAAGATGATCTTGTTATCGGCAGCTGGAATGATGAGTGTGAGAAGGAAGGAGCTGGAATTGCTCCGCCTGGGCCTCCGCCTCAGATTCTGCAGAATATGAGTCAGCCTCCGCCGAATCAAGTTCATCGGCAAAACGAACCTTTCTTCGGAGGAAACTTTCATCCTCCGAACAACAATAGAGGAGGGTGGGGACAAACTATGGAGGAAGAGCAGTTTTCAGCTGATGGAAGCAACCGAGGGAAGCATCATGATTTCAGAGGCAGGGGACGCGGAAACAAGATGGATATGGTAAGTCGACATGATGAGAATGAGAACAATCGATCAGCTGGAACTTTCAGGGGTAGAGGTATGTCTCGAGGAGGTAGAGGTAGCTTTGGTTACGGTCGGATTGTAGACCAGGATAAATCTGAGGGGAAAAACGCCGCCATCGAGGAAACTAAAGCTTTGATGCTGAAAATGAGGTTGGAAGATAAGGAACTCATTGACCGGCACAAGAAGGAGCACGGGATAACAGATGAAAACGATGAAAATTCTAAATCTGAAGCACCAGAGGTTCAGCCTGGTGCGTACAGACCGCGAGAGAAGCGAGGACGAGATGACCGCAAAGACGCTCAGAGAGCTCGAGGAGGACGGGGCCGAGGAGGACGAGGGATGCCCCCTCATATGCCTGGTATGGCTGGAGCTCCTGCTCCTCTGTTTGGATTACATCATGGAGGTTCAGACTTTAGAACTCCTCCTTTCCCTGGTCTTGAGGGATTCTTTCCGCCGCAGGCAATGGGACACTTTCCACCTGGTTTCCCGCCTCACCTAGGTCCCGGATTTCCTCCAGGAATTATCCCGGGAGGTATGAGAGGTCGTGGATTCCCTCGAGGTCGAGGGTTTCCTGCTGGTTTCCCGCCTAGAGGCTTCCCGCCTCCAATGATTGGTGCACGTGGAATGCGAGGGATGCGAGGACCGTATCAAGGAGGGGGTCGAGGTCGTGATCGGGGAAGAGGAGGAGGAGGGGGAGGACCTGAGCCGGGTGATGGAGCGAGTACTGAAGAACCACCTTCTGAAGATAATCCTCTTCTGAGTGCTATCAACAAACCTAGTGTAGAGACGGATACACAGGCTGCTGTCGTGGAAACTGACGAGCCGTCAAAAAACTTGTTTAGCGAGCAGGTCAGTCATAGGTTTCAATAAAAATAAAAATCCAGATACATATCTAGTTTTAGTCAAAAATTATTTTCTTCCTCTTACCTGTCTGAAACTGTTTAAATTTTCCTTCATTTCTAACTTGTATTTTTAGGGAACCTACGAGGGCCAGCTGGCCCTGCTCGCTGGAGCCGACCTTAGGGTCAGGCTGACCGATCAGCTGGTCCGCGGTCAGACCGAGTGCATGGTCTGCCTTGACAGAGTTAGGCAAACTCATGCAACTTGGGACTGTCACAATTGCTTCCAAGTAAGTTTTATATCAAGTTTTAAAGGTTAATAAACATTTTTCCTGTATTTTATATTGAAGTATTTGGGCTAAAATTGTCTTTTTTAGATTTTCCATCTCAATTGTATAAAGAAGTGGGCTAAGACCGCCCGAACTGAGTCTGGGGGCTGGAGGTGCCCTGGATGTCAATCTGTTACCTCCATCGGTCCCTCGGAGTACCGCTGCTTCTGTAGAAAACTCCGGAACCCGGACTGGAACCGGAACGAAGGTCTGGTTCCTCACTCCTGTGGAGAAGTATGTGGAAGGAAAAGATCAGATCCGTGTTCTCACTCCTGTAAGGAGCTCTGCCATGCTGGACCCTGTCCAACCTGCACTGCTACTATACTGATAACCTGCCCTTGTGGAAAAGAGAAAACTAGAATGAAGTAAGTTTAAGTCCCCCCCCCCCCTCTTTAAACATTACCTCCTCCCTGCCCTCCCTGTATGTTAGAACATTTTTATCGCTGAGTCGGGGAAAATATTTCAATTTTTGGGTAACAGGTTACATCTAATTTCCCACAAAATCTTGTAGAATATAATTTAAAAATAATAAAAACGTCTGTTTCCAGTGTATAATGTACATCATCAAATTAAAAATTTATATTTCAAATTTTCTTAAAACTGAACCTTGAAATTTTATTGAGTTGTAATGAACATCTAAGCATTAATTCCTAATCAAAACTTCTGAGGAACGTCAAAGAATGCATTCTCCTTGTATTCTGCCGATCTTTTAATAGTAATAATAATATTGTTAAAGGTGTGGCGAGGAATTTACTTGTGAGGGAGTTTGTGGAAAGAAATTAAACTGTGAGGAACATGAATGTCAGGATGTTTGTCATCAAGGTCCTTGTTATGATTGTCTTAAGGTCTTCAATCAAGGTAATTAATTTATTTATTAAAGTCATTCTTAATTCTAAAATATTAAAGTCTACAATAAAGCTCTTCGTTGAATAATTAAGTAAAGTGAATCGCTGAGGGGTGTTCTGACCCACAGTCTACTTCTCCTCTCTATACACATTTTAAACACGTCTGGGGTTGTCTGTTAAATCCGCCCAGGTTTTGATCTTTTCTTGATTCCTGGATGCATATATATTGATAATTGATGTATGTTCGCTATAGCTGGCTAAATAAACGGCTGGACCAAATTGGCAATAAGTACCCTAGACCTAGGCTACAATTAACATCGGGAGTATCTATGACCATATGATAAAAAATTCACTGGAACCTTTGTTTTCTAGTATGCTACTGTGGGAAGAGTGTACGTGAAGTAGTATGCAGTAAAGAAACTGTTGGAGTAACAAACTACGAGTGTGAGAACATGTGTGAGAAGTCCCGCGACTGTGAGCTCCATCAATGCGATTCTCCATGTCATCCCGGAGTCTGTGAACCCTGTCTACTCACCCCTAGTAGAGTTACAACCTGTCCCTGCGGACAAACCCCCCTGGAGAAGTTGTATGAAAGGGACGGATTATCTCCGCGTGAGAACTGTTTGGATCCTGTTCCTACTTGTGGTATGACTTGTAGTGCTAAACTCCCGTGTGGAAACCTGGCAAGTCCTCACACCTGCTCTTCAGTTTGTCACACAGGTAGACAACTAATATTATGTCATGGTAAGCATTTTACAACTGAGAGGGACTAAACTCAATTTTAAATAACCCTGTACATGTTCAGTGCAGGGGGATAATATTTGACTACCTGGGCAGCTATTTAGCTTCAGTTTACACTTCAGACTGTTAGCTAATATAGAATATAAAGACTTCACGGTCTAATCTTGCAGTACACACATCAAATATGCAGTACGCTTTCGGAGTACAAGTGTTTTGGGGAGGATTTGTATTATAAATTTTACTTAGTTTTCTCAGAATCGTTTGTAAATAAAGAAGTTATTACTCTGTTAAAGATTGTTTTAGCAATTCCCTTTGTGAAAATGTTGTATTGTATTTTGTAAAAGAGCAGTGTTTAACGGCCCAGTGCTTAGGATCCGGATCCGCATCAAAATTAAATGGATCCTAAGCATTGGTTTAACCTAAATGGAAAACAAATTTTCCAAGCCTCGTTTGAAATCGGCATTTTGTAAAAAAAAGTTATAAAGAAATCCCAATGGGAAAAAATTATGGAAACAACTAAAATTTTTCTTCTTAACAGATCAATGATTCCAAATAATGTTTAAACCATTTTAAACGGATTCTCTTTAAGTGACCCTCATTTTGAATGGGGCATGAACAATTCACAATGATACTCTTTAAATCAATAATGAGGAAGTTACAGTCGTTTGTGTGTAGATCAAAAGGTGTTTAATTCTGACCATTTCCTCCATTGTTTTAAATGCATTAAATCCGCAAGTCACTTGCCAGAAAAACCACAGTTATAACAATCTATATTCAAAGAGAAAATTATGGATATCATGCATTCCTAATCAAACATAGCTTTCACAGGTACCGTTGTGTATCGTACATTCCTTTCTATAAACGGAAAAGATCAATTTAAATTAAATGTTAACAGTCCCTTTAAGTTTAATTTATTGAAAACCAAATTCTGTTAAAGCGCAAAAATCATATTTTCAGTAATCCCCCCACGTACTGTAATACACAGATTGATTTTTGAAAGTGGAGTACACGGCCTGTACAAGGATTGACGTACATCTTCACTCTATATACTTTAACCTCGTTGGCCTAGTGTCATGTTCATTTTACACCGACACCATTTGATTCAAGCGATCAAATGATAGTCAACATCTTTTAGTTTTAAATTGATAAAAATATTTAATGATACAAACGCCATTATATTTTTGTTGCAAGATAATTGACGTAAACAAGTAACATTTGTCTCGTTATTGGAAAATATCAGATCTAAGTTTGAAGTTTGAATATTCTACTTTTAAACTATTGAAATCAATGCAATTTAATTTTAAAAAATTTAGTTTTTTAATTTTCTACCCGATGGTATTATTAATAATGATTCTAGGTCCCTGTCCGACATGTCCTAAGAACACCCTGGTAAGGTGTAGGTGCGGATATATGGATAAGGAGATACCGTGCTGTGAGTTGACCGGTAGACCTGATGATGCTAGATGTGAGAAGAGATGTCAGAAGAAAAGATCCTGTGGTCGGCATAAGTGTACCCAGCTCTGCTGTATAGAGATAGAACATGAATGTAATCTTATCTGCGGAAAACTTCTCACCTGTGCCCTACACAGGTAATACGACATTACTCATACCACTCATCATATTCAAACCCGACGTTGTAACCTTTGATGTTTCAATTTTTGGCTATTTGCTCGAGCAGAATTTTAAGTTTTAAAATCCAAAATCTACAACAAAAATATCAAGACAAAAATCGGGGGAAAATATAGTAAATTCCGCGAATCCCAAAGGCAATTTTGATATGATAAAAAAATTCAAACGTTCTTCAGAATGACAATATCCTTCCTATTCAAATTAGTAAAATTAAGATTTAAAAAAAGGAAACTTCGATTCCCTTTATATTGCCAAATTATAATCAGGAAAAATAAAGTTAGTTTTTTCCCTAAAGCTTTAAAAATCTAGTATTTATTAAAAAAAAAATTGAGTGACCCTTCTAAATAGTTTTATTAACAAAAACTAAGATGACAGGGTGTGTTTATTTTTAAGAAATAACCCTGGGGGATTTTTGAAAGGGGGGGGGGAGAATGAAACATTGGAGTTAAACATCAAGACAAGATTTTTCTATCATTTTTCATCATCCAAAAAATTATTTATTTTCTCATAAAAATCGTGTATTTTCCCCCAATTCAGCGGGGGGTGGGGAATAGTTTTTCAAGAAAATAAACCCCTGTAAGATTATATAGTATTTTTGCAATAATCTACATATATTTTCAGATGTGAAGATCTGTGCCACCGTGGGAACTGTAAAACCTGTCCTCGTGTTAGTTTTGACGAGCTCCACTGTAGTTGCGGAGCAGCAGTCCTGTATCCCCCGGTAGCCTGTGGAACTAGGCCCCCGGAATGTAAGGAACCCTGCAGCAGGATTCATCCTTGCTCTCATACCGTTACACATTCTTGTCATAGCGAGGATAATTGCCCTCCCTGTACTCAACTCATTGTCAAGCGGGTAATTATTCTTTTAAAATAAACTTCTTTTTAAGAAATAACGAACCTAGGCAGATTGGAAGCTTGAGGCAAAATTGACTAATAAAGCTTTTATACTTCTTTTGAGCAACTAGGTGTAATAATTATTTTTTTATCCCTTTCAACTTAAAAAATAAAAAAAAATAAGCATTTAAAAGTATTTTTGTGTTGAAAATAAGTTCATGCGTTCTATTTGCCTACAGGGCACATGAAAATCAGTTTTTCCCCCAGTGCAGTGTTAAGTATCCGGATCCATTCGATTCTGCGACATTTGGGCTTTCTGGATTCTGATCCGCAAAAATATGATGATCAACTAATCCAGATCCAAATGGCGAAATTTCAACCAAAACATCGGGAATAAACTTTTGATCTTATAACACACATTCTTACTAAGCCAATGGTGGGGAAAAATAAGTCTTGAACAGGGGGAGGGGGATTTTTCTCATTCGTCAGAAAAATGTATTTAGCTGACTTTATATTTTTTCTAGTGCTATGGTGGACATGAAGAGAGGAAGAATGTTGCTTGTCTGGTGGAAGGAATATCATGCGGAAAACCGTGTGGAAAACCTTTATCTTGTGAAAACCATTCCTGCATCAAGATCTGTCACGCAGGAACTTGTCTTACCGGAGATATCTGTACTCAACCCTGCACCAGGAGCAGGAGCTGTGAACATCCCTGCGCTCAACCCTGTCATACTGGGGTTTGTCCTGATACAGTCTGTACTACTCAGGTATACACATGCACTTTAAATTTATAGTTTTTTATTTATTTCTGAAGAATTAATTTTTTCTAGATTAAACTCTGCACAGAAAATAAAGAATTGTTCAAATCTTTACCAGACTGTTGACTCCACCCACCCTCAAGATAAACCGGATTATTAATACACTACCCCTAACTTTTGGCCCTTAGAAAACTTGATGGACAATTTGTTCAAAAGCCAGAAAATTAACGAGATTATCTTCAACCATTTAGATATCAGTTTTTCAATCATTCTCTTTAGTCAATACTTAAAAATAATAAGAGAAAAATTAAGAAATATTTTAGAAATTTTTTTAATTTTTTAAAAAGTTTAGTACAAGTTTGTGACCTGGATCCGGATCAAATTATTTTTAAGGGATTGCAGATCCAGGATCCGGATCCGTATTGAAATGAAATGAATCCGTAGCAATGACATCATTGTCTCCAACCAATAATTTCCTGATGAAATAAACATTTTTAAAGAAACAAAGAAAAACTTTACACCACAATTATGTTTTATAATGGATTTGATATCAAACCTTGAACAAGATTTGTTACTCTATCCTTTACTCCTGTTTAGGTTCGGTTAACCTGCGAGTGTGGGAACCGAACTGCCAGCCTACCCTGCTCCGATAACTCCTATAGTAGGGTTACTACAGCTCTTCTTGCTACCCGGATGCAGGACGTGCAAGCAGGAAATACTGTTAGTCTCAAGGTGGGTCACTACATCTATTTTATTCTATAGAAACTCGGTTAGCAAAGTAATTTCAAGAAAGGGCAAATTTCTTTGGACATTTTTTGGAAGGACATTTCATTGGTAGGACATTTCATTGGTAGGACATTTCGTTGTAAGACCTTCACTGTAAAGATTTAATTAAGATTCAGGACAAAAATGTCTGAGTCACGAAATAAGTATTAGGAAGTGTTAAAAATGTCCTGTCTAGCAAATGAACTGTCTATTAATGTAATGAATAATATTTAAGCACCTTATCCTCGTAACAAGCTAGGAAATATACACAATATTTATAGATTATGATTTCAATGTTTGGATTTTGTTTAGGAATTATCTAAGAGCAACAGGAAGTTAGAATGCTCCGAGGAGTGTTCCAAACTTGAACGTAACAAGAGAATAGCGCTAGCACTACAGATTAGAAACCCGGAGCTCAGTGCTAAAATCACTCCCCGCTACTCCGACTTTATGAAGGATTATGCTAAAAGAGATCCTAAGTTCTGTTCAACGATCCATGATGAGCTGGCAAAATTGGTTCAGCTTGCGAAGGAGGTAAAGTTTTTATTTTTACTCTGCTATGATACAGGGTTACCCAAAAAGGATGAGACTGTAAAGACGATCCAAAACTCTAAATATATGACTATTTGAAGCTTGATTGGTTTCACCAGGCAATTGAGTAAATTGATGGTTAACTAAATTATTAAGCACACAAATAAGCCAGTTTTGGCCTGTAATAAACCCCGAATGCAAAAAAACGGACTAAACAAATTCCGTACAATCGTCTCTGAAGTCTCATCCTTTGTGGGTAACCCTGTACCATCATCTATAAGAGATTGGAAATAAATAGATAAAATAAAGACTGAAAGATTATCAAAATTGTTAAATTGAGAGGGTGAGTTTGACCAATTTGAATACATTTGGGATGTTTTGAGGAATCTGAATGAAATTTTGCATATGGGCACCATTTGCGTTTCTTTTAAGTAAAAAAATAAAAATGTGGGAAAAAATATTTTCCCCTCTTTTCCTCAGTTTTACATGTTTTTTAAAGCTTTTTAAAGCTGATTCAAATATCAGCTAGGTGTTTTACTCTACCATAAGAATTAGGTTTTCAGATCACTTTTCCCACTATTTTCCCCTATTTTATCATATTTTCCCAATTCGTTAATGTTTTTCACATTAGATTCATGAATTCATTTTTAATCTTTTGAATAGAGAACTCAATTAGATAGTGTTAAAAAAGTGGGTAACAATTATTCCCCCCCCNCCCCCCCCTGTTTTTCCATGTTTTTTGTAGCTTTTTATTAAAAAGTCTGTTTAGAACACCTACATGTTAGTCAAGAATCTCATTACTAACATCAGTACGAAGTTTAAGGTTTTTCAGATCACCTAGCTGTTACTTGAGTTGGGGAAAAAGTTTTTAAAATGGGAAAAAAATTCATTCCTCAAAAAATTAAGACAGGATTCCAAATGTATTCAAACTAGGCTTTTAGGGCGCTTCGCGCCCATCTTCTAAATTGATTGTGAACATGTTCTCTTTGTGTACATCGTAAAACAAAACAAAAATAATTCACGGATTTTCACAAAAAAATTCGTGGATTTTCAAAATTTTCAAAAATTTAATGAAGATCGAATTTTGATGAAGACAAATATTTGAAATTTTGATCAATCATAAACCTTCCCTGGGGTCCCTAGATGTCCCACAAAAAATTTGGGCCCGATCTGTTCAGCCGTTTTGACGTTTATTGGATACAAACAAACAAACAGACAAACAGACAGACAGACAGACAAGCCCAATTTATATATAGACTAGCCTTAGGTGGATTTTCAAAATTTTCAATAATTTAATGAAGATCGAATTTTGATGGAGACAAATATTTGAAATTTTGATCATTCATAAACCTTCCCTGGGGTCCCTAGATGTCCCACAAAAAATTTGGGCCCGATCGGTTCAGCCGTTTTGACGTTTATTGGATACAAACAAACAAACAAACAGACAGACAGACAAGCCAAATTTATATATAGATTGGTCAAACTCACCCTCCCCGATCAGCAACTTTCTTCAAAAATAAAACAAAAATTTCTTTGTAAAAGATAAAAAATTAATCAAGGATAAAGGATTGAAAAGTATAAGTCTCGCAGTGAATCTGCTTTAGCTAGTTAATCAATTATATAATACTAGGCTCTTCTATTTGAATTGTAAACATTTTCTCTTTGTATACATTGTAAAATACAAACAAAACAAAAGTTCGCGGATTTTATTTTAAAAAATCGATTATTTTCAAAATTTAATGAAAATCGAACATTGTTGGTGGCTAACTTTTGAAATTTTGAGTATATAAACCTTCTCTGGGGTCATGTGAAGTCCTACACAAAATTTGAGCCCGTTCGGTTCAGCCGTTTTGACGTTTATTGGATACAAATAAACAGACTAGCAAAGTATATACACATATATATAGATGTTTTTAGTTTTAACTTTGATTGTATGTTTTTCTTTTAATCTCTTCTATGCCAAACAAATGTGTCACGATGAATTGCGTAGGAATTCTGAGTCCCTGTGATAGGTTTGTATTCTGGTGAATATGACCTAATTATGTTTAGTCTAAACAGAAGAGTCGGATCAAATCCTTTGATTGTATGAACAGAGAGAAGAGACAATTAGTTCATGAGTACGCTGAACACTTTGGCTGCGAGTCGGAGGTAATGAAAAATAACACCAAAAAAAATTCCTGAGATGGAATTTAAAGAATTTGAGCCGCGGTTTAAATCCGCCAAAACCCGGTTTAAATTAAGCGCCGGCTTAAATCTTGAAGCATTCGATACAAAAAAATTATTCCCTATCCACCTTTTGAAAATAATTTTCCCCCTCACATGGTAGGTTTTGTCGCGCAAATATATTCGCTGTATTGAGGAAAATGACCGATTTCAAGGAGAAAATAAATTAATTTTTATTTTTTTAATAAGTGCTGGAAGACCCCCCAAAGGATGGGTCTTCAGAGACGACTCAACAGATTAAGTCATTTTACTTCAATTCGACGTTTCCCTTAGCTTTACGCCATTCTTTCATTCATAATAAATAGTATTTAATTATTTAGTGGTGTGGGCTAGAACAACAATGATCCTGAAAATTGAGATAATTAAAGAAATAAAGATTTCAAGTCTTCATTTAATTCTCATCTTTTGTTACCCACCTTTTACATCTAAAATATTTAGTAATAACATTTTCATTTTATATGAAAAAAATTACCATCATTTTTGAGGAAAATATCAATTTTGTCCAACAATTGTAAATAATATAATAGAAACTGAAAACTTTAGGTTAAAGCCAAAATATTCTGTGAAAAATCTAGAAACTAAATTTTAAAAAGTTGAAATTTTGTGGGAATTTCTACTTTGAACAGAAAGTTTCACACAATTGTTCTATCGTGGTTTTCAAGTTGAAACATGAATTGAATTATTTAGTCCTTTGATGCTGAACCTAAGAGAAATGTTGTTGCTACTGCTTCACGAGACAAGTCCTGGCTGCCAGCAATATCTTTGCTAGACTTTGTCCAGAAAATGAAGAAGGTCCCAGCTCCCGTCAGTAGGTAAATATGAATAAAAAATATACTTTTTATATTTATTTTAAACTTTTTTTTTCTCAACATGGATTCAATTCATCAGGAAACCACTCAAAAAATGACTTCTTATTTTGACGAGTAATGAATATTATTGAAAAATGACGATTCCAAGCAATCTCCTAAAAAAAACAAATTAATGTTTTCCTAGGTTTTATCCCCCATTCAGGCCTTCAGGTTTAAATAAATAAATTTAAATGTAAATGACCTCCCCCCCCCACCCAACCCCTCACTCAGCAATCAACATTAAGACAAATATTTTGTAAACGAGTGGTTACATTATTCCTTCCAGTCTGGAACTATGAATTAATAAGTACTAAAATAAATGATTTTATGCAGAGTTTTTCTGAAACCTTGCTTCATTTTTTATTCTAGTATTGATAATTTTGTTTGTTTCAAAAGTCTTTATTTTAAAAGTTAAGGTTATGGAGAAAGTAATGTTTTTAAGCATTAACCCATTGTTAAGCTTATTCTGCTAATTTATACTCACGTCACTCAAACTTTTCACTCGTTACATTTTTTCCAGTGACGGAAGAAATGTAAACTCTGAACTCATCCTTATTTATATAATATTAATGTTTTCTAAGATAAAATCATTTAATCTTTTTGTGTATTTAGTACTGAGACGGTTTCTCCCGTATTTACTTCTCTCTCAAAAGTAGAACCAGTTGCACCAAAGGAGAAGATCGATTGGTTTGATTAATCCCACCTTGTAGCCTGGCTCCTTGTTCACCTCCAGACCTGGAAACATCAAACCTGATCTATCTAGGCTTCTGTTCTAATTCAAACATGGATAAACAATAAGGCTCCTCCTGCAAGAACGTGTTTCAAGTTTGAATTTAACTTTCAAACAATGTCGAGACATAATCCAGTGTTAAACTTGTTGCTATCCGATCTTTTTATCCCTTCGCTCCCGTTCCTTTATGTTTCTTATTCCGAATGAAGAAACTAAAATCAGATTTGAGAAAAATGTTTGGGAATATTTTTAGTGATGAAAAGTCGGGAATGTTTGAACTGAATCGTGAGAATCTATAATTTAACCAATATTTACTTGAAGTATGAGGGAAAGGGCAGGTTGTATTGAAAGTAGATTTAACCCTCTACTCTTAACCATACAGTGCACTTCCCTCCCAAACTATTATTTGTCTTGGTTTAATTTCACTTATCGCCTCAATTTTTCTTTCTTTGCAATGTCTCTGCAAAAACTATCAAACTTTTTCATCTTTAACCCATATAATTTAATATAAAACTAAAATTTGATTAACGAAATCTTAATTTAAAAATAATTGTATGAAGAGTCTCGATTTTCGGAGACTTGAGAAACGCATTGCATTACGGTAATAGTTGATATTTACTGTGCTAAGGTTTTGGTTAAGGGATACATCCGTTTGATTTGTCCTCGTACCTTTTTAACGTTTTTAATTTGCCTTGCGTTATTATTCTTGAATCAGTTAAAATTCTAAAAAAAATGTCGTTGCTTAAAAATATTATTTTGTTGCTAGGGTTACCTTCAGTCTAAACTAGTATATCAGTCTCCAAAACCTCGTAGAAATAACATTTTTCATAATTTCATATCGCGAATATCTCTGGAGTGTAAAGTATTTACAAAGTCCCCCCCCCTCTTCAACTAGCTTGTTATACCTAAGATGAAGGAAAAAGTATTTTAATTTTTTTGTCGATTTTTTGGTATTTCGTAAATTTTGTGCGCCAACAATCCTTTTTTGATTTTTATGGTTTGTATGTTAAAAGCGGAAGGGGGGATTTAAATTACACTACTGAGTTATTTCTTTTAATGTTTGTTCCTTAGAATAAATTGTGAGGTAATTAAATAATTAGAGAGAAGTCGAATTTTGTTTTCGAACATTTAGTTTTTGTTTTAAATCGTATTAACAATAGCTTTCTTGTGAAGGTAACCTGAAATTTCTAAAAACTAAATTTTTCTGCATTCAAACGGTTATTTTAATTTAACCGCAAGTCGGCTCATTTTATAGAGTGTGTTAGTATCTTAAAGCATGAGAAAAGGGTGTCTGATTCTACCATGCTTCTACATAATATCAGAGATAATCTGTCAGTAATATTATAAAAACCCGCCAACTGTAGTGAGTTAGAACTTAAAAACGTGATATTTCAACTCCATGGCGGTGATCCCTTGAACTAATGTTAAACCCAAAGACTCGTTTTATTTACAATTTACTGTTGATTAATTGTGCACACGCCCTCTATATCTATTGGCTGAAATAAACTTGCGTTTTATATTTTTGTTGAATTGAATGTGATAGAAAAATAAGTAGAGTAAACGGGAATTTTTATCCTTTGTCTAATCAATAGATATTGGCTGCTGCTTTTTTCGTTTTTCGTATCTTAGATTTTTGGTCGGAAAGGTCTGGAAAACAGCATATACGGTCTGGAAAACAGATATACGGTCTGGAAAACAGCACATACGGTCTGGAAAACAGCATATACGGTCTGGAAAGCAGAATACAAGGTCTGGGAAGTAGAAAATAAGGTCATAAAATTAGAAAATATGGTCTGGAAAGAAGGGTACAATATGTTGGAAGTAGGAATACAAGGTTTGGAAAGTAGAATATAAGTCTGGAAAGTAGAATATAAGGATGGTGTATTTTTGGACCTACGCCCATCCCCTCTACTGCCCATCCGACCTACACGCACGTGGTTTTAACAGCTGTGGTAGTTCCGATGCACTGTAGGTCGGATGGGCACATTAAAAACAGCATATTGGTGCATCCGACCTACTTTAAGCTATCGCTTGGACTCGATAGTAGGTCGGATGGGCACATTTTTCGTAGGTCAGATGGGCATTTTTCGTAGGTCGGCCCAGACATGTGGTCGCAGCGCTCGGCCCCCTAGCCTATCCTAGCCGCAGCGCTCGGCCCAGAAATGAGCTAAACAACCTAACCCTAAATATACACTAATTCTATTAAAAACTGTTGAAGTAAAGGTATTTCGTGGCCGCAGCGCTCGGCCCAGAAATGAGCCTAACCTAACCTGAAATATACACTAATTTTATAAAAAAAAAAATGTTAAAATTATAAGTCTTTCATGGCCGCAGCGCTCGTCCCCCCTACAAAAAGTGCCCATCCGACCTACGAAAACTGCCTATCCGACCTACGAAAAGTGCCCATTCGACCTACGAAAAATGCCCATCCGACCTACGAAAAATAGCCATCCGACCTACGAAAAATGCCCATCCAACCTACGAAAAATGCCCATCCGACCTACAAAAATTGCCCATCTGACCTTCAAAATTGATTGGCCGTCCGACAGCTACAATTAATTATTTCTACCCTACTGCGCTATAGGCATGACAAAAGCTGGTGAATAGGTCGGATGGGCAAGAAGATATGCCCATCCGACCTACAGCTGTCGTAGGTCAGATGTTGCAGTAGGTCGGATCAACATTACCAAATAGAAGGTCTGGAAATCAGAATACAAGGACTGGAAAGCAGAATACACGGTCTGGAAAGCAGAATATAAGGTCTGGAAAGTAGAATATAAGGCCTGGAAAGTAGAATAAAAGGTCTGGAAAGCTGAATACAAGGTCTTTAAAGTAGAATATAAGGTCTAGAAAGTAAGATTTGATGTCTGAAAGGTCTGTAAATCAGAATACAAGGTCTGTAAATCAGAATACAAGGTCTGGAAAGTAGAATACAAGGTCTGGAAAGCAGAATTCAAGGTCTGGAAAGCAGAATACAAGGTCTGGAAAGCAGAATTCAAGATCTGGAAAGCAGAATATAAGGTCTGGAAAGTAGAATATAAGGCCAGGAAAGTAGAATATAAGGCCTGGAAAGTAGAATATAAGGCCTGGAAAGTAGAATAAAAGGTCTGGAAAGCAGAATATAAGGTCCAGAAAGTAGAATATAAGATCTGGAAAGTAGAATATAAGGCCTGAAAAGTAGAATATAAGGTCTGGAAAGCAGAATATAAGGTCCAGTAAGTAGAATATAAGATCTGGAAAGTAGAATATAAGGCCTGGAAAGTAGAATATAAGGTCCAGAAAGTAGAATATAAGATCTGGAAAGTAGAATATAAGGCCTGATAGAATATAAGGTCTGGAAAGCAGAATATAAGGTCCAGTAAGTAGAATATAAGATCTGGAAAGTAGAATATAAGGCCTGGAAAGTAGAATATAAGATCTGGAAAGTAGAATATAAGGCCTGGAAAGTAGAATACAATGTCTGGAAAGTAAAATATAAAGTTAAGAAGATAGAACATATTTTTATTTTTTCAAAATTTGACCTTATTTGGCTTTTTTTTGTTAACAATGTTCCGATTCTTTCAGCACGTATCTTTCTTCTGTTATAAAAGAGCAAAACAAAAATGTAAAATTTTTTTGTTCACTTAAATTCATGCAGCGCATCACGTTTTTGTAAATAATAAATCACTAATGAAAGAAAACATTTTTTTCAAAATATGTCGATATGGGTACCGAAATATGTCGATATGGGTGCCGAAAAATCTATTGAAACACTGAATCTAAAAATATTAAAATCATAAAAATCGGTTAAGAATTAAATTAGTTTGAGGCCAAATAAAAACTGACTTTTTAGCGGAAATTTGTCCGAATCCACCAAAAATATAATTGTTTTGTTTTGCCCTAGATCAACCAATTTTCACAATTAAAAAAAAAAACTTTTTGGGACCGACATGTTTTGAAAAAATTGAAAAATCGACCTCCCTAAGTGATTGTTGATTTTTAAAAGTGCTTGCGCTGACCCATTTTTTTAATGAAAAAAAAAAATTCACAATGTTTTTTTAAAAGTTTGATTGAACAATTTTTGCTGCGTGTTGGTAATTTTTGAAAAAAAATTAATATTGTTCCAGGATTAATAAAACTTTTAAATGACTTACTAAACGATTTTGCAAGGAAGGAGACAAGTTTAAATTTAAGAAACGATGACAGCATAAATTCTGTAAAATCGTCTCTGAAGTCTCTTCCGTTTTGGTTAACCCTGTATATAAGTTTGAAAAAGAACTATCAACACCCAGATTATCAACTTTTCTCTCTTCTGTCATAAACTTTACCACATTAATCAAATCACAGGAAGAATTTCTTAAAGTAAAATTCTTGCTCTTATTTCCAAAAAGTACAGTAACCATTTTTACCCCTTGTAGAGCGGTCGGTTCTATACATCACGATATGTTTACGTATCTAACACTGTACACTTGTATATAGAGCGGTCGGTTCTATACATCACGATATGTTTACGTATCTAACACTGTACACTTGTTTATAAAATGATTACATTAAAGATTGAATATAATTTGAGTCCATAATATACAGGGTGTCCCAATAAATATGGGAATTCAGTGACGAATTCGATATCGTCTTTTTAAATAATTCTTTGATTTAGTATAGTGATATAGCTGTAATCAGTAAGATTGTTCACATTTTGTTTGTTTATGTTTTGACTGCTTACGGTTGTACTTGGTAAAACAAGAAAATTGCACTATACAAACAGAGTACACTTGTCCGTCTACACTGTTCATCTTGCGGAGACATTATAGAAACATCTTTACAGTCTTTTACCCCTTTCATAAAATAAATCCTTATAGCAGACATAATAATATTATGGCTTTTGAAATTAGGTATTACAATGCTAATTCATTTCAAAGACGATATCCAATTCGTCACTGAATTCCCATGTTTTTTGGGACACCCTGTATCATATTGGAGTATCTATAGCATTCAACACGTAAATACTCGTACAACGTTTTAATTTACTTCATTTTGTGCAAGCATATTTTTTTTACTAGAGTCACTAGTCTGAAATTCTGATTTGAATGTTTCTTTTGAAATTTTCTGTCACAGAGTTACCCGCATAAGGGTTTCAGAAATCGACTGCAACGAATTTCTTGAACCTTTCTTCTTACATTCGACGTTCTTTGAAACTATTAACTTGCTTTGCTTTGAAAGACAAAAAACAAATTTTGGTTAACCCTGTATGTCCCAGAGATGCACGATTTCGGACACCCTGCAGTTCCACACTCCATAAAATTTAAGCTTAATACAGCCTGGACCAGCTTTTGAAAATATCAGGCCTATGAATTGGTATTTTTATTATTGCTTTAAGAACCATATATATTGTTTAAAGTTAAAAAATACAGGGTTACCTGCAAAGGATGGGTTCAAAGTATTTTTTTTACGGAATTTAAACTCTATTCATGATTAATTGCAACCTAAACTTCTTATTTTTTTGCCAAATAATTAAATAAACCATTTAAAGACCACATTCAAGACAGAAGACTTAATCTAATCCTAGAATCGTCATATTTGAAGAGTTTCAAGTCGTCTTTACAGTCTCATTCTTTGTGGGTAACCCTGTAGATTTGAATGCCGCAAAATACTTCATGTTTTGTGGGACACACTGTATAATACCGTCATTTACAACGCGCACTGATACCTGTTCCTAGCAGACAGTTTATACAGATAGATAGATAAACACCGGTAATATAACTGTAGATAGATAGATAATGTAGGTAGAATCATGAACCATATCTCCTGGGTGTACACACACCTGTAACCAGTGTAGTATTATGCCTAGACTAACCAGGATATTCTCAAACAGAAGATATTGCACCATCCTCATTCTTATTTCAGCTTTCATCCTTACTTTTTATATCTTGTCTAAACCCAACCCTGCTCCAGGTTCAAGTTCAACTCCTACCCGGAGACACCAGGAGGAGTATATAGACAGGAAGGGGATTAGAGTTATAGTCGGACACTATAAGGAGGAGGACGGTCCTGCTCCAAACTTTACTCAATCAGAACTTAATTTAAACAGGTAAAACAGATATGTCAAACTTTGCATGCTGTACAGTGTACATGATAGTAGTACAGTGTACTTACACAGTAGAGTAATAAAACGAAGAGGTGAAGCTTAGCTCAGATGTACACAACCGACCTTCCTATTAATTAATTAATAGAGTGGTATATATGTTTACGTATCTAACGCTGTACACTTGTATATATATATAGAGTGATCGTATTTCTAAGGGGTGGTTTAATGTAGATATTTGAATATTAGTATTAATAATTAGATAGACACTTAATATAGATTGTATACTGCAGTACATTCAAGTTCAGTTGTTAGTTTATTTTAATACAAGTATGTCTAAATATTGCATCGTAAAAAAGTGCAAAAACAATTCTTCTTGTAAAAATGTGAGTTTTTTCAAAATACCAAAAAATTGAGCATGTCTAGACCTTTAAGGTTGGGAGACTCCAGAGTATATCTCTCAAGTTACATTTGCTCAAACCATTTTAAAGAAGGAGATATAAGAGAGGGGAAAAAACCAAGTTTGAAGAAAAATGCAACACCATTGCTCTCAACTTTAGATGAATATAAAAATGAATTTACAGTATTGTTTAATTTATAATTTTAATAATTTTATTAAAAATTTTATAAAAATGCATTTACATTATTGTTTAGTTTATAATATATAACATATAAAAACTAACATTCTTCAAAAATCTAATAAGTTGGTTTTATTTAAACATGAATAAAATAATATTTTTGAATCTTTCTTATAATTACTGTGTGTTTATGACAATACCACAATACCCACAAAGGACGAAACAAAAGTTTGCAGTCAACATCATCGAATACTCTTTAAATAAAGAAAGAAAATCTAAAAATTGGTCAATTCCATAAAATCCCTCTTAATTAATAGGGAGGTCGGTTGTGTATATCAGAGCTAAGCTTCACCTCTTCGTTTTATTACTTTATGACTTATACTGCATATATGTAAATTAAGGACTGCTCTAAAAGTAATCAGCACCCAAATTTGCAGTCCAGTTTTATTTTATTTTAAGGACTGAAAAATATTTTTCAGAAACTGAAAATTGCAAAATGATAAAAAATTAAAGTGTTTAGTGTATCTGGACTCTGAATGTCAGAATATGGCAATGTGCATTGTATAGAATTTATATATATACTGTACTCTAAATGTACTCTAAGGGAATATAATGTATATTTAGTGTATCTGAATGTAGGAATACTGTAAAGTGAAGTGTATATAATGTATATCTAATGTACTCTTAATGTAGGAATACTGTATAGTGCAGTGTATATAATGTATATCTAGTGTACTCTGAATGTAGGAATACTGTAGAGTGAAGTGTATAGAATGTATATTTAGTGTACTCTTAATGTAGGCATACTGTAGAGTGAAGTGTATAGAATATATATTTAGTGTACTCTGAATGTAGGAATACTTTAAAGTGAAGTTTATAGAATGTATATTTGGTGTAATCATAATGTAGGAATACTGTAGAGTGCAGTGTATATAATGTATATTATCTGTACTCTAAATGTAGGAAAGCTGAAGAGTGCAGTGTATTTTTAACTTTATTAATTTATTTATTTTTAATTTTTTTTTATGAAAAAAATTATTTGATACATGTATTTAATGCAGATAATCATTTTTCCAATCTTCTTGTTTCCTGGCTGTCCTGTTATGCTCGTTCAATTTGCTGCATACCCCCGCCCCCCCAGGAGGGTTAATATGCAGTTTTGAGATGCTGATCAGGCAATTTGTAGTATTTCAATATCAGCTCTTGAGTTTCTGTATTTATTTCAGTTGTTTTTGATATCGGCCATCTATGCAGGTTTAATGCTGACAATGTTGTAATGAGAACTTCCCTTTGTCAGCTGCATTGCATGTATCAGTGTCTTGCAGTAATTTAGAGAGAAATTAAAAGACCTCCTAGCCTTAACTGCATTCGGCTAGGTTCAAGGTGATTTAGATGTACCCCCTAGGAAAGGAACACCCAATGAAACCAATGATGATCTCTCTCAGAAAGTTTTGATTAAGATTCCACAGCAAAGCAGTTTCTGAGTTCCACTATATCTGCTCGTGAAGTAGGATAAGGTTGGAATTTAGAAGGTAGGCGGAGGAAGATGGGGGTGTAAGGGTAACAGGTATGAGAAATACCATAGTCCTCACTTTTAACGTGTATTCCCACGTGGACAGATTTTTTAAAAGAAAAAATAACCCGCTAAGCATGCTGTCCCATCGCTTTAAAGCACATTGTCAGAGGTCTGCCATGAGTAATCCAGTTTCCATTGTGGGGAGGGTGAAAAACCAGTTTATGATATTTGATTTAAAGTCTATTAAAGGCTCTGTTCCCCCTTAAAACCTGTATCAGCATGTACTTCATCCCTGATGTTTTGAGTTTCTGTATTGCTTCTGTATCCATCTTTATTACTATATCTTGTTCGGGATTAGTCACGCTTTCCACTCAGTTGTGGAGAGAAGTGTCCTTGCTATCTAGACTTTTATACGAGTACAATGCACATAACGCCCTTTCTCTCAACAGGCTTAGAAAGCTCTGCTGACACCCTTCCTCTGGGAGGTTCGGATACACACTGAGAGTGCAGTGCATATAATGTATATTATCTGTACTCTAAATGCAGGAAAGCGTAAGAGTGCAGTTTATATAATGTATATTATCTGTACTCTAAATGTAGGAAAGCTGAAGAGAGCAGTTTATATAATGTATATTATCTGTACTCTGAATATAAAAATACTGTATGTAGAGTTGCAGTTATGAGGTGTAAGAATGAATATTGAATGAACTTAAGCATTTAAAACAGCCATGTAGGATGCTGTAAGATCATTCGTTCTGCAGTTTAAACATCCTTTCTACATCGGTCATAAATCTGAAATATTTCTACAGTAATATATTCTACAATCTACATGGTTTTATATATGTATTCTGAAATTGTTTATATTCTACATTATTAACTTATTCAATTCCTAGTTTTCGATCTAGCGAAATTTTCAGAAGATAGGTCGATATAGCGAACTACTAATATTACTAGGATTAGAGTTTAGGGATTACAATATGTTGTATATTACTAGGATTAGAGTCTAGAGTTTACAATATATTGTATATTACTAGGATTAGAGTCTAGAGTTTACAATATGTTAAATATCACTAGGATTAGAGTCTAGAGTTTAAAATATATTGTATATTACTAGGATGAGTCTAGAGATTACAATATGTTAAATATTACTAGGATTAGAGTCTAGAGTTTAAAATATATTGTATATTACTAGGATTAGAGTCTAGAGATTACAATATGTTAAATATTACTAGGATTAGAGTCTAGGAGATTACAATATGTTAAATATTACTAGGATTAGAGTCTAGAGTTTAAAATATATTGTATATTACTAGGATTAGAGTCTAGAGATTACAATATGTTAAATATTACTAGGATTAGAGTCTAGAGTTTACAATATGTTGAATATTACTAGGATTAGAGTCTAGAGTTTACAATATGTTAAATATTACTAGGATTAGAGTCTAGAGATTACAATATGTTGAATATTTCTAGGATTAGAGTCTAGAGATTACAATATGTTGTATATTACTAGGATTAGAGTCTAGAGTTTAAAATATGTTGTATATTACTAGGATTAGAGTCTAGAGTTTACAATATGTTGAATATTACTAGGATTAGAGTCTAGAGATTACAATATGTTAAAAATTACTAGGATTAGAGTCTAGAGATTACAATATGTTGAATATTTCTAGGATTAGAGTCTAGGGATTACAATATGTTAAATATTACTAGGATTAGAGTCTAGGGATTACAATATGTTAAATATTACTAGGATTAGAGTCTAGAGTTTACAATATGTTAAATATTACTAGAATTAGAGTCTAGAGATTACAATATGTTGAATATTACTAGGATTAGAGTCTAAGGTTTACAATATGTTGTATATTACTAGGATTAGAGTCTAGAGTTTACAATATGTTGAATATTACTAGGATTAGAGTCTAGAGATTACAATATGTTAAATATTACTAGTATTAGAGTCTAGAGTTTACAATATATTAAATATTGCTAGGATTAGAGTCTAGAGTTTACAGTGTGTTAAAAATTACTAGGATTAGAGTCTAGAGATGACAATATGTTGAATATTTCTAGGATTAGAGTTTAGGGATTACAATATGTTAAATATTACTAGGATTAGAGTCTACAGTTTACAATATGTTGAATATTACTAGGATTAGAGTCTAGAGATTACAATATATTAAATATTACTAGGATTAGAGTCTAGAGTTTACAATATGTTAAAAATTACTAGGATTAGAGTCTAGAGATTACAATATGTTGAATATTTCTAGAATTAGAGTCTAGGGATTACAATATGTTAAATATTACTAGGATTAGAGTCTAGAGTTTACAATATGTTAAAAATTACTAGGATTAGAGTCTAGAGATTACAATATGTTGAATATTTCTAGAATTAGAGTCTAGGAGATTACAATATGTTAAATATTACTAGGATTAGAGTCTAGAGTTTAAAATATATTGTATATTACTAGGATTAGAGTCTAGAGATTACAATATGTTGAATATTACTAGAATTCGAGTCTAGAGTTTACAATATGTTGAATATTACTAGGATTCGAGTCTAGAGATTACAATATGTTGAACATTACTAGGATTAGAGTCTAGGGTTTGAAATATTAATAGGATATGAGTCTACAGTTTGCAATATATAGAAATTTACAAGATATTGTTTAGATATTCTCCTGTAGCTGGAGCAGGGGACGGAGGACAACCTGTTCTAGTGAAGAACCATCAGCAAATAATAAGGTAGAAAATCAAACAATGTTAAAGTTCTCGAACCCAGCTTGGCCTTATGCGAGTATTTACATAGACTTATAGACTGTTGACTAGTGCACTCCAGGTATTATTACGTGGTTTTCTTTGTTTTATTTTTTCCTGTTTATACAGACAATAGTTTTCAACTCATTTATTTTAAGGACAACGAGACAATTTTTCACATTTATGTCTCTTACAGAAATTAAGGGTTGGCGAGATATTGAATGTTAATTATTAGTTCTTTCTTAATTTTTATACTTTTCAGGAACTAAACACTCACCATAAACTACAATTTTTTAATCCCTTTATTCTTGCAACCTGATGGTATAATTTTTTAATATTTCAAACTGAGACTATTTAAGAGATTGAAATATAAAAGGTCTATGATACACAGACCTAGATAGAGGGATTAGGAAATTACAATCTGTGACAAGTGTTCACTGCTCAGTTCCTGCATTGTATGTAGTGTTTTGGACTTAAAATAAAAGAACAAACGTTCGTTATGATTCTCTAAAATTGATTTTAAATAACTGAGATATTTATAATAAGAACCAATTATTCAGTATTACTGATTGTTATTTCCGGAGTAGACAGGGTGGTAACAAAAATGATTATGACACTCACATGCATTATCCATATATAGATCTTGAAATTACCCCCGGCCCTCTCCTCCAAGTGTAAATTAATAGAGATATTTGTAGTAAACGGCTCTGGTTTCTAAACCAGTTTAACCTCGTGGCCTCAGACTCTATCTCTGTGGACAGAAACCTCTCCGACGTGAGGTCAGAGGACTGTAGAAGTCTCCGGTATCCGGTCTCGTCCCTTCCTTCAACCTCCGTTATAATCGTATTTCATAACGAGGCCTGGTCTACACTCGTTCGGACTATTCATAGTGTCATAAATACTAGTCCTCGTCAACTACTTCAAGAAATAGTTCTAGGTTTGATTCGTTATTATTATTATTTATTATTGTAGACTAGTATTTGATTAAAACTTGTTCTATTAAGTGGATGATGCATCTGAGCGAAGTTTCCTGAAAGAAGAATTAGAGAATGAGATTTCATCACTCTCCGTCCCTACCAGGGTAGTCAGATCTAGAACTAGGATAGGTCTTATTAAAGCTAGACTCATGGGTGCTAGAGCCTCTCAGGGAACCATATACATACAAAACTTTCATGCATAATAACCTGGTTAATTTATAGGGTAACCAATAAAGGATGAGACGTAGAGACGACTCTACGGAATTAATACCATATATTTATTAATCCCTGCAGCTTGAAACCTGCTCCTTTCTTTGCCCAATGATTAAAAAGACAATGGAAAGACTATATTTAAGGTAGAAGACTTATTTTGATTTTGGAATTATCGTATTTATAGAGTTTGAGGTCGTCTTTACAGTCTCATCTTTTGTGGGTAACCCTATATCTAGGTATAGGAGTTCAGCTATATTAAGTATCCGGTACAGTGGGTCCTATAAAATTTTGGAATAGGAAGACTACATTTAAGCAATCTTATTTGTATTTGATATAGTTGTAAAGGAATAATCTCACCAGGAGCTTAAAAATCAACTTATTATAAGGATTCGTGGAATGATTCTGTGTACACTGCACAATGTTGTGTTCTATGTTCATAGGACTATTCAAGATCATAAATTGAGTCTTACAGTCGTTCTTCTATCCCTCAATGTTCATGGGTCCCGCTGTATATAGGGACCGAGGTATTTAGGTGTTCAGATGCCTATTTATCTAAACTTCTAGATCTTAAAGTATTCAGATATTCACTCATTCTAATATCTAAGTTCAAAAGATTATTTTGCGCCAGGGAAAATATTGATTTTGCAAAATTTTCATGCAAATAAAAATTCTATTCATATTTTTGGGAAGCATAGTTTTTTTTCAAGATTATCCTAATTTAGTTTATATAAAAATAGCGAAAAATTACTTGATAGGGTTAATTTATAAGTAAAAGAATCTTTTCTATTTTATTTAAAACTTTATATTTTAACATTTTCAAATATTTCATTTCATTTGTCAAACAGACACAGCAATATAACTTTTAAGAGATTGTAAACCAAATTTAATGGTTTTAATGGATTTAGATGCGTTTAAATTCTATTTTATACTGAAAGAGCATATTTTAACAAGCCAGGGACATCCTCATCTTTACTTAGTTTCGCGTGCAGTCCAATTCATATTTAAATACTCATTGTATCCTAAAAAAAAACATTTTTTTCTTCAAAGGATTTGAGTCTTTGCCACAAATTCAGATTTTCTAATCCCGATATCTTTGCAACCCATTGCCGTAGATCTTAGATATTTCAAACTATGAATTCTGATAGATCTAATAATCTAAGCTTGAAATATCAAAGGTTTCCACCATCATAGGGATTAGAAAATTTGAGTTTTTGATTCAATTCTTTTGCCTATCATGCATTCAATTTAACTAATTTAAGTCAATTTTCTTTAATTATTTTGATTACTTTTGTCTAAACCAGATAAGTAAAACATTCCTTAAATAAGTATAATACGTAAAATATAGAAAAGCTTTATCTGGATAAAATTTATAAAGGCTCTAAATGAACATAATTCACATCGCTAACTTATTTACATTGAGATAAAAACACGCCTTTTCGTCTAGGAACCAAGAAAATTATCAAAATATTTAAAGTAAAATTATTGACAATGTTTGAACTAAACTTTAAAAAAGAGGTTATTCCATTTTGAAAGAATTAATATCCCGTGTATTTTCCTGTGATTTAAAGATGCCCAGGACAATTATGAGAAATAATATCCCAGAGGATTTACAAATTACATGTCTAAGATTTTCACTGATAAAAAGCATTTTATAATTTATTTCTAAATACATACATAATATCAATTTTTAAAGTGTAACAGCTGATAGAAAACACACTTTTCCTCTAGACTCGATCTTCATGGGATTCGTATATCCAATGTTCCTGGTGCTGGAGGCTCTAGATTGTTGATGAGTGTCAACCTCAGTCTGGTTCACCACCACATCACTAGGCCACTCATCCCAGAGCTCCTCACTCTCATCTCCTTCTCCTTATCCACAACAGCAACCTCTTTAATAGTAATAGAAACCTGGGACGCAGCTATGGTCTTTTCAGATGCTGCTAGCTTGTTGGCAACATTGATAACAGCTGCCTTAGAAGTTGAAATGTACTCAAATATCATCTTTGTGCTGGCCCATTCAAAAAAGTCCCTAATATGTTCTGAGGTGGGACCTGCACAAGCTACTACAGTTGCTGCTGACCACCTATAAGAATGAAAAGTATATCCACCTGCAGGGTGTCCAGCTGTAGTCTCTTCGCCATATCAGAAGGAACCTTATAAACCATATTGCGACCCATTGGTTAGTTAAGGAAAGATTTTGCATTTCTGGTCCAAAGAAGACGACCAGTAAATTTTCCGAGATTCTCTTTAATGGTTCTAATGTATTGGTCAACGATATCAGCACAGCAATATCGTCGGTCCTCGTCCTAAGTTCTCTTGAATGGTTCCAATGTATTGGTCAACGATATCAGCACTGCGACTATCGTCGGTCCTCGTCCTAAGTTCTCTTGAATGGTTCCAATGTATTGGTCAACGATATCAGCACTGCGACTATCGTCGGTCCTCGTCCTAAGTTCTCTTGAATGGTTCCAATGTATTGGTCAACGATTTTAGCACTGCGACTATCGTCGGTCTTCGTCCTAAGTTCTCTTGAAGGGTTCCAATGTATTGGTCAACGATATCAGCACTGCGACTATCGTTGGTCCTCGTCCTAGGGACCAGAAACCTACTAGATAGTTTATCACTTCTTTGCTTGGCCCTTGAATGTGTCACATAGATTCCCTCGGATGTGCTCTCACACAACTCTATCCAAATATCCATCATTTCTGTATGTTTTAGTCCACCATAATAAGCCAAACAAACAATTGTCTTTCTAACAGTTTAATAAGGAGTAGAAGAATCAGCCTCCAAAAGAAACTGTTGGATGTTCCTGGTGCTGAACACATTAGCCTTTTGTTTGATATCAGCATCAAAGCTTTTCAGCAGAATTGTTACTCTGTAGTACTGTTTAAGGTTAAATGAATATTTTCCCCTTGAAAGAGAATTGTAGATTGTCCAAAGATGAAGCTATTCATTTCTCTTCTCTAAGATGTCGAACAAATTGTAAAAACTCATGTTCAGTTTGTGGTCTTGACTTCAGCTGATCTCCAATAAAGTCTCTGAGTTGATTGAAGGCCATCAGATCTGCATCAACGCCTCAGAATCCGGAGATAATTGATGAATCTAACATCCTCCTTGCCAGTTCAACTAACATTGACAAATTCTAGATTTTTTACTAAATTTTGCTGATTTTAGAGTTTTTTCTCGCGTTTTTTCGGTTTAAAAAGGAATATTATAACACAAGGCAGTTGCATAAATAGATATTCTTTTTCATATTTATTCTTTATTTCCATAAATATCATAAATATCATAAATCAAACGGTCGTAGTTTCAACAATTCAGATATTCCTGGAGAAAAGAAAGATAAATATAATTTATTTCTTATTTCTGGAAATTACATAAGTATACATAGAAGTAGCTTTTATAGAATTTTTTTCTGTTTTGCTTTTTATCTGGTACAACTTGGTGACCTTGCAACCTCTCTCTAGTTTTACGCTGAAGTATGGCAAAATTAGAAATTAAATTTTTTTGTTCTCAATAATTATCAATAGTGTAAAAACTTGAGTTATGATTGATAACATGTGAATGTAAACTGAAATTTATTCTACATGTCGTTTTTAAACGAAAGCATTTTGAGTTTTTCATTGCTCATTTAGGGGTTTGTAAAATCTATTTTGTTTTAGGTTTACTAGGCTTTTAGGGCGCTTAGCGCCCATCTTCTATTTCGACTTTTAATTGCGGCTCTATCTGTGAGCATTTTCTCTTTGTACAGTATAAAACAAAAACAAAAAAGTTTGCGGATTTCATAATATTTTTTTCGCGCATTTTCAAATTTTATAAAAATAAAAACTTTTAAATACAATTTTTTTGAATTTTGATCATTCATAAACCTTCCCTTGGGTCACGTGAGGTCCCACACAAAATTTGGGCCCGATCGGTTCAACCGTTTTGACGTTTATTAAGGATACAAACAGACACCCAGACAAGCTAAAGGAATTGAGTCTTTGGAACAAAATCAAATATTTAAACCTCAATATCTTTAGAATTCGATGTTGTAAACCTTTGATGTTTCAAACTCAGATTATTTGATCTAACAGAATTCATAGTTTGAAATATCTAAGGTCTGCAACATTTGGTTCTAGAGATATAGTGATTAGAAAATCAGAGTTTGTGGCAAAGACTCAATTCCTTTAGAAATATGTGTGCAGATTTCGTTTTAAAAATGTACACAATTTACTCAAAAACACTTTGAAACTAGCGTCATCTGTTGAGAACATTTTACAACTTGCAGCCAGTCATTGCTGAACTGTATTTAAACAAGTCTGACATCTGTCAGAAATTTCTAGAAACTTATTGAAGAATACTTTCTCCATTTTTTGTATCAAGTCCATCTTTTTGCACTATTTTCTGGGACCCCCCCCCCCCCCCCACCCCATTATTTCAAATGGAACATCTCCACCATCCCTCCCCCCCCCCTACCCTACCCGATTATTTTGGGGACAGAAGACTTCAGCCTGTTTTGTAGGCAAAAATAGTCTTGAGAACCCTTGGTAAAGAAAAATATTTAATTTCCCAAAAAGTTGTTGCACTTAATTTTATCGTTTAATGATTTGAAAATGCACAAATGTGTTCATGGAAACTTCTGAAACTTATTTTACTGAGTTGTTCCAAGGGAAAACTTGTCATCTAATCTAACTTAAATAATATTATAGTATCTTTATTTACATAAATAATAAAAATGTAAATTATAACAGATAAAAATGTTTATATCATCATAAGTAAAAATAACAATAAACAACTAATAAAGATCAGAAAGTAAAGATACGATAAAATATTTGACATGTATTAAAATAATAAAGGCAGGAATTGAACATTCTAAATAACATTTATTACTTTGCCAGTGATATAAAATTACATATTCGACATAAATTACAAATGTAAGAACAATTTAAAGGAATTCTACTTTTAATTTTCTAATCCCTACATCTTTCAGCCTGATGGTGAACACCTTATTTCAAGCTTTGTCTGTTAAACCCAACAGAACAGAGATGGAGAGGGGTGGGAGGGGAGGGGGAATTTCATCAAAATAAACAATTGAAACTTCTTTGAAGTTTTAGTTGCACAAGTTAAGTCTAAAACATTTTTAAAGTTTTTCTTGTGAAAGAATCTGAAAGGAATACTAACTATAGCTAACTATGGATTCCAAACTTTTACAAATTTTCTAGAAATTATCAGAGATATTTTTTATTTGTTAAGAATCTAAAAATGTAAAGAAAATGTAAAAAGCATATACATTTAAAGGAATTGAGTCTTTGCCACAAACTCTGATCCCTATATCTTTGCAAGTCAATGCCGGAGGTCTTAGATATTTCAAACTTAGTATTATGTTAGATCAAATAATCCAAGTTTGCAATATCAAAGGTTTACACTGTCAGGTTATATGGGATGCTTAAACAGTTTGAGTTTGTGGCAAAGACTCAATTCCTTAGCCACTTATTGAATGAAAGATTTATATTTCCCAGAAAAATTTGAGTCAGTATAATGAAGTGGATTCAGTGGTACGTAATGCATAAAATCGTCATCTGGTAAATAAAGCTATTGACGGGTACACACCTTGGTGAGTATATACAATCAATTTAAATGTATCGGGTAGTTAATGGGGTCACTTGGGATATAAAGTATAATAAAGTATATAAAGTATATAAAGTATATGCTGGTTCCAGGGAAGCGTTCTCACGTTTCTTGATGCTCACTGTGAATGCACAAAAGGATGGTTGGAACCTCTGTTACATAGAATATGGTAAGTCCTCCTTCATTTTATTTTAAAAGATGGGGTTCTTTCACTTTATTCAGAATATGGGTGTGTTAAGATTGTAGAGCACCCTAATCCGAGCTTTCGGTGCGTACTGGAGTGATTTGAAGTACACTGACCAAATGATTAGTGGGATTGGGTGGGTACTGGAGTGATCTTAAGTACACTGAGCAAATAATTAGTGGGATTGGGTGGGTACTGGAGTGATCTTAAGTACTCTGACCAAATGATTAGTGGGATTGGGTGTGATACTGGAGTGATCTGAAGTACTCTGACCAAATCATTAGTGGGATTGGGTGCGTACTGGAGTGATCTGAAGTACTCTGACCAAATGATTAGTGGGATTGGGTGTTATACTGGAGTGATCTGAAGTACTCTGACCAAATGATTAGTGGGATTGGGTGTTATACTGGAGTGATCTGCAGTGCTCTGATCAAATGATTTGTGGGATTGGGTGGAGCAAGGAGAATTGAATAGAAGGAGGGGGCGATAAGGTTTCCGTACACTTTGCTGTGACGTTTTTGGACTGCTGAAGAACTTGTTTTTGCGTAACGACAATAATAAAGATTGTAAACAATAACACAAATGATAAACAGACATCTGGCGCATCTCTGGCGTTAGATGAAGATTCACCGTATACTAACTCATGTTTGTTTATTTTAGATCGGCTGCCTTTGTTATTGTTGTTACGCAAAAACTAGTTCTTGAGCAGTCCAAAAACGTCACAGCAAAGTGTACGGATCGAAACCCTATCGCCCCCTCCTTCTATTCAATTCTCCTTGGGGTGGAGAGTGGTAGACATTTGCACTCTTAAAAAATCCTCAGTAAATGTTGTTTCCGTAAGTTTTTGTAAGAATGTTATGTAAACAGTTCTCCTCAGACTAAACCTGGTTTGTCTAGTCCTATAATCGACCAATCAGAGATCGCGAGTCATGCTTAAAGATTGTTTTCTAGACTATTTTTTAGGGGCTGTGAAAGACGCTTTATGTTAATTTTTATCCACATTTATACACTTTTTTTCTTGATAACATTCCCTTTACTTTTATCCCGCGACAAAAGTCTCGTCTGATGCATGCATTGCACAGTTCTCTTCTAGTTTTATCTTTCGAGTTTGATGAGCAAAGTTTTATAAAAAATATAAATTTTGATTAAATTTTTACAGATATTTCAACAGTTTCAAACTTCTTTTTTTCATAAGCATCAAAGTTTGCAGGAAAAGAGAGCAGGATTTTAAAAAATAAGTAAATTTGCATTTAATTATAATTTTTTTTTAAATATAGTGATCCCAAAATACAGTGAAATGAAAATTTTAGAAAAAAAAAGTTAGTTTAAAGCAATAATGTAATGCAAGGAAAGTTATTTAGAGTTGCGTACACTCTGCGTACATATTGAAACCAGCTCTCTCTGGGCGGAATTTGTAAACAAGAATGCATCAGTGTTCGTTTAGTATCCGAGGAGGTTAAAAGCATTGAATTTTGATAATTCTAATATTTCACATAATAGTTTCCTATGACCAGAATATTTCATTAATTATAATGTGAAAGATGGATCCCATGTCAGGCTTCGACATCCGTCTTGTGTTTACATTACCGCCCAGTGACAGTACATTGCAGTACAAAAGATACGTACACCTCTGAAATAACTTTCCTTGCATTAAATCCTTGGTTTAAAGTAGGTTAACAAGCAGATCGATTGAACCATGTTTGATTGCTCCGATAAAGTATATTTACATTCCTTCCTAATCTTCAGTACGATTTTATTGTAAATTTCGTTATCCATAATGGCCACTTCTGAATTTTAAGCAGAATCTGTTTGATATCTTACTTTTAAATATTCACAATTTCTTTGTTCTCTCATTGGTTGAGCGCTAAATTCCCTGGGTTCTGATTGGCTGTTTATAGAACATACATTATTATTTGAAACCTGGGACCGGATTTAATGAATTGGAGCTAGGTTTAGATACAGTTCAACCGGGTATTTTGAATCAGTGATTCAGGATTTATTCATGTCCTATATATGTAAACTTCACGGGCGGTAGGTATAGCTTTAAGCGACCTAGCTCAAATTTATTTAATCCTGTCCCTTGTGCCTGGTGTAATGAGTTGCGAGTTACACTAGAGTTCAGATAGATCAGAAGGTCAAAGTTTGAAATATAGAAAGTTTCCATCATTAGGTTATAAAAATATAGGGATTTGAAAATGGAGTTTGAGGTGATATTTGTGCTCTCTTAGAATTATTCCACTGCTCACGAGATGATAACTTCATATCCCATATCTTTCAAGGTCCACAATTTTTTCACACGAAAAATGCTAATAATTATTTTAAAATGTAAACAATTTCTTTCTTTTCATTTTTCTTTAGTAGAGTTTGGGAGAACATATACGTCTTTCCTTATTATGAATGGGTTGGTAAATCAAGATTTCCTGGATGATATTGTTTGTTCCGTCCCACTGAGCATTTGTATGACTGCAAGCATGATACAATACAATTATATTCCAAATACAACTCAGCAGCAACTTGTAATTTGCTTTGAGGTTTGTTTATAAATTGAATAAAACATGCATCACAATCTACGTTGCAAAGCAGTATATCAGTACCTTTTGTCGCTGGAAAATCAGATTAATTCCTCTTGGATATTGTTATATATATATATATCCCGTGGTCCGAACCTAGCAGGAATTAAAGGATAATAAAATTAAAGGATAAAACACTTAAAGCTGCCACAGTGGATATTGAGATCAAGCTTTGTTACGCTAAGGGCATTTTAGACACAATTTTTACCTCAGGAAAGCTTTTTCTACAGACTTCAGAGTAAAAAAGATTTACGAGACTTTTTCTTGGAATTCATAAAATATTTTCTCAAATCTCTTTGTTTAACTCATTTTCTCCGTTCTGCTAGTTCAACTCTTTTTTCTCCAATGTCTTAGTTTAACTCATTTTCTCTGATCTCTAGGTTAAACTCTTTTTATACCTCTCAATAGTTTAACTCATTTTCTCTGATGTCTAAGTTAAACTCTTTTTATACCTCTCTATAGTTTAACTTTTTTCAGATATACGAGTATAGCTCATTTCTCCGTTCTCCTAATTAATTTTTTTTCCAGATCTCGTAGATAAACTAATTTTTTTCGATCTTTTAGGTAAACTCATTTTTTCGATCTTTTAGTAAACTAATTTTTTCGTTTTTTTAGTCAAACTCATTTTCTCTCATCTCTTAGTTTAACTCACTTTCTCTGATCTCCTAGTTAAACTCATTTTCTTCGATCTCCGAAGTGGTTTTTCTGATCTTTCATAAGTCAAACCACGGAATTTACGCAATAAGTGAACGGAGAGAAAAAGTTCAACTGGTAGATCAAAGAAAGAGTTTAACTCTGAGAAGAGGGGGTTAACTTATTCCGTCCGATCAAAAATTTCCATCTCTATATGTCAACTATCTAGGGAGTCCCCGACGAGTGTAGTGAGCCCTGTCATAGATATCCTAAATGATGAGACGTTTCAGTATACTAAATCCTTCTCTTTGCACTGGGGAGCATTCAACTGGGAACTACACTTCAGATGGTTCACCATGGGAACCAATATGATTAACAAGGTCAGTATTTTTTAAGCAAGGGGATTTTCTTGCGCGCATTGGATCTTCCCAGGCTACATTTGTTGCATAAAACGTGCTTGGTGGACTCTACACTGGGTAGTCCAGACTGAACAGTCAGTACCACTGAATGCATATATATTGTATCGCCATGGATCATGCAACTTAGGTAGGGTGATGCGACAAACTTGAATTTTCTTATCCCTGTTTCTTTGGAACCCGATGTCGTAGACCTTTAATATTTTTAATTCTGAATTATGTTAGATCAAATAGTCTAAGTTTGAACTATTGAAGATTTACACCATCAAGTTGCAAAGATAAAAAATTGAGTTTGTGGCAAAAATTCAGTTATTTTTTTCATAATTTTTATTAAACATTGATGATATGAGATATTTTCATAGTATACCATACAGTATTTTTATTTTACATTTTTGAATTCGTTGGTCAGACATCTGAGAGATCTCCCAAACTAGACTGTTCATGTTTAAGATGAACATTTATGTTCATACAAGTTCAAGATTTTCTACTTTTATTTAATGTATTTATAAACATCTTTATCATCCTTAATGATTTTCGATATTTGTAATTATTGATGTCTGAAGGTAGTAAACATTAATTCTAAAAATAGCTGTTCAAACCAAGAATATATTTTTCTTCAGTTATCTGCATTCTACACTGTACTGTGTAATATACAGATATTGTGTATACATTATATATTGTACAATACTCCCCCCCCCCCCATAGAGCTGCTTTGGTTTAATGATCCTAGCTTACATACAGTTATGACAATACAATAAATTGCTTGGGAAATCATATAAAAGATATAAAAATATTATCATAAAAACACTTTCTTCAGACATGATTGCTAGGAACATGATTGTTAGAAAAGTTGTTACTAGAAATCCACCAGTTTTTTATTCTGTGTATATGTAAACAATTTAAACATATAAAAATAAGATATGGTTCGCATAAAGAGGATGTCATTAAGTATCCAATTTCCTAGTACTTTCGTTTCCCTTCTTTTACATCTGCAACGTAAGAAAATGCAGAACTAATATAAAAATGTAGAACTGCAATCATACTGCACCTGAACTAATAAAAAAATGCAGAACTGCAATCATGCCTGCACCTGAACTAATATAAAAATGCAGAACTGCAATCATGCCTGCATCTGAACTAATAAAAAAATGCAGAACTGCAATCATGCCTGCACCTGAAATAATATAAAAATGTAGAACTGCAATCATACTGCACCTGAACTAATATAAAAATGCAGAACTGCAATCATGCCTGCACCTGAACTAATATAAAAATGCAGAACTGCAATCATGCCTGCACCTGAACTAATACAAAAATGTAGAACTGCAATCATACTGCACCTAAACTAATATAAAAATGTAGAACTGCAATCATGCTGCACTTGAACTAATATAAAAATACAGAACTGCAATCATGCCTGCACCTGAACTAATATAAAAATGTAGAACTGCAATCATGCCTGCACCTGAAATAATATAAAAATGCAGAACTGCAATCATACTGCACCTGAACTAATATAAAAATGCAGAACTGCAATCATGCCTGCACCTGAACTAATATAAAAATGCAGCACTGCAATTATGCCTGCACCTGAACTAATACAAAAATGTAGAACTGCAATCATGCCTGCACCTGAACTAATAAAAAAATGCAGAACTGCAATCATGCCTGCACCTGAACTAATATAAAAATGTAGAACTGCAATCATGCCTGCACCTGAACTAATATAAAAATGCAGAACTGCAATCATGCCTGCACCTGAACTAATATAAAAATGCAGAACCGCAATCATGCCTGCACCTGAACTAATATTTATGTGGCGCTATATATTTTAATGTCGAAAACTTTTTTTTAATCCAGGTTTTTTCCAAATTAATGCAAATATTATTACTTACTGTAGATATTTATCTTAAGTTAGAGCTGACTTCACTCAAATCTAGAAATAATTACTGGAATAACTTTGTGACCCCGTTGTATCCCTAGTTTAAATTTTACACAAAAGTAGGAGAATAGCAAAGGAACTGAGTATTTGATTGATGGTGTAAATTTTTGATATTTCAAACTTAAATTCATATTTGGTTGAAAATATATAAAGATTATAAAACCAGAGGAGCCTAAGAAACTTAGGTTTGCACCTATTATTATTTGAATTTATAATTTTTCATTTATAAATGATATAATTGATAATATTATTTACACTTCTGTACCACGTGACCAAAGCTCCCACCAATGGCAGTGCAGTATACTGGTCACAGGATACAGACGGAGACACGTGACACTAATAAACGAACAAAAATAAAAATAATAACATCCCTAAAAACGATTAGTACAGATTTCTGATGTACAAGAATGAGACCTGTAAATCATGATTTTCTAATCTCTATTGAAAAAAGGGTTTTAATAAAAAAAATTGACACATGAATACTAACCATTGAATCCGGACTTTATAATTGCTTTTTTGTGAAAAAATATTATGTTTTAGTTGTTAGAAAAGATCATTTTATTTTCAATGAATATAAGAGATGATAACTTTTAAATTCTAAAGTATTTTATCTTTTTCATCAAAACTTGGTCTCATTCAAAAGTTTCCACCTTCGATGAGTTGGTGGATAAATATATTGGAAACTAGATTAGTCCAGAAATAAAGTATTGGCGAATGAATAAAATATCCCCAGAGTATACAATAGATGTGGAAAGGTGGAGAAGAAAGTGTGAAAGTAATTGTCTAAAGTCAGGAATGTCTAGTTTTATTACATGGAACAGTTTAACAGTTCTGTTTTATTACATGGAACAGTTTAACAGTTCTGTTTTATTACATGGAACAGTTTAACAGTTCTGTTTTATTACATGGAACAGTTTAACAGTTCTGTTTTATTACATGGAACAGTTTAGCAGTTCTGTTTTATTACATGGAGTAGTTTGACAGTTCTGTTTTATTACATGGAACAGTAGCATTTTAGTTTATTTACATGGAACATTAATAGTTTAATTTTATTACATGGAACACTCAAACTTTAGTTTGTACAATTTATATTTCTAATAATATTATAACTTCACTTTTCATACATGAATTTTTACAGGTTAATGGTTCCATGAAAGTTTTGAATGAAAATGACTTTTTAATGATTTTGAATAATTCTTGCTTGTGGCTTCTCAACAGATACACATTGAGTTTCCAGGTTAAGGAGTTCTGCAAGATCTTTAAAACTGGGCTGGATAGGAGCTGGAACAGGTACTGTAGAACCGGGTTGAGCTGGAACAAGAAAAGCAAGAGAACCAGATTGGATATAAGCTGTAAGTGGAATGGTGGAAGAACCAGGTTGGATATGAGCTGTAACTGGAATAGTAGAAGAACCAGGTTGGATATGAGCTGGAACTGGAATAGCAGAAGAACCAGGTTGGATATGAGCTGGAACTGGAATAGTACTTCATATTTCATATTTTATTCAACTACAAAGCACTAGACTTATGATTTATATGATTTTGTTCTATTTGGTTCAGCTAAAGAATTAAACATATCATGGAAGGAAGTTGGAAGGTTTTTATAAAAGTATTTTTGCATAAAAGATAAAACACCTAGTTTATATGTATCATCAAAATTTAGGAGTTCTAATCAGAAAAATATTGGATCTGAGTGTGCCTTAAATGATCGCTATTATTTACTGCTCTAATTGCCCTTTTTTGCAGAGACTTGATTTTCTGTAGTTTAGCATTTTTTACTATCTTATTGGAAACATGTTCAATTTGATAGTCCCAATTTAAAAATTCATCAATTTTGAGTCCAACAAATTTGAAATATTTATTTGTACAGTCAGTTCCTATTCTTTATAGTACCTCATTTCCAATTTTTAATTTGCAGTTCTCAGGATCAAAATGCATATTTTTATTCCTAAATATCATAAACTTTGTTTTGGAAACATTTAGTGTTAAACCAGAACCAGATTGGATATGAGCTGTAAGTGGAATGGTGGAAGAACCAGGTTGGATATGAGCTGTAACTGGAATAGCAGAAGAACCAGGTTGGATATGAGCTGGAACTGGAATAGTAGAAGAACCAGGTTGGATATTAGCTGGAACTGGGCTAGTAGAAGAACCAGGTTGGATATGAGCTGTAACTGGAATAGTAGAAGAACCAGGTTGGATATGAGCTGGAACTGGGCTAGTAGAAGAACCAGGTTGAATATGAGCTGGAACTGGGCTAGTAGAAGAACCAGGTTGGATATGAGCTGTAACTGGATTTAGTAGAAGAACCAGGTTGGATATGAGCTGGAACTGAAAACGTAGAAGAACCAGGTTGGATATGAGCTGGAACTGAAAACGTAGAAGAACCAGGTTGGATATGAGCTGTAACTGGAATAGTAGAAGAACCAGGTTGGATATGAGCTGTAACTGGAATAGTAGAGGAACCAGGTTGGATATGACCTGTAACTGGAATAGTAGAAGAACCAGGTTGGATATGAGCTGGAACTGGAATAGTAGAAGAACCAGGTTGGATATGAGCTGGAACTGGAATATTAGAAGAACCAGGTTGGATATGAGCTGTAACTGGAATAGTAGAACTGCACTCTTTGCTTCCTGCTGGCTGGAGATAGTTTTTAATGGCAGACTTACTTGTAGATATATACTGCTGGGGCATAGAAGGATTTTGCCAGCCGAAGAAGTCCATCATTTGTTGAGGACTTGCCCAACTATCAGCTGCTCCAAAAAAACTCGATCGGAAAATTTTCCTATTTTACAGCACCAATATATAAATCTACAATGTCGGCAAAGATAGTTTCTCTTGAGCGTGGGATGCTTCAGTATGACGGAGAGAAGAACAAGAATGTTTTAAATTTTTACTAAAACTAAATTCTGCTTTTTTTCTGGCCGTAAATAAAAGCTAGAGGAGCTACGAGGTCACAAAGTTGTACCAATTATGTCGTAGAAATTTCTGTCTAGTGGACTGTGACTTGTGAGTTGGTTAGGAAATATCCATAATTGGAAATAGAAAATAATTCATAACATTCTCTTTAAAGCTTTTGATCTCATGAGTTAATACAATCAAATGCAATCAACTAATAGCGTTGAATTGAGTTATCATCGCTAACTTTAATTAAAAAAGTTTATTTTAAGAAAATTGAATTTCAAACAAAGCTTTAATAGAAATGTAAACAAAAGAACCTATTTCCGGAGATATTAGATTATTAGAGAAAGAAATCTGTTTCGAGCTTTCTCTCTTTTGTTCCATTGATAACTTAACATTTTTCATTTCTTTTCATTTATTTATCTATTTATCTATTTTCTTTTTATCATCTATTCATCTATTTCTTTAATCCATTTATCTATTCACCTATTTTCTTTTAGTCCATTTATCTATTCATCTATTTTCTTTTTATCCATTTATATATTCATCTATTTTTCTATTCATCTATTTTCTTTTACTCTATTTATATATTCATCTATTTATCTATTCATTTATTTTCTTTTAATCTATTTATCTATTCGTCTATTTTTCTTTTAATCTGTTTATTTTTTCATCTATGACTATATATGTTTATTTGTTTGTTTGTTTGTTTGTTTTTTGTTTTTTTGTTTGTTTGTTTGTTGTTTATCTGTTTCTAAGTATATTGTTTAGCATAAATTTGTATTCTATGAATATTCGATATTATTTGTCGGGACTGAGTCTCTGGACTCCTTATATTCATTGTCAGACCAGATTAATTATCATTTTCTCTCGGACCAGAGAATAAAACATTAATAAAGAAAACTATGCTTGAATAATTTTCAATAATTTCAACAAAAATTTAATCAAAAAGATTATTTCAAAGAAAAATAAGTTCATGATCTTATTTCATTTCTATGTAAAAAGAGAATTTGATATATAACCTTGCCTAGCAGACAGTACAATCCAAGGATAACCCCGCAAGAAAGAAACCGGTTGCTCTAAAGTCTCGTTAAAGAATAGTTTCTATAAAATTATCTTTTCAGAAAAAAATAATTCAGATGGTTACATATTTTATCCGGAAACATAACATTTTTTAAATTTTTTGTAAATTTTATGACCGTTAAACTTTTTTTTGAATATTAACGCTAACAGAACAAGAAGTCTCAAATATCACTCCATAACACGTAAATATCATCGTCAATATTTTAACATTTTTGATCAAAATAATCACTTTTTCATATTTTATAGTTTTAATCATTTTTCTTATTTCCGTTTCTTGTTAATTAATCTGGAACACGATACATTAAGGAGAGAGAAGGAAAATTTAGAATAAATCTGTTCATTTATGGGAGTAATATAGGAGTAAATAGGAGTAATATAGGAGTAATATAGGAGTAATATAGGAGTAATATAGGAGTAATGTGGAATTTAGCTTTATCTTTTGAAGTTGTTTTGACATTTTTGTTGAATGGAATTATCTTTGTGCCATTTATTTTTCTACATTTTGTGAAACTATTGTGTACTTTATCATTCTTACTCACTTCATCGTGAATTTCATAATGAACGTGCTATAAAGTAATCATCGTGCTATAAAGTTAAATTAGCTTACTTTATAGCACGTGTGCTATAAAGTTTTGATTGGTTCCAGGATTTCTCCAAAAAATTTAGAATATCTCCAAAATATTTTTTTCAATTGAAATGAAAATTTGACTTCTGCTTTGTTTCAAAGCTTATTTGATCTAGAAATAGCCATTGAAATAAGACAAGTACACAAAATTACCTATAACACTAACATTTTGGCACGAAGTTCTATAAAGTTTTTGAACTTAAATTTTCTCTATATCTCGAAGGTTCTCGCCTTTTTAGATTATATTTTGTCCCTCGCTAAAGGCTAAAAAGGCTTGAACCTTCTCGATAAAAAGAAAATTTCTGTCCAAAAACTTTATAACACTGCGAACCAAAATAACAGTGTTATAAATAGTTAATTATAGCATATTATGTTTATAGTTATGCTGAGCTTGTTTAAAGGGACTGTAAGCATAATTTAAAGTGACCTTACATGCAAAAATTACAAAGCCCGATTTAAAACTTTAATCTGATGAAAAATGTGGAATATTTTCCATTACTTTTTAAAAACAAGAAATGTGAAAACAATTTTCGCAGAGAAACTGCAAATGAAAAACAATTAGACATTGATATCTAGTTAATTATAGCATATTATGTTTATAGTTATGCTGAGCTTGTTTAAAGGGACTGTAAGCATAATATAAAGTGACCTTACATGCAAAAATTACAAAGCCCGATTTAAAACTTTAATCTGATAAAAAATGTGGAATATTTTCCATTACTTTTTAAAAACAAGAAATGTGAAAACAATTTTCGCAGAGAAACTGCAAATGAAAAACAATTAGACATTGATATCTAGTTTATACTGTAAATCGGGCATTTTCATCTTTGCATGAAGGGTCTCGAATTACGCTTATTATTATTATTATTATTATTATTATTGTATATTGTATGGAGGGATGAATGGAATATGTAAATATGTCAACTTATGATAAATATTTCAGAGACGGTTTAACAGCACCGTACCATACGGAACTCCTGTAATGGCCGGAGGACTGTTTAGTATTCTCTCCGAGTACTTCTGGTCCTCTGGATCCTACGACGAGGAGATGGATATCTGGGGAGGAGAGAACCTGGAGATGTCCTTCAGGTAAGGGTGAAAAATGTCAAATCCTTTTTGCACCAGCAAAAATTATACAGTAGCAAATTAGATGTAGAAGCACCATTTGTAAAAGAAAAAGCTGAGAAAATCATAACTTATTTCAGTCAACATAGGTTGTCAAGGAATTCGATTTTCAATTTTTTCAAAAAGGTTGTTATTGGGGTATAAAAAAATAAATACTGTCTGCATTTAGATATTTTAGATATTTTATATTTTAGATATTTCAAAAAATTGTTTAATTTTAGGTTAAAAAATCTATTTTTTTTATACTCTGGCAAATATCTTCCTAAAAAGCTGGGTTTCTGCTTATGATTGTATTAATGTTAAGGGATTTTTTTGATTTTAACGTTTTTGAACTCAGTGTTTAATGGCAAATATTTTGATACCCAACTTTATTTATTGATTTATTGGTGGTTTCAGGATTTGGCAGTGTGGAGGCCGGGTTGAGATATCTCCGTGTAGTCGAGTTGGACATGTGTTCAGAAAAGCAAGTCCTTATACCTTCCCTCGTGAGGGTGGAGTAGGTGCCGTGCTACATGGAAACCTTGCTCGTCTTGCTAAAACCTGGATGGATGATTATGCCAAGTTTTATTTCAAGATTAACCCTAAGGCAAGTCAAGCTTCTCTCTCTCAAGATGTTTCTAAAAGACTGGAATTGAGAAGAAAAATGAACTGTAAATCTTTTGAATGGTTTCTGGAGACAGTTTGGCCGGAAAATTTCTTCCCACGCCCAGGACAGTTCTTTGGAAAACTGTTGAATATAAATGAAGGGAAATGTTTACAGAAACCAAGGAGAAGACCTGGATCACATTCATCGCAACCCTCAGGACCAGCAATACTAGAGAACTGCGTTAAAGAACAGTTCTACGGAGAACAGATGTTTACGATGAACAAGGACGGATATCTAATGGGAGATGAATCTACATGTTTAGATGCTCCACAGTGGAGGGAACCTGATGCTGGAGTAAGGTTCTCCGCCTGTAGTGAACAGGACAGACAAGGTTGGGAGTTCTCCGAGATAAACTCTGACATGGTTCAGGTTAAACATAAACTTAGTGGACTCTGTCTTTCCGTCCCGTCCAGCGCAACCAGTGATTCTATAATCCTGGAGAAATGTTCGGATGGAAAGAACCAAGTTTGGAAGAAGGAAGTGGAGTCCTGGTGAAATCTATGGTTGTGTGAAGTTATTAGGAAGAGAAGAGTAGAGCAAAGTCCGGAGAGGAACTGATAAGAAAATCGTTCCTTAATCCTCATTTCCAGATCAGTAGATGATTGATGAGTTTTAAACAACTCAGAATATAATCCTTGTGATGATTCTTGTCAGATATGCACAGTGCTATCCACAAAGGATGAGACTTTAGAAACAAATTTACGGAATTAACTTGGTTCTCTGTCACTGTTAATTTGTTTCATGTCCAAATCATTAAATATATTGTTTAAAACTATATGCGAAGTAAAAAACAAATCTCAGCCTTCAAATCGTTATATATTTTATAGTTTTAGATCGTCAAAAAAGGTCTCATCCTTTATGGTTAACCCTGTATTACATCATTAAATAAGATATTCTCTTTTATCCTCTCAGAGATGTACTTATCAAAAGAAAAGAATAAAGTTCAAAATGTTCAATGTTAGAATAATAAGATCCAACCTACACAAAATGGATTAATTCTTCTTAATTCAGAACGTTATTTTTTTAACTCTTTATCTTTTATCTTTTTTGTGTTGAATACTCATAATACCGATCGCTTGAACTCGATATCCACTGCAGACACTTTTGATTTGAGGACCGATGCTTGATTTCTTCATTTCAGTTATTCCTCCAGGGTACGATTACCATGCGGGATATTGAATAGAGTTTAAATTAATCTGCGGATTAACAAAAGATCGAGGTCTGAACAAAAGATCGAGATCGAGATCTGAACGAGATCGTATTTGATCTAGATATCCACAATGCAAGAGTTCCCAGCTCAGATCTAAATATCACCAAAAAAACAATGATAATTGAAAAGTAAAATTAGTATAATTCAGGAGAACGTTTAATCGTCAGGAATAAATCGAATTTTTTTAAGCCAATAAGCCGGAGCTTGATTTATTTCAGCGTTTAAATAAATATATTTTAACATTGTTTACACTTTCTAGAAGATCACAAATTATCAGGGATGATTGCTGATGCAACTACATATATTTAGTTTAAAAGGAGTGTTAAAAGTTTTAAAATGTTTATGACAAACTCTGATTTAAAATCCTTATATCTTCGCTATAGCCAATGTCATAGAACTTAGATATTTCAAACTTTGAATTGACTTAGATCAAATTATCAAAGTTTGAAATATCAAAGGTTTACACCATCAGCTTAGTTGCAAAGATATATAAATTAAAAGGGGTACAGACTCAATTCCATTCTTTTATATTTTAGTCAAGTTTTCAAGTATTGCGTAAAATCCAAAATGATTAATATTGGATTGTTCGTAACCTTTAATTGCTTAACCTGAGACCAAGTTTAATGAAATTGAGCTAGGTTGATGAACTATCTATTGTCGATGAACTATCGCCGTGTAGTTTACATCTATAGCATATCGAAATAAATCCTGAATCACCGATTCAAAATTCGTGGTTAAGCCATCTCCAGGCCTAGCTTAAATTCATTAAATCCGGGTCTCAGATTTTGAAAAAAATTTTTTTGAGCAGTTTAATCGGTTAAAACCGTTTGAACGAAAAACTTTGAAAACTCAGATCGATATAAAACTAGATAACTCACAAGAGGCCAAATTTAAAGAATTTGAGCCGCGGCTTAAATTTGAGACGCGGCTCAAATATTGACCGTTCCACTTAAAATTGTATTCAATGTTTCAAGATTTAAGCCGGCGCTCAATTGAAGCCGGTTTTTGACGGATTTGAGACGCGGCTTAAATTCATTAAATTAGAATTTTTTTCATTCATCCTGTCTATGTTTGTATACCACCCTTTAAATCCTTGGAGCACTTTATTTTATACAAAAATGCTTCAATGAATGGTTTTAAATGCAATTATGTTTCTTGCTTGAGCCTAACATAGGGCAAGCCTATAGCACAGTTTTTTTCATTCTCCCCGCCCTTAATCGTTCATACTTTTCAATAAAATTGACGAAACAGTTGATTTTATAACAGTTCATCATAGAGTTCTCGGTCAAAAGCGCAATCATTGTATTCGAATCCCTCTGTATTTTAAGATATAAAAAGCTCGTCAAGGGAGTGCTAAATATCAGTGGTATTCAGTGACGACTTTTAAAATCATAATTAATAGTAAAATAAAGTTTAAGAAATGGGATCAAGCTTAAGTTTGGCCAAACTTCTAAATATCTTAATCGTTAAGGTAAAATTTCAAACCAAACGAGTGGATGCTGTCAGATTTAAGACGGTTAAAAAGTCATCACTAATTTCCTGTAGAACTTCTCCCAAGATCATCATCCTTGAATCTTCCACAGATTTTAATGGTGTTCGGTCCCTGGTCCAAAGTTTTTAAACCAGAACCCGTAGCTGATCCCTACTAGGGTCAGAGCAAGGGTTACGATTACAAAACATCTGCTGCTTGAAGACGATCTTTGCGGAGCCTGCAGGAAGGTTTAAAATCAAATGTTTTGTTATCAGGTTTAAAGGGACTGTTAAGGAAAAATAAAAGAGGTTTTAAGCTAATACTCAAACACTTTTGGAGTTAATTGCAACCTATATGAGTAAGTAAGTAGTAATGTTATTATGAATGCTACAAGTTATTTTGATAACTAGTAATTTTTATTACTAATTCTACAAGTTAGTTTGATAACAAGTAATGTTATTATGAATTCTACAAATTAGTTTGATAACAAGTAATGTTATTATGAATTCTACAAATTAGTTTGATAACAAGTAATGTTATTATAAATTCTACAAATTAGTTTGATAACTAGTAATATTATGAATGCTTCAAGTTAGTTTGATAACTAGTAATGTTATTATGAATGCTACAAATTAGTTTGATAACTAGTAATGTTATTATGAATGCTACAAGTTAGTTTGATAACTAGTAATGTTATTAGGAATGCTTCAAGTTATTTTGATAACTAGTAATGTTATTAGGAATGCTTCAAGTTAGTTTGATAACTAGTAATGTTATTATGAATGCTACAAGTTAGTTTGATAACTAGTAATGGTATTATGAATGTTTCAAGTTAGTTTGATAACTAGTAATGTTATTATGAATGCTACAAGTTAGTTTTATAACTAGTAATGTTATTAGGAATGCTTCAAGTTATTTTGATAACTGGTAATGTTAATAGGTATGCTACAAGTTAGTTTGATAACTAGTGCTATTATTATGAATGCTACAAGTTAGTTTGATAACTAGTAATGGCATTATAAATGCTACAAGTTAGTTTGATAACTAGTAATGGTATTATAAATGCTACAAGTTATTTTGTTAACTAGTAATGTTATTATGAATGCGTCAAGTTAGTTTGATAACTATAGTAATGTCATTATAACTTATAATGATATTGTAAATATTAAGTGTTGAAGTTAGTTTGATAACTAATTATGTTATAATAAAGGCTACTTAAGTTAGTTTGATAACTAGTAAGTAGTAATGCTATTGTGAAAACTACTTTTAAACACTAAACATTTTAAGTCAAATGCTTAAACTCGATCAAAACTCTAAGAAAACCAGGATGAATACATTGAATAAGTTTATAATACTGAGAATGCCAGCAGGAATAGTTCATACAATAAGAATGCTTAGAATTAGTTTAAATAATAATCACAATAATGAATGCTTAAAGTTTGCTAAAAGAATGAAAGTGCCATTATGAATGTTCAAAGCATGGTTAGAATACTAATAATGCATGAATGCTCTAAGCTCCAGGTTAAATTAGAATACTAAAGACATGAATTTTCCTGTTTATGCTTGAAGAACGGTTTAGATTTCTCAGGGATAAGTTAAATACAGAGAGAAGAGAAGGAACATTCCAGTAAGATTGTCTTCTCGGAGTAATCTTTGCAATCTTACATAAAGTGTGTTGAGACAAGTCCGAGGAATCCGGGGATAATGTTTAGACCAGAAAAGGGAATAGAACTGATGTGCTTAAGGAATTTTCTTCCAAATATATCCAGGCCTAATATTCCAAATATGTCCGATATATATCCTAACATATCCAAAATTTATCCAAACATATCCAAAATATCCTAATATATTTAAATGTATCCAGAGTATATCTTAATATAAATTCAAATTCTTCCCATATAATATATCCTAACACATCCAACTCTTCCGAATATATTCTAAATATATTCAAAATATATTCAAAATATATTCAGGATATATCCTTACATATTCAAACATATCCAGAATATATCCTAAAGTTCCAAACATATCCAGAATATATCCTAATATTCTAAATATATCCAGAATATATCATAAAGTTCCAAACATATCCAGAATATATCCTAATATTCTAAATATATCCAGAATATATCTAATATACTGGACCTGAATATAATACGTACTTTCCTAAGGAATTGAGTCTTTGCCACAAACTCTGATTTTCTAATCCAAATGTTGCAGACCTTAGATATTTCAAACTATGAATTCTATTAGATCAAATAATCTGAGTTTAAAATATCAAAGGTTTACAACATCGAATTCTAAAGATATTGAGGTTTAAATATTTGATTTTGTTCCAAAGACTCAATTCCTTTATTTATAATGCTGAGGCCAAAATTATAAACTTTCCCTAAAAATATTCTTAATCCGGCTAAAAGTTCTTTATACTTGGTTTAAATCTTAAGTCACTCAACAAATAAAGCTTTAATTTAGAGATAACCATAATCGTCACAATCGTAAATAAAAAAAGAATAAAAAACCTTATTTTACATATTGTTGTAAAAACTAACCTTTATCATTTATCGTTATAACTTTGCAATCCGATAGTGTAAACCTTTCAAGTATTGAGTATTTGATTTCACAAAATTCATTTGGAAAGCAAAAACGTCCGCAACATCGTTTAATTTAATTTTTTTAAGGGAGTGACCGACAATGTAGGGTAGTTGAACTGAGAATGTAGTATTGTGGAGAAATTTTGTAGGAATCATTTAAGAACTATGAGACGCTTTCATGGTGCATATTTGTTCAGCAAGAGGGCAAATTCTATCTTTAAAATCCTCATAGGATTGTTCATTTTAGAGAAATGATTTTGAGAACCGGTTTTTGAAAAATTATTTAATAACGACGACAAAAAATGTAGTAAAAATTCTACAGTAAAATAAATATAGATGTTAAGGAACATGTTGAGAAAATAAAATTTAAATATATCATCAAAAATAAGTAATCTTATTACGTTATCATGGTTTCTGTAATGTTTCATTGTTCAAAAACATTTTCTGTAGATATCCTGGAATTTTTATTGAAAAGATGACATTTGAAGAATTTGAAGAAATCCGCGAACAAATTCATAAAGAATAAGAAATTCAATACAATGATGAAAAATAAATGATTGATTCTAACATTGATTTATTGAGAAATAAGTTCCAAAACATGTAATTAGTTCACTGTAGAATTTGTTTTACATTTTTTGTCGTCGTTATTAAATAATAAAAAAGATTCTCAAAACGTAACCACCCAAATGGATGGTTTTAAACGTCGCGTCGACTTTCAGCTCCAACTCAGTATTTATACATCATTAAAGTGTTTTATATGTCTCAAATGAATCCTAAAACATTTCTCCACAATACTACATTCTCAGTTCAACTACCATACATTACTTCCTTTAATGTTGTGTATAATTTCAAACAGGTGAACAGTCCCTTTGCTGAAGATAAAATATGTAAACAGTTCCTTTATTGAACAGTGCAGAGAAGAGAAAACATGAAAGAAGGAATTAAGTTTTTATTTAAAAATCATCTTGTCCTTTTTTAACAAGGAATTTCAGCGCTGTTATACAGGATTGGTTTTAAATATATTTTTAATATATAGATATCCCTATCTTTAGAGATCAATATCCCTATCTTTAGAGCTCAATATTCCTATCTTTAGAGCTCAATATCCCTATCTTTAGAGCTCAATATCCCTGGTCTCGTTAAAAGCAAATGCCAAAACTTCAATCTCATATTCCTTAATAAATGAATAATGTATCGAAACATCTTTTTTATCTTTCAGAAGTTAATCTTTCAGAAGTTTATCTTTCAGAAGTTTATCTTTCAGAAGTTTATCCTTCAGAAGTTTATCTTTCAGAAGTTTATCCTTCAGAAGTAAGTCTTTTTGGAGTTTGTATTACAGGACTTTGTAAAAAAAATCCACAAAAAAAATTAATGGAAATAACTTAATTCCTTGAAGACAAAGATGATTATTGTTTTGATTGGTTGAAATGTTCTATTATATATCCTGAGCTGAAAGCTTTAGAATGGTGGATATCAAGATTAATGCTTAATCCACTCTTTTTCTTAATCTCCAGATTAAATATAGCTTGTTCTCCACATGAATTTAATCTCCAGATTCATTAACAGATCGGATTAAGGATATCTCATTCTAAAGTTTTCAGCTCAGGTTATAATAAACCAGAAAGGTGTGACCCTCTTTATATAGTAGACAATAAGAAGATTTACGAAAGAAAAGATTAATCACAGCCTCATAATGTAATAACTTGAAGTTGTAGAGAACTATTTTTTTGTTTTTAAAGGCCCCTTTTTTGTGGAGACATCTTACAGGCAAAACTCCCTAAAAAAGGATTATATAATATACTAGGCTTTTAGGGCCTTGCTCTAGTAATAATTTGAGCTTTTAAATCCTTCTATTTTTTCTGTGAGAAATAACGCCGTTTTCACGTTTATCTGACACAGACAGACACACAAGCAGAAGATGGATATAAATATATATTGCTTAACACTTAATGCTGTAAAGGTATGGAATGAAAGAAACTAATTTTGGAACTGGTCTGACAGTTGATTTTAATTTAATACGTTTGTGCAGATATATTTACTTTTTTCACCCAATTTATTGTTTTATTATGGAAATACAAAGTTTCAGGATACACACCGATATCAGGATACTTGGATGTTGAAGTATCAGGATACACCAATATTAAAGTATCAGAATACACCAATGTTAAAGTATCAGGATACACCAATGTTAAAGTATTAGGATACACCAATGTTAAAGTATCAGGATACACCAATGTTAAAGTATCAGAATACACCGATGTTAAAGTATCAGGATACACCAATGTTAAAGTATCAGGATACACCAATGTTAAAGTATCAGGATACACACCGATATCAGGATACTTCGATGTTGAAGTATCAGGATACACCAATCTTAAAGTACCAGAATACACCAATGTTAAAGTATTTTTAAACCTTTCCTGATATTTGTTTGAGCAGCGTTGCAGCACCTTCACATGTATACTGAAAATATTTAATTAACATTTTATGAAAATATTAACAAAGAAATTGAGTCTTTGCTACAGACTCAAATTTTCTAATCTCTATATCATTAAATCCTGATGGTGTAAATCTCAAATTTTCTAATCTCTATATCATTAAATCCTGATGGTGTAAATCTCAAAATTTCAAACTTAGATTATTTGATCAAACAAAAATAAAAGTTTAAAATATCTTATAGAGTCTACATGACTGGGTTGCAAAGATAAAGGATTAGAAAACCAGAGCTTGTACCTAATACTTAACTCCTTATTGACGAATATATCGATAGAAAGAGATTGTTTCAACTACTGGTTCAAGCTCAAGTACTGTAGAAAGCAATTTATTTTGTAAAATTAGTAAGGCAGATCCGTACTTCGCAGATTTTTCATCATATGAGATTACAGATTTTAAAGTTACAAACTAAATACTTGACAATTCATAAGTTGAATCATTTAAAAAATATATCGGCAAATCTCAACTTAAAGGTCAGAATTTTGAGATGAATTATGAAATATATCAACAAGTTAGGTAGTTCAAAGGAATTGAGTTTTTGCCACAAACTTTCTTTTCTAATCACTTATCTTGGCAACACAAAGTCGTAGACCTTAGATATTTCAAACTATAAATTCTGACGAGATAATCAAAGGGTTACACCTTCAGGTTGCAAAAAAATATAGATTAGAAAGTTCAGTTCCCTTGAATAACTAATTTATAAAAATGTGGTTTTGTCGGTACGTAGAGGAAGCAGTTAAACCAGCCGTACCTAGTTTGACCTCTTTTCTACCATTTATAAATTCTAGATTTTTCTATTTCTGAACATACATATAGAATATACTCAGCTAAACTATACATATAGAATATACTCAGCTAAACTATACATATAGAATATACTCAGCTAAACTATACAAATGCATGAAAGGTAAAATGTTTGTGGGATGTAATAATGCATTGCAATTCTTGAAATGGTCTCGCTGCTCCCAAACTTGGAGAATATGAAAAAAGTTTTTTCCTTTTTCGCTAAATTGTGAGAATTCTCAACACACATAAAGAATATTTTCAGTAAAGATGAAAAGGGGTTTCATTCAATATCTCATTCAATACTGGCTGGGGAGGGGGGGTAGTGGGGGAGTTTATTATTGATAGAGTTTATTTCTATACAGTTAGGACATACTTTGATCTAGTTAGCTTTCCCTGAGGGTAAACTAAAGCACGCACATGAAGCAAATTAAGATAAAATGGAAAAAGAAATTTTCAATCTAAGGTCAACGACATTAGGTTTGAAATTTGATGATATTTTATGAAAAAATGGGTTTTAAATGTCTTACCTATCTAGCGAAATATTGTCCGCGTCTATTTTCTTAATTTCATAATATTCCGAGGCTAGATGGCTTAGACCAGATATTTCTCTTCTCAGCTGGNCGGGCAGCCGTAGTACATTTGAATTTCCGAGTCGGGTCAACCTTTCCGGTCCCAGTTTGTACTGTACTAGCCGGTGCAACAAGGTTGACGCGGTCAGACTTTATGCTTAATACAGGCTGAATTTACTTTTCCTATGGGGGCAGATTTGCGTGGGATACAGGGCTACATACAGAAGATGAAACTGTAACGAGGACCAGGAACTCTTCATATATGACGATCACAGGGTTAAATCATGTATTCTACCTTAGATGTAGTATGGTAATAGCTTATCTAATGATTTGGCAAAGAAACAAACAAGTTTATAGATGCAGGGAATCAAAAACATAAGGAAACAGACAGTATAAAATCCGTACAGTCGTCTCTGAAGTCTCATCCTTTGTTGGTAACCCTGTTTATAAATTGCAACAATACAATCGCAACAATATAAATAATCCTCAAAAATTCCACATTTTCATTATTCTCACTGTATTGTAAAAGTATAAAATTAGTAAGTAAGGAGAGGGCGAGACAATGAATTAAAAAACCAATTATTTTGTTAAAAATGTGGAGGAAGAAAACTGCGAGTAAACCTGGCGAACTAAATGTTAAAGGAAAAACTAAATAAATAGAAACCAAGATAGAAATTAATAAAAGAGGAAAAATATGAAGTAGTAAATAAGAAATAAGATTTTCTATTCAAACAACGGACTTAAGTTATATGTTTTTTTCGCCGGGATGTTTGTTTTGTTTTTTTGCAAAAAAATCCCACTCTTTATTCAGGATTAAAATACTTGAATTTAATCCGAAAACAAACAAGAATGAGTAAAATTCACAAAAAAATATCGCGCCAAATAAAAAAAAATGCCGGGTGGTTGGATAAACAGTCATGATCAGAAAGACCAAGAATTAATTGACAATAAATCAGACAACTTTACATTTATATCTCTGGCAACTTTAAATGCATAGAAAAGGCAGACCACATTTTGGAAATGGCAGGACTAAGGCTATTTTGTGGTTACCGATTCATCAATCATATTTGTTAAATTAGATTGTAAAGTCGTCTGACTAATTGTAAATTAATTCCGGGTCTTCCTGATTATAGACTGTATATAAAGGAATTGAGTCTTTGCCACAAATTCTGATTTTCTTATTTCAATATCTTCTTAACCCAATGATGTCGTAGACCTTAGATATTTCAAACTTTGAAATATACTAAATCAAATAATCTATGTATAAAATATCTAAAGTTTACACCATTGGGGTGTAAAGATATATAGAGAAAAAGTTTGATTTTGTGGTAAAGACTCATTTCCTTTATTAAATTTAAATGCAGAAAGGATATTGAAGAACCTATATTATTTACGGATGTAGAAGAAACTTAAATTCATGGATACGCCTGTTATATTCAAATTCACCAATCATATTTTTGATTACTTAATTCTTCATAAAAATCAACACACAAAAAAATAAGAAAAACCGGGTTTGCCAGGATAAAAAGTCATTTATTGGCACCGAAGCTTGAAATTGAACATTTACTTGGGAAATTGAGGGTTAACTATTTTCTCAAAATTGGATAAAAGAAATTGTTAATAAATTTAACAACAGAAACAGTATGATAGCGAAGAATAAGGGAAGCAAAGGAAAAAAGACAAAAAGTAAAAAGGAAGTGAAATAGAAAACGTAAGAATATGAAAGAAATAAATCACAAAAAAATAAACTAGAAAAAAAATAAAAATTAAGAGAATAAAAAGGAAAAAGCCTAAAAAGAAAGGAATAAAAAACGGAAAACACTAAAAAAGAAAAGAATAAAAAAGAAAGAAAATAAAGAATGAAATTGTTTCCCTAAGCTTGAAGCAGACCCAATACTGTTCCTTCTGTCGGAATATATTTGACTCTCAGATTTCGGAACAAAGGTTTTCTCATTCTTCTCCATAGGGTTGACTGTAACAGTAATGAGAGGGAAGGATAGGTTTGGGTTGAGTGGATGAGAAGAGCAAGGGTTAAGTAAGGCTGGAAATGGCTGGGTTCGTTGAGGTTTCCCGTTTTGCAAACTAAAATTATTAAATTATATTTGTTATCTATGAAGCTCTTATTTTAATGATTTAATTCAATTAAATTTAAAAAAGCTCTTATATATTATATGTTAGCAATAGCTGGCCATAAGACTGAACTAAATTGGCTGATTTTTTTTCATAATAAACATCTTGTTTTGAATTTTTCTGTGAAGTCAGTACAATAAGATGGCATATATACTTTGATTTGAGTAAAATGTGGCATTTTTGGGACAGTGTACTGCATAAACCGTTCTTAACCAAACTTAAAAAATAAAGTATAAATGCAAATTTAGAAATCATTACGTTTTAATAATGTTTTTTTAATCCCTATAGTCCATTTGATCGAAAAAAGTGGGAAAATATTAAAACAATTTTCTAATATTCATTATACAATAAAACTAGAGATGCAAATTTCTGCGAATTTTTATTTTTTTATTTAAAAAATTGGTATTTCACTTAGACCACCTTAATTTGATGTAACACAAATTACGTTTGTTTGACAGTATAACTTGCTGAAAATAATGATTTTTCAGATCTTGTTAATTTTAAACGTATTTTGGTTAGATTATTAGAAAAAATCTTACATCGTAATTAAATTTTTAAAATTATAAAGCATTTTCTTTTCCCTGGAAAATCAGAAATTTCACAAAGATTAAGTAAAATCACCTACATTGTTCAGGTGGGCGAGCCTTTCCAAAATATCACAGATTTAATTTTTTCAACATAAAGTTTGTTAAGAAAAATGTAAAATTATATATGATATTTCAAGAAAATGAGAAAATCCGCGAAAATGCATACTTTTTGGATTTTCCTAAATACTATTCTAAAATCATCAGATAATTTCCGTTAGGATTCAAAAGTCATTAGTTCCGTTTACTTTTTTAAAACTAAAGCCTGTGTGCAATTTTTAAAACTTGTTCAATGATAGCATTAAAATTTTTCATATTAATCCAATATCAGTGTTAAAATTACAATGTGCTAAACTTTATCGATAAAACTAATTAACATTTTTTTGATCTTTTGTAAAGCTTCGAAAACAATTTGTTTAACTTTATCTCGAGAAAAATTAGAAAATTTCATGTTTATCAGCTAAACAATAAATTAGAATATTTCATGTTTATCAGCTAAACAATAAATTAGAATATTTCATGTTTATCAGCTAACCAATAAATTAGAATATTTCATGTTTATAAGCTAAACAATAAATTAGAATATTTAATGTTTATCAGCTAAACAATAAATTAGAATATTTCATGTTTATCAGCTAACCAATAAATTAGAATATTTCATGTTTATAAGCTAAACATTAAATTAGAATATTTCATGTTATAAGCTAAACAATAAATCTAATAATTCATGTTTATAAGCTAAACAATAAATTTTATATTTCATGTTTATCAACTAAACAATAAATTAGAATATTTCATGTTCATAAGCTAAACAATAAATTAGAATATTTCATGTTTATAAGCTAAACAATAAATTAGAATATTTCATGTTTATCAGCTAAACAATAAATTAGAATATTTCATGTTTATCAGCTAAACAATAAATTAGAATATTTCATGTTTATCAGCTAAACAATAAATTAGAATATTTCATGTTTATCAGCTAAACAATAAATTAGAATATTTCATGTTTATCAGCTAAACAATAAATTAGAATATTTCATGTTTATCAGCTAAACAATAAATTAGAATATTTCATGTTTATCAGCTAAACAATAAATTAGAATATTTCATGTTTATCAGCTAAACAATAAATTAGAATATTTCATGTTTATCAACTAAACAATAAATTAGAATATTTCATGTTCATAAGCTAAACAATAAATTAGAATATTTCATGTTTGTCAACTAAACAATAAATTAGAATATTTCATGTTTAGCTGCTAAACAATAAATTAGAATATTTCATGTTTAGCTGCTAAACAATAAATTAGAATATTTCAAGTTTATCAGCTAAACAATAAATTAGAATATTTCATGTTATCAACTAAACAATAAATTAGAATATTTCATGTTTATCAGCTAAACAATAAATTAGAATATTTCATGTTTGTCAACTAAACAATAAATTAGAATATTTCATGTTTATCAACTAAACAATGAATTAGAATATTTCATGTTTATCAACTAAACAATAAATTAGAATATTTCATGTTCATAAGGTAAACAATAAATTAGAATATTTCATGTTTATAAGCTAAACAATAAATTAGAATATTTCATGTTTATAAGCTAAACAATAAATTTTATATTTCATGTTTATCAACTAAACAATAAATTAGAATATTTCATGTTCATAAGCTAAACAATAAATTAGAATATTTCATGTTTATAAGCTAAACAATAAATTTTATATTTCATGTTTGTCAACTAAACAATAAATTAGAATATTTCATGCTTATCAACTAAACAATGAATTATAATATTTCATGTTTATCAGCTAAACAATAAATGTTTAAATTATCTAACCTTTGAACAGAAAGAATGTCATGTTGGTTCGGAGAACTGAAAGATTCCATGCTTTTTTCCTAAATTATTTTTCAGATATTTAAGAATTTAAATCTATTTCATTTTTGTCTGGAATAGATCATTCAAGAAAGAAAAGGCAGTTGAAAAAAAATAGGTGACATGAATAGGAACTAAAAGTTGTAGCTAATCTTATTTATTATGTTTATTTTTCTTCAAGATTTCTTTTATTATTTTTATATCCTACACAGTATACGCAGTACACTATACACAATTTACTATTTATTATATTTTTCTGCTAGCTTGGGAACCCAGCTTTGTTTGCAGCAGATAACCTACTGAAGAAGTAGCAGCTAACCTACTGAAGAGGCAGCAGTTAACCTACTAAAGAAGTAGCAGCTAACCTACTGAAGAGGCAGCAGATAACCTACTGAAGAGGCAGCAGCTAACCTACTGAAGAAGTAGCAGTTAACCTACTAAAGAAGTAGCAGCAGATAACCTACTGAAGAAGTAGCAGCTAACCTACTGAAGAGGCAGCAGCTAACCTACTGAAGAAGTAACAGATAACCTACTGAAGAGGCAGCAGCTAACCTACTGAAGAAGTAGAAGCTAACCTACTGAAGAGGCAGCAGCTAATCTACTGAAGAAGTAGCAGCTATCCTACTGAAGAGGCAGCAGTTAACCTTCTGAAGAAGCATCAGCTAAACTACTAAAGAGGCAGCATCTAACCAACGGAAGAAGTAGCAGATATCCTACTGAAGAGACAGCAGCTAACCTACTGAAGAAGTAGCAGCTAACCTACTGAAGAGGCAGAAGCTAACGTTCTAAAGAAACAGCAGCTAACCTAATAAAGATGCAGTAGCTTACGTACTAAAAAGCATGGAGGCTAACCCACTTAAAAGGCCGAAGCTAACTTACTTAAAAGCTGTAGCTAGCCTACTAAAGAAGGAGCAGCCAACCTTCTGAAGAAGCATCTAAAGAACTGAGAATCAGCAGCTTATCTACTGAACGAGCAGCTTCTAACCTTCTGGAAAAACAGTAGCTAATCTGCTAAAAAAGCGGTAGCTAATCTACTAAAGAAGCAGCAGCTAATTTACTAAAGAAGCAGCAGCTAACGTACTAAAGAAGCAGTAGTTAACCTAATAAAGAAAAAATAGCTAACGTACTAAGGAGTCAGAAGAGCTAAGCTACAAAAAAGCTGTAGCTAGCCTATTGAAGAAGTAAAAGCTAACCTGCTCAAGAACAAGCACCTAACCCGTTGAAGAAACAGCAGCTAACCTATTAAAGAAGCAGCAGCTAACCTACTGAAGAAACAGTAGCGAACCTACTAAAAAAGCAACAAAACATACCGAAACCTACCGATGAAACAGAGACTAACCTATACTGAAACGCAGCTGCTAACCTACTAGCGAAGGAGCTGCTAACTAACGAAAGAAACCGCTGCTATTCTACTGAAGAAGCATCTAGCAACCTACTGAAGAAAGAAACAGAGCTGTGAGCCTACAAAAGAAGTAGCTAGCTTCTAACCTACCAAAAAACAGCAGAAAATCTACTAACTTTTAAAGAGACAATAACTAATAAAATTAGGCTTAATAAAAACCATAAAACGAACAAGTCGAAAAGAATTTTCATTTTCAATCATATCTATCAGATTGTAGACGTATTTTCAAGCATATCTATCATCAGATTGTAGACGTAATTTCAAGCATATCTATCAGATTGTAGACGTAAATTCAATCATATCTATCAGATTGTAGACGTAATGTCAAGCATATCTATCAGATTGTAGACGTATTTTCAAGCATACCTATCAGATTGTAGACGTAATTTCAATCATATCTATCAGATTGTAGACATAATTTTAAACATATCTATCGATTGTAGACGTATATTTAAGCATATCTATCTGACTGTAGACGTATATTCAAGTATATCTATCAGATTGTAGACGTATATTCAAGCATATCTATCAGATTGTAGACGTAATTTCAATCCTATCTATCAGACTGTAGACGTAATTTCAAGCATATATATCAGATTGTAGACGTATTTTCAAGCATATCTATCAGATTGTAGACGTATTTTCAAGCATATCTATCAGATTGTAGACGCATTTTCAAGCATATCTTTCAGATTGTAGACGTAATTTCAAGCATATCTATCAGATTGTAGACGTAATTTCAATCATATCTATCAGATTGAAGACATATTTTCAAGCATATCTATCAGATCGTAGACGTAATTTCAAGCATATCTATCAGATTGTAAACGTAATTTCAAGTATATCTATCAGATTGTAGACGTAATTTCAATCTCAGAAAATTGAATAATGTTTTCAACGAATATCTTAAGTTATCAAGAAAAGGATAAAATACATCGGAAACCATTTGCAAAATTTAAATCGGTGTTAACTCCTTAACCTTTTTAAATTATTCCCCAGAGTATGTCCGATTTACAGCAGTACCCTACCTTCATATCATCAATAATGCTGTATTGTCGTTTTTCTGGCTTCAAAAGTGTATCATTACGACAATTGCTTTCATTTTTTCTGTTATTGGAATTCCGCAAGTTAATTTTCACAATAAAAAGACAATTTTCAAAATATTTGATTCATCTTTGATCATACAAAGCACATAAAGGTTTCCGTGTACTGTTGTGAACCGGATTTAATAAATGAAGGGTCGCTAGAAATTACAACAACAGTCCCTTTAATCAAAAAACTTCTTCTAATGTTTTCTTTACCTTTTCGTTTACTGATTTGAAATGTATATTTGGAAAAGAAACCTTCCTTCTATTCTCCTGAAAGTCTGGAACTTGTTGGTTCTCACTTCTCCCAGCTGTATAGAGTAGACCAGTGGGGTTAATAAACATTACAATTCGTTTAAACTAGGATACTCAATTCCAGTTTTCTGTATCCCTGTAGGTTCTACATTCTGTATCTTGTATCTATGTAGGTTTAACATTCTGTATCTTGTATCCCTGTAGGTTATGCATTCTGCATCTTGTATCTATGTAGGTTTAACATTCTGTATCTTGTATCCCTGTAGGTTCTATATTCTGTCTCCTGTATCCCTGTAGGTTCTACATTCTGTATCTTGTATCTATGTAGGTTTAGCATTCTGTATCTTGTATCCCTGTAGGTTATGCATTCTGCATCTTGTATATCTATGTAAGTTTAACATTCTGTATCTTGTATCCCTGTAGGTTCTACATTCTGTATCCTGTATCCCTGTAGGTTCTACATTCTGTATCTTGTATCTATGTAGGTTTAACATTCTGTATCTTGTATCCCTGTAGGTTATGCATTCTGTATCCTGCATCCTGTAGGTTCAACATTCTGTATCCTGCATCTCTGTAGGTTCAACATTCTGTATCCTGTATTCTTGTAGGTTTAACATTCTGTATCCTGTATCCCTGTATCCTGTATCCTGTATCCTGTATCCTGTATCCTGTATCCTGTAATCCTGTACCCTGAACCTTGTAATCCTGTATCCTGTATCCTTATCCTGTATCCTGTATCTTGCATCCTGTATCCTGTATCATGTATCCTGTATCCTGTATCCAGTATCCTGTATCCTGTATCTTGTATCCTGTATCCTGTATCCTGTATCATGTATCCTGTATCCTGTATCCTGTATCCTGTATCCTGTATCTTGTATCCTGTATCCTGTATCCTGTATCCTGTATCTTGTATCTTGTACACTGTAATCCTGTATCCTGTATCCTGTATTCTGTATCCTGTATCCTGTATCCTGTATCTGTATCCTGTATCCTGTATCCTGTATCCTGTATCCTGTATCCTGTATCCTGTATCCTGTATCCTGTATCCTGTATCCTGTAATCCTGTATCCTGTATCCTGAAAGAGGGGTTTGAATGGTTTATTCTATATTCCTGTAAGTGGTTCTGTTGAACTCTGTATTTCTGGATATTTGACTGATAAATTTAGAATATTTGGAGATTCCTTCAGGTTTTTATGAATCTCCTGAAGCTCTTCAACTCCAACAATAATTTGTTGGTCAAGAGGCTTCCTAGATTCTGGTTCCTCTTCTACAACTACTCTAAACAAGAAATATTGGTTTTTGTAATTCAAAATTCATCTTTCGCTAAGCTACCACAGGTTCCTGTGAAACATTTTACAGAAATATTCTTTCACGGAAACACCATAATAACGGATTATATTCTCCCCCTGTAAAACAAAGTTTGAAATGATTATTTAATAAGTAGAAAGAAACAAAGTTGAAGTTTTAAACATTTGTTTACAAAAATAATGGAAAAACAATAAACAACCAAATATTTTCTATCTTATCTATAAAACAAAATATAATAAAACACAACATTCCTATATATGTTCCCTTTAGCCGTCCAAACGGCTAAACCGCATGGACTGACATTTTTTTAGGGAACCCAGAGGTATAACATAGGCTAAAAAAATCAAATTATTAATTTTTTTAATTCCACGGGCAACGCCGGGCACTTCAGCTTGTATTTAAACATATATATTTACTCTGTTGGTTATGTTTAGATTCAATAAACGTTAAAAAGACTAAACCGATTAATTAGGCCCAATTTTTTTAATGGTCGAATTGTGGCCGGTCAGAAAATATCCCTGAAAAAAAGATTTATATTTTTCTAGATTTGAAAAATAAACGATAAAAAAAGAAAAATCTGCAAAAAGAAATTAGCTTTTGGCACGAACTCTATTTTTTTTATTCCTACATTTTTGTAATCCGATGTCGTAGACCTCTGATGTTTTAAGTTATGAATTCTGTTATATCAAATTGTCTCAATTTGAAACATCAAAGGTTTACACCATCAGGTTGCAAAGATAAAGGGATTAGAAAATTTNCAGAATACAGGATGCAAGGTAGAACGTCCAGGGTAAAGAATACAGAATACAGGATGCAGGGGAATCAACCCGCGGAAGCCTAGTTTTCTCTAAGTAGGATAATATGTTAAAATATTGATGGCACTGTATAAGTTTCGACTTTATTTCCTGCGAGGAGAGATTAGTAATTTTAGAACTCCTCTCACCTTACTTCTGAGGACTTAAGATTATCCAGGTGTTTATAATCCTCTTCAAGGTTCAGGTTCACTCCTGCGTCTTCTCTACTCTGGGGTTTAGTACAGAAGAAAATATCCCTTTCCAGGTCCTTCTCCCCAGTTGAATTCCAGTCCTGAGTTACGGGGGGAAAAGAAAGGAAAGATGTATGAGAGTCCATACCAACCTAAAATATAATAGGATATCCGTAATCCCAATCGATTAATTAATCTGGAGATTAATAACAAGAGGAGAACAAGCATTATTTAATCTCGAGATTAAGAAAAAGAGTGGATCAAGCATTAATCCCGATATCCACCATTCAAAAGTTCCCAGCTCTGAACATTTTTTAAAATTTATTAGTTTTTACAATCATAATTTTCAAACGCCTTAGCGACATATCTAAATCTCCATTAATTAAAAGAAAAAAACATTGGCTTATTCCACAGTTTCTGATTTCCACAAGTAATACATTTGATAATCACCTGTCAATCATTCCAAATATAGATTAGGGCCAGTATAATCTACATGTTTTACACTTAATCCAGATCTTCTGAAACTGTAATCATCGTTTTAGTTAATGAAAAATACAAAAACATTTCATGTTCTGTCAATTGTTCTGATTTATTTTTCAATATTTCTCCAGACTTACTTTAGGCTTAGAGTTCTGTTTCAACAAAATTTCCAGAAACTGTTTTGATAACTCAGGTTTTAACCATGCAACAACTTAAAGGGGTAGATCACCAAATATTAAGCAATATGGAGTAACATCAGAAAAATCTTTATCTTATATTTTTATTTTTTGTTGGATATTATTTTTTTAATACAAAAATAAAAGAGAAAAATAATAAATCACCTTGAACATTTTTTAATCCACTTTAATTGTAAAAAAATGTAACTTCCTAGCTTGTGCCGCCCCCCCCCCTCCCGTCCTAAAAATACATAGAATTATGTGTTTACAATGAACATCTCTCAGACTACAGATTCTGAGGTAGATTTATATACAAAAGAGGGGGAGGGGGGATTAATTTTATGAAAAAAATCTTACATTTCTGTAGTTGAGCCCAGTTCAGTAATAAAAACAAAAATACTGAAGATCTGAAGGAACTTTTTTTAGTCAATGATATTGATAAAGAAATAAAACTAAAAACAGTATAATTTCCAAAAGTACATATATTCAAATATATACATTACAATCTCAATGGTTCTTTAATATTAGATTAGAACCTTATGCCTGAAAAATAAATCTTTTCTAGTATTTTTGGCAAAGAATTAAAATTTGTATAGTACAGTTTTTGCCACAAACTCAAATATTCTAATCCCTATAACTTTTCAACCCAATGACGTCGAAGACCTGATATTTCAAAGTATGAATTCTGTTAAATCAAATAATATAAGTTTTAAATATGAAAGGTTTGCACCATCAGGTTGCAAATTCATAGGAATGAGAACATTTGAGTTTGTGACAAAAACTCAGTACCCCTGGCCTAACCAATTTTCTTTCGGTGGAAAACCCATTGTATAGGTTTATATATTTTTTATATAATCTTATTATTATCAACTGTCTCTCCAGCAGGTTAACATGTATGTATTGGGCTTAGCCACACAACAGAGATATATAGAGATAGAATCCTGCTTAGTCAGGACATATCCTACACAACCTTTATATCCTACACAACCTTTATATCCTACACAACCTTTATATCTTACACAACCTATAAACCATACACTACCTTTATATCCTACACAACCTTCATATCATACATGACCTCCTACATAACCTTTATATCCTACACAACCTTTATATCCTACACAACCTTTATATCCTACACAACCTTTATATCCTACACAACCTTTATATCCTACACAACCTTTATATCATACACAACCTATAAACCATACACTACCTTTATATCCTACACAACCTTCATATCATACATGACCTCCTACATAACCTTTATATCCTACACAACCTTTATATCCTACACAACCTTTATATCCTGCACAACCTTTATATCATACACAACCTATAAACCATACACATCCTTTTTACCATACATGACCTTTATATCATACACAAACTATAGTATAGTCTGGATACAGCATGCAAAAACTATAGTATTGTCCGGATACAGAATACACAAACTATAGTATAGTCTGGATACAGCATACACAAACTATAGTTTAGTCTGGATACAGCATGCAAAAACTATAGTATTGTCCGGATACAGAATACACAAACTATAGTATAGTCTGGATACAGCATACACAAACTATAGAATAGTCTGGATACAGCATACACAAACTATAGTATAGTCTGGATACAGCATACACAAACTATAGTATAGTCTGGATAAACCATACACAAACTATAGTATAGTCTGGATACACCATACACAAACAATAGTTTAGTTTGGATACATCATACACAAACTATAGTTTAGTCTGGATATAACATGCACAAACTATAGTTTAGTCTGGAAACTCATTTTGAAATCTTTCAAAAATTATCAGAGAAGTTAAGTTGCTGTTGAGGTTTAATAAAACTGACTAAAGCATTTACACAGATAAAGGAATTGAGTCTTTGCCACAAACTCTGAATTTATAATCCCTATATCTTTGGAACCCAATGTTGTACATCTTTGATATTTCAAACTTATATTATTTGATCTAACAGAATTCATAGTTTGAAATATCTAAGGTCTACGACATCGGAATCCAAAGATATAGGATTTAGAAAAGCAGATTTTGTGGCAAAGACTCAATTCCTTTCGTAAAATTATGTAAAAGAAGTTTCTTTGACAATATCTCCATATTGCAAAGTATAAAGAAAACTGAGCTCCACCTGTAGACAAGGATGGCTCCGTGAGACTGAAACCGGAGCCTCGACAATGGTTGAGAGTGAGACCCGTAGGATGGGAGGCTTCCCCACCCTGCACCCATCCTTTCAAACTATACTTCCCCACCCTGCACCCATCCTTTCAAACTATACTTCCCCACCCTGCACCCATCCTTTCAAACTATACTTCCCCACCCTGCACCCATCCTTTCAAACTATACTTCCCCACCCTGCACCCATCCTTTCAAACTATACTTCCCCACCCTGCACCCATCCTTTCNCCCTCCTGCACCCATCCTTTTAAACTATACTCCCCCTGCACCCATCCTTTTTAACTATACTCCCTCCTGCACCCATCCTTTTAAACTATACTCCCCCTGCATCCATCCTTTTTTAAACTATACTTCCCCACCCTGCACCCATCCTTTTAAACTATACTCCCTCCTGCACCCATCGTTTTAAACTATACTCCCCTCTACACCCATCCTTTTAAACTTTACTCAGTCCTACACCAATCCTTTTAAACTATACTTCCCCACCCTGCACCCATCCATTAAAACTATACTCACTCCTGCACCCATCCTTTTAAACTATACTCCCCCTGCACCCATCCTTTAAACTATACTCCCCTCTACACCCATCCTTTTAAACTATACTCCCTCCTGCACCCATCCTTTTAAACTATACTCCCTACTGCACCCATCCTTTCAAACTATACTCCCCCCTCCTGCACCCATCCTTTTAAACTATACTCCCCCCTGCACCCATCCTTTTAAACTATACTCCCTCCTGCACCCATCCTTTTAAACTATACTCCCTACTGCACCCATCCTTTCAAACTATACTCCCCACCCTGCACCCATCCATTTAAACTATACTCCCTCCTGCAACCATCCATTTGTCAACTTTTGATTAAGTTTAGTTAGAGAATAAATGTTCTTGTTTCTGGAAACCAAATCAGAAAAACTAAAAACATGTTGGGGAACCGCTGCTTGTTATCTCCTGAAACAAGAAAACTTTTAGGATTTTATTTTGCCGTTTTATCCATTAATTCCTGATATCATTTTTCATTGCGGGATAATATGTTGCTTTACTTTCTCATGTGATAATTAAGAAACTTAACATCTCATTGTAAATATTTCAAGGCAAAAAAGATGTGAAGTTTTTGTTCCATTGGAGAGTAAAATTGTATACAAAAACTTTTTTAAAATTTAAAATTTTATGCTCTCTCAGGTCGTACGTTAAAGTATACATACATAGGTATACATATGTGTAAATAACTATTTATTTTAATTATAAATGAGGCTTTCTTTCTAACGATGTTTTGAAGTAAAAGTCTATAGAAGTAAGTAATGAGTGTTTTATCTCTGCGTATACAGGGGGGGGGGTCAGGATGTGTTTTCAGCTGGTCAGTATCAGTATTGTCTGACAAAAATAAGTTTAAATTGACCCAAAGATATAGAATACAAACATATAATATTACAATGTTAAACATATCGAGGCTAAACCTAATTATATTATATTTGCAGATTTTTAAAAATATAAAAAAAAAAATAAAAACAGAAGGCGAATTGTTTTTAAGGCGGAAAGCTGGGTTGAAAGACTGGGTTTTCTGAGATATTTTGCAGTTGTTGCTGACCTAGGTTCAGGGTACAACAAGATAGAGAGCAGTTGTTAAATATAGTTTTCCGTTCTAGCTCAGGGTTAGAATATGCATACAGGATACAGGATACAGGATACAGGATATAGGATATAGATTAAAGGATACAAATATATATAGTTTACTTGGATTTAGGAATTAGAGTTTTTAATACAGGATTTAGGATCTTTGTATACTTTGCTTGTCTTTTTCTGTCTGTTTGTATCCAAAAAACGTCAAAGCAGCTGAACCGATTGGGCCCAAATAATACACGATTTAAGATATATAATACGGGATTTAAAATATGAGGTACATTATTCAAGAATTATGATACAGTATTCAAGATATATGATAAAGGATTTAAGATATATGATACGGGATTTGTGATATATGGTAAAGTATTCAAGATATATGATATAGGATTTTAGATATATGATACAGGATTCAAGATAAATGATACAGGATTTAAGATATATGATACAGGATTCAGCATACATAATACGGGATTTCAGATATATATATATGAAACAAGATTTAAGATATTTGATACAGGATTTAAGATATATGATACGGGGTAAAGGGTAAAGAATACTGAATACAGGATGCAAGGTAGAACGTCCTGGGTAAAGAATATAGAATACAGGATGCAAGGTAGAACGTCCAGGGTAAAGAATACAGAATACAGGATGCAAGGTAGAACGTCCAGGGTAAAGAATACTGAATACAGGATGCAAGGTAGAACGTCCAGGGTAAAAAATACACAAAACAGGATGTAAGGTAGAACGTCCAGGGTAAAGAATACAGAATACAGGATGCAAGGTAGAAGGTCCAGGGTAAAGAATACAGAATACAGGATCCAAGGTAGAACGTCCAGGGTAAAAAATACAGAATACAGGATGCGAGATAGAAAGTCCAGGGTAAAGAATACAGAATACAGGATGCAAGGTAGAACGTCCAGGGTAAAGAATACAGAATACAGGATGCAAGGTAGAAGGTCCAGGGTAAAGAATATTGAATACAGGATGCAAGGTAGAAGGTCCAGGGTAAATAATACAGAATACAGGATGCAAGGTAGTACGTTCAGGGTAAAGAATACAGAATACAGGATGCAAGGTAGAAGTCCAGGGTAAAGAATACAAAATACCTAGGTTATAAAGTTATCACAAATATACATATTTGATTGATAAAGTTGAATATATACATATAAATCTATGTATGTAGTTCTTTAAGGTTATTTAATAAATCTACCATCTATATATATAAAGTTGTAATCTCTGTTTGTTTGGATGTCCGATCGTAACTCAGGATTACCGATTTGCCTCCTTTTTGGATCGGGAAATCGGCTGAATCACGGGAATCTTCTTAGCTTGGTTTCAAAGTTCTAAATTAAGTGGGTTGAGTTTAATAGAGAAAACTTTAGACAAAGCTGGGTGCCCAAGCTATAGTCTTATATAGTTTGGTTTTATTGAAAACTGAGTAGTAAAGTGTAAGATAAATAATTCAAAGAACACAATGTTTTTTGAAATCATGTTCACGGAATCATCTTACATCAATTTAACAGATTTTCTTTCAATTGAATTTGCAGAAAGTATGGATGAGTTGAGACGAGAGGTGTCAACTCTCCGAGAGTTTGTAGTTCAGCAGAGTAAGGATATGGCTAAATTAAAACGGCTTGGGAAAGGTTTAGACGTGTCTCCAGGTCCTGCTGACACCTCACGGCTTCTGAGCATAGAGGCCGAGCTGGTAGAGCAAAAGAAGTCTACTGCTCGAATAACCAAACTCTGCCTGGCTGCTATAAATGCTCTGGAGAGGTTGGAGAATAAACCGTTGGTTCTAGGATCAGATATCGCATCTTCAGACGAATCTTTTATTAACAGGAAAATTCAAAATTGTAAAATTCATAAACCAGGAAAATGGGGAATTCTTAATTTAAAGTTGATACAATTTTAATGAATTATTAATTAATTAAATCTGATTTTAAAACAAATAATCAAAATTTTTTCAAAAATAATGAATTTTTTAATATTTTTCTTAAACCTTTTTCTATTTGACAAAAATGAATAATTTATCTCTTTTCTTTATTTTTAAAACATTGAATTACTGAAAGGGTCTGTGAGCGTCATTTCAAATGTCATGTCCGATTTACAATAGTACCCTGAAAGCTGTGTCTGATCAAGCATGAATTAGCTCTTCATTCTTAAAGTTTTGAAAGCTGATTTTTTTCAATTCAAAAGTTACTTGCGCATTTCTACTGCAGGAAAACAATGTAAAAATTTTCCATGTCTAACACTTTTCATAGAAAACGATATTTTCTTTCACACTAATCATCAGATAAAATAGATTTATTCACACACAAAGGTATACATACATATATAAATGGTGTAGTTTAAATTTGTTTTTAAATATATAGTTTTACAAAAGAAAAGAGAAAAATTATGCACAAATAGGCGACATTGATCATTACTCATTACATAACATATTTATCATTTCAATTATTACGTAATTATCGAATCTTTCAACATATAAATTATTCGTTCTTGTATTTAAAAGTTCTTGTAAATATTTCATTTGGTTTTTAACTAACATTTTACTAAGATCAGAAAGATTTACAAAACAATCATTTGCAATAGAAAATAAAGGAATTGAGTCTTTGTCACAAACTCAAAGTTTCTAATCCCTATATCTTTGCAATCTGATTGTGTAAACTTTTGATATTTCAAACTTAGACTATTTGAATAACATAAATCATAGTTTGAAATATCTAAGGTCTACGACATTGGGTTAAGTAGATATAGGGATTAGAAAATCAAAGTTTGTGGCAAAGACTCAATTCCTTTCTGCCAAGAACTGTGTTAAGGTCATTTTTACATAAATTAGAAAGAAATCTAATGCAAAGCTTAGAACTTGCTTCAATAGTCTCATAGAAAGACACACATCTACTAGCTAACAAAGTTTTTACATGTAAACATTGTGAAATACTTTCAATCAGATACCTATGCGTATCTCTAGGTACATTAAAAAGAATTCTAATAGCAGTATTCCATGCTGTATACAATTTTGAAACACATTGGGAACTCAAGTCCCAAATACTAGATCCATAAAAACTACAACAGTAAATATTATACAGTTTCAAAATAACATCAGGACTGTTAAAATAAAATTCTTGGTTAAGGGAATGAATTNTGTAAATTACAAAGTTACAAATATGTAAATTACAAAGTTACAAATATGTAAATTACAAAGTTACAACTATGTAAATTACAAAGTTACAAATATGTAAATTTCAAAGTTACAAATATGTAAATTTCAAAGTTACGAATATGTAAATTACAAAGTTACAACTATGTAAATTACAAAGTTGCTAATATTTAAATTACAAAACAACGGATCTATCAATTTTCTGTAAACCCTTCATTACATTTTTCTAAAATTTTGAATACATTTAAAGCAATGAGAGTCTTCCGAAAGCATCTGGCCTGGATCCCTTGGTGTTGAAATCTCTGTGTGGTGAGATAGAGAAGTTGACCGGTATGCTGGTCAAGGTGGACGAGGTATTAAACTTCATATTTAAATATTTATAATTCTAGAAAATGACAAATAATTTGTAAAATGCATCAGAACGTGTCAGGCTGGTAATATAGAAATCCAGGTGCATTCAACTGCAGACAATACAAATAATACAGAAAATACAAGATGTATATAGTTTATAGATAGTTCATATCAAACAGTAAATTATGCGTTAGATGAAAATCTTAAAATTTTTAATCATTACTCCTCTTATTAGAAGAACAACAATGTTTTGAATTTTCAATATATAACCGGGGTAGATTTGCTCTTCTTAAATTTGTGTGTAAAATCAAAACTAAGGAGCTACGAGGTCATTAGGTCTTACCATTAATAGCGCATAAATTTGATCTCCTCTTTAATTCATCTAGTTCAGTGTGAGTTCATATCAAAGGATTATATACCAGGAACCCCACATTTTTGTTTGCATATAAATTGTACTGGCGTTTCTGGGAGGAATGTAAACAAACTCAATGCTGCTCAGATTCCTCAGATCAAGCTTTGTTTATTTTTCTTCCTAAAATTGCAGTACATCTAGATCTGAATACTGAATCAAAGAATAGATTTAATCTATAGAGTATACATGCGGGATATTTATGTAGATAACTTTACAAGAATTGACTGAACAATGTCGCACTCGCATTTTGAACTGAGAATTTTGAGCAAAAGTAAAAGTAAAAGTAAAAGTAAAAGTAAAAAGAAAAATAAGAGTAAAAGTAAAAGTAAAAGTAAAAGTAAAAGTAAAAGTAAAAGTAAAAGTAAGAGTAAAAGTAAAAGTAAAAGTAAAAGTAAAGTTAAAAGTAAGAGTAAAAGTAAAAGTAAAAGTAAAAGTAAAGTTAAAAGTAAAAGTAAAAGTAAAAGTATAATTAAAAGTAAAAGTAAAAGTAAAAGTAAAAGTGAAAGTAAAACTAAAACTAAAAGTAAAAGTAAAACTAAAACTAAAACTAAAAAGACGACTTCTTAGCGCTTGTAACGTTTAGTAGGCTAATAGTAGCTTCTGGCGTTTGAGATCCGACCAAAGTAAAAATAATTTTCTTTCTTTATTTTTCTTGTCTAAATCTTTCAAACTTGTGAGGGCAAAACTTTTGAAGCGTTTAGCTTCACCGAATAATATCAGACAAAGTTTTAAACTGAGGCCTAGCTCCTTACATCAGGGTCCAAGAGAATAAGGTTGAACCGTAGCGGAGGAATTGAAGCGTCTGATGCGCTAACGTTTAATCATAACAAATCCAATTTGTCTGATCATGAACTAAGAAAGTTTCCTTATCTTTCGAGCTGAAAATTTTGTACCGGCAAATTCGAGTGTACAGTGTTCCAATGGGGACTCAATTTTCAGCTGGAAAAATGAGGATTTTTCCGTCTTCATGCTCAGACAAAGGTTTACGTCTCCAGGCCCTCTGGTGCCCGTGGAATTTCAAAAAAAAATATTAGCTTATGTCACCCCGGGTTACCTAAAAAAATCAATTTAGTCCAGACGTTTTGCCAGCTAAAGAAAACATTTAAGCGAACAAAGAACTTTTTATATAGATTATTTTTATTGCAGGATATAGATGCTCTAGATGAACGGACCGAGGAGAACAAGTCTGATTATGAGCACCTGGTCCAGGAGTTCAGCTTGTTGCAGGACTCCAACAGGAACAGCATGGACGAGAACCAGAGGAAGATGGAGGAGTTGAAGAGTAAACTGAGCGGGGAGAACCTCCGGCGTGAGATTGATACTAGAATCATGGTTAAAGATCTTGTCACTAAAGCTGATCTATCCCGAGGATTGAAAACAATACCTTTTGGTCTGAGCCGGGATGATGTGGCGCAAATGATAGATTTTGCAACCAGCAACTTTCTCCGAACAGTTCAAGGTAAACATTTTCAATCCGTTCCTGCAGCAAACAGAGACTCGAGTTAACGTAGAGTTTAACTCCGCTTTTGTCATCCAGAAGTCGAGTTTTAAAGTGCTGTTAAACTATGTAATAGAAGTTCCATGACTGGGGGTCAACACGAACTTTTAAACCCCTTTTGAAGTCCACTCACCAACTGGGCGAAATCTTGTGGCAAAATTCGAATTATTTCTCGACTTTTTCAATCACCTGGCCTGGATCCCTTGGNACTATAGTTGCTCCATCCAGTTTTGTTTTGTGGGTTCTTGGTAGGAAAATAGTTTATCTCCATTCTGACAACTATAGTTGCTCCATCCAGTTTTGTTTTGTGGGTTCTTGGTAGGAGAATAGTTTATCTCCATTCTGACAACTATAGTTGCTCCATCCAGTTTTGTTTTGTGGGTTCTTAGTAGGAGAATAGTTTATCTCCATTCTGACAACTATAGTTGCTCCATCTAGTTTTGTTTTGTGGGTTCTTGGTAGGAGAATAGTTTCAGCTTGAATTCAATTATTTGAGTTTTAATTATTTTTTGTTTGGACATTTGATTTCTCAAAATTCTATATAAAAGTTTAAATATAAAATATTTGCCATGAAATCAATTTCTTTATATATTGTTGAATTCTATTCCTGCATTTGAAAATTTTGCATATTTCGTGATTCAACTTCATTCTAACTTATGAAAGAGAGCAGGGATGGCTTGAAGGGCTCTCTAAAAATGAGTTTTTTTTAATTCAATTTAACTATTTCTAAGAAAGAATATTTGTTTGCTATAAAACATACTAATAATCTAAATTTCATAAGAAAGCAAAATTATTATTATTATAATTTTTTTTTGGATATACGTTTACAAAATATTGACATTAAACTTCATGTTTTTTTAGTGAATCTAGGCTTTTAAAGGAATTCAAAATCTAAACATGTATTTCAACTTTACAGCAGGAATTCTAAAAAATTTTAAAAAGAAGAACATGAATAAAGTGATTACCTATACTATTGAAGATATTATCGAGGTTGTAGGTTCCAAAAAAAAGAATATATCTTCTCCAGAAAGTTTTCACCATGACATATCTAAAATCTAAATTGCTGTTTTTTTTATAAAGAAAAAAAAATAATATCGATCTTGTTGCATAAAAAAAGATCTAAAGTTGAACTTATTCTTTATAATTTTAGAATTTAATGTTTATTGTCTCCATTTTTTCCTCCAATATTTCATTCATAGATTCTACAGTGATAACCAGAACAGCGTCGTCTTGCTACGTTAAAACAGTTGCTTAAGAATAAATATAAGATCTCTAGAATAAGAATAAATAATAAATTCAAACAAAATTAGAAATTCAATTTTAATAATAAAATCGAAATAATCGATTTGAGCGTTAATTTATTGACAAATTTCTTTTGAGAAATATGTTCCTAACCATCTAATTAAACTACTGAATAATTTTTACATTATTTTTCGTTGTCGTTATTTAATAATTTAAAAAAAACTAATTCTGAAAACGTATCCATCCTCAAATTAGGAGTTTTGAACGTCGAATTTTCGCTTAAACTCAGGATTTACAGATCTTTAAATAGTTTTATATGTCTCAAATGAATCCGAAAGAAGTTTTCCACAACACTGCATACTCAGTTCAACTACCTTACATAGCCGGTCACTCCCTTTAAACAAATTACTACTTCAGAACAGTTTTGTTTACTTATTTTAAAATGTTCAATTTTGTAGATTTCACAATAAAATCGAGATGAAATAATGCTTTATGAGTTCGCAGGGTATAATTGCAAAAATAAAGATTCTTTCCTCTCCCTCTCCCTCCCTCAATATGTCCCTCTCCCACCCGAAGACTTCTAATTACTTTCTGAGCCCTCGCCACCAACAGAAAACTGAATACATTGACGTGTATCCTGTTTATATCGGAATATTTTCACTCATATTTTTATCTCTCATTCATAATCCATCAAAAATATTTATAAGTCGCAGCACAGCCCTAAACAAAGGTATAGCATAGAAAATATGAAATATCTACATTTATTGGGATAAAATGGGTTTTAAAGTAAACCAAAATTTTAATAAAAATCATAAAACTAATTTGTCATTGTTATACAATTAAATATAAAAAAGTCTAAATGTGGTATAATGGCATTTTATAGAACTACTTTCTATTTCCATTTGAAGTCGGTTCAGTTTGGTTGTGTTTTTGATTCCTTTAGATTTCACGTCAAACTAAAGTAAGATTGAAATTTTTTATGTTTTCAATCATAACCCCTCTTATTAAAAAAACTACTGAAAAGAACAAAAAGGTTTGATGTTTAAAGGGAGTGTTCGCGAAAAACTAAAGGGGGTATAGGCATAATGCGAAAAATAAGCCCTTTAGATCGGAACTAATCTTACTTCTATATCTGTTGTGTCTATAAGGAGATAATTGTTAAAAACGACTCATGCTGAAGAACGGAGCGTCCATACAAATTCAGAAAGTTGCAACATTCAACTCGGATCGTAAAATAATCAATTTAATTCAAAACATATCATTCAGATATTACAAACAATAGCCATCGGTTATTTTTGACTTATTTGTATATAGTTAATATTTCATAATACTTCATTCTCCATAAGAGATCGCTAAACTACGATTAAGCCGTTTTTACGGGTTAAATACTTTAAAATCAGAAAGATCCTGCAAATCAGAAAATTGTTTTCTCGGGTCAAATAAACAGTTTCAAATGAAAACGTTGCCTAAGATACAAAAATTTTAATTTGTTGGTTATCACATCATTTAATAATTCAAAGGTTACGTGACGTTACTTCAAAATAAAATTAAAAATATATCTTGACACAAAAACATTTATACCGTACAATTTAAACACATTAAAGGGATTGTCGACATACTTTCAAATTATCCTGAATCGAAAGCAATATTGTCGTTTTTCTGTTTTTAAGAAATATGAATCCTCTTAATTTCCTTCATGGTCTTTTCCTTTTCAAACAGAAATCCAAAGATAACTCAATCATTTTTCTTCATAAAAAGGTTTAAAGGGTACCGTTGTAAATATAATATAATTCTTCAAATATGGTTTATCCTATTACCCAACCATCTAGACATTTGAAAAAAAAACATATTTCAGCTGAGACGAAAATGTGTGAGGAGAAAATTCAAGATTCAGAGGAAATACTAAACAATCAAATATCCAAAATCCAGGTTTAGATAATATTTTACGAATATCCAATATTCAGGTTAAGATAATATTTTACAAATATCCAATATACAGGTTAAGATAATGATTTACAAATATCCAATATCCAGGTTTAGATAATATTTTACGAATATTCAATATCCAGGTTTAGATAATATTTTACGAATATCCAATATCCAGGTTTAGATAATGATTTACAAATATCCAATATCCAGGTTTAGATAATATTTTACGAATATCCAAAATCCAGGTTTAGATAATATTTTACAAATATCCAATATCCAGGTTTAGATAATATTTTACTAATATCCAATAGACAGGTTTAGATAATATTTTACAAATATCCAATATTCAGGTTAAGATAATATTTTACGAATATTCAATATCCAGGTTAAGATAATATTTCATGAATATCCAATATACAGGTTTAGATAATGTTTTACGAATATCCAAATATTCAGGTTTTTGAATATCCAATATCCAGGTTTATATATATACAGAGCTGAAAACTTTAGAATAGAATATCCTTAATCCCGATCGGATAGTTAATCTGGAGATTAATAATAAGAGGAGAACAAGCATTATTTAATCTGGAGATTAAGAAAAAAAGGAGATCAAGCAATAATCTTAATATACGCAATTCTAAAGTTTTAAGCTCTGTTTACAAAATGATCTAAATATTTCAAAAATATCCACAATGAAAATGTATCAAACAATATCCGATATCCAGGTATCCAGGTATTCAATATCCATGCAATATATTTCTACACATTTTGACTTTTAATTTTGTTAAATATCATACGTATAGAGATTTTCATCTCCATGGTTACTGATCAAACAATGATGAAAATTAATAAATAGATAGATAGATAGATAGATAGATAGATAGATATAAAATTAATTAGAGTTTCAGGCCCGATTCTGAAAACTTTTATTCAAGGAGCAATAAGTAAGATGTCTTTGTTTTTCTACCCTAAAAAAGAAACAAATTTGTCAGTTTCCTTCTTTAATTGACTGCATAAATCCGCAATTAACTTAATTTTTTAGATAGAGAAGCATAGATACAGGGTGTCCCAAAAAACATGGGAATTCAATGAAGAATTCGATATCGTCTTTGTTATGAATAAGCGTTGTAATAACTAATTTCTAAGGACATAATATTATTATGTCTGCTAGAGTTTATTTTATGAAAACGGTAAAAGACTGTAAAGCTATGTCTATAATGTCTCCGTAAGATGAACAGTGAAGACGGACAAGTTTAATCTGTTTGTATACTGTAATTTTCTTGTTTTACTAAGTACAACCGTATGCAGATCATAGCAGACGAAACTCTTACAGATTACAGCTTTCTCAGTTCTCTCAGTAGGTATCACTATACTATATCAAAGAATTATTTAAAAAGACGATATCGAATTCGTCGCTGAATTCCCATGTTTATTGGGACACCCTATATATTAAGGTTTAATGGTTACCGTTATTGATATAACTCTTTTTAAATTAAGGGTTGCTCAACATTACTTGGCAGTCCCTGTCATAAGAAATAAAAACCATAATAAATATTGTTTACAATTTTTTTTTAATTATCAAAAAATACAAAATGGATGAAAATTAGTTTTAATGTTTAGAATCGTCTGGATGAGGTAGAAGATCAGGCTCGGCGGCAGATGTTTAATATTCAAGAGAAAACAGGTCCGACAAGATATTTAATATTTATACATAACATACATTAAACATAATACAAACATATATGTAACTTGGCTTCTAGGCTTCGCGCCCATCTTCTATTTCAAATTTTAATTGAGGCTCTATCTGTGATTTAATAATATTTTTTTGCGCATTTTCAAAATTTTCAAATTTTTAAATTGAGCATCCATAAACCTTTCCTGGGATCATGTGAGGTCCCACAAAAACTTTGGGCCCGATCGGTTCAGCCGTTTTGACGTTTTTTGGATAGACAGACAGACAAGCAAAGTATATATAGATATACCAGCTGAAGTGCCCGGCGTTGCTCGTGACATTTTAGAAAAATTGAATTTTATTTTGAATTTTGAAAAAAAACATTTTTTTGTCTTAGTTACCCCAAGGGTATCCCTTATAGTAATTCATCCAATTTGGTCCAGCCATTTAGCCAGCTGTAGCGAACATGTAAATATATATATATATATATATATATAAGCAAAGAGCTTTATTATATATTTATTTATATATGATATTCTTCAGAATCTAATCTGAGAGAAGTGAGTAAAACCTTGGGGAACCTGGCTGGAGGTAAAGAACTCCAATCTCGGGTTCAGAACCTAGAGAAGAAGGTATCCAACCTAGAGGATGTAGAACCTAAGATACTAAAACTAGAGATGGAGCAGGCAAACCTACTCCAGACTGTCTCCAACCTACAGGTGAGTTTTTCACGAAACTATTGGAGAAATAATCTTTAAAATTAAATTTTGGAAATAATACTTTAATATAACGTCAAATGTCCCATGAAATACATTTTCTTTCCATCTAATATCTCTATGGCTTCTATATGTATAAAATATTTTTCTAACACTTGTTTTTATGAACTATTTAGACGTAGTATATGGTTATTATGGTTGTATAGTTAAATCTATTAAAATACTTCAAAACGGTATAAAAATCGATCATTTATAATCTATAATATATCTATACTTATAAAGTATAGTATGTAATCTCTGTTTGTCATTTTAATACATCTTTACCTTTACTCTCCCTTGAAGGGCATGATAGATTTGGTGTACCGTCCCGTTTAACCTATAGTAGTACTGTACTCCCTGTACAGTGTACAGCTTGGTAAAGATAGATTTGGTGTACCGTCCCGTTTTACCTATAGTAGTACTGTACTCCCTGTACAGTGTACAGCTTGGTAAAGATAGATTTGGTGTACCGTCCCGTTTTACCTATAGTAGTACTGTACTCCCTGTACAGTGTACAGTTTTCTATAGCGCCGGCTCGAAACACTGAAAATTATTTCAAGTGGAACCAACCATGTTTGAGCAGCGTCTCAAATTTGGGAGGCGGCTCAAATTCTTTAAATTCGGCCTCCGGTACTTCAAATGAATCGGAAAAAGACCTTCAGAAGTATATTGTCACGGATAAACTAGACAGGATACAGCATTGACGCATCAATCATCGGGATATTTTGGGGTTATCATATATGTTGTGAACATAATTGTCTGCATTATCAACTTTCCACAGTGAATCCTGTGGTTCCAGGTAGGGAGCGTGACTTGAAGATTAGTCTCAGAAATCATGGAAATAAAAAAAAATTCTCTAAGCTGTCCATTGAGTATTATTTACATAAAAGTTGCGGCTTTGAGCTTTTCCAACCCGACTTGTTAGACGCCCGGTATGCTTCAACAATCTATCCTGTGTATTGTTCAGTGTCCGTAATAATAAGATTAGTAATCAAGAGTTACACAGTATATAGTACACCACATAAACAGACGATATTATTTCTTCGCAAATATAAATTTAGTTTTTTAATGATAATCGCTAACATTTGCTGGAAATCATCATCCTCTCTCCAAAAATGACACAGTTATTACGCATTTTTTGTGCTTTCATATATACCGGAGATATGAATGGTTTCGTTTAGAATGAGACATTTTCTTGGTTTTATTTAATTAATTGAAATTTACACTGAATTCTTAATATCTCTGATATTTTGAGAGCAAAAAACTAGCGACCACATTTTGTAAATTGCAGGATTAGGGCTATTCTGTGATTATTTTTTCATACAATAATATTGCTATAATCAGGTTATCAATGTTGAATGCCACATACAATTTCTAAGGAATATCAATCAATTTTCATTATTCAAGCTTATTTAGATTATCACTGTACTTAATTCCTAAACCTCCCCTAGTGGTGTATTTATTACTTTTCAGGAACAGTCACCCATTTCTTCAAATCATGTTTCGCCTGGTGGATTTCACATATATCCCCGGAATTGATCTAAAATCCATTATTTTAAAAGTTTACTTTACGTTATGGATAAATTGAGTTTAGTCCATGAAACATCCTGCTATGTTAACCCCAGGCCTAGGTACTTTGTAAATATTGAGAAGATCATAAAAAAAGTTCTCGACTAATTCACTAGATCTCTTGACCTCGAAAATATCTATTATGTAATCAAACATAAACAAATTCTTAACTTTAGCAGACAAACGATCTACTTCTCATTTTACTAAATACAATAGTATGCAAAGACGACATCAAAATATATCAAATAATAATTTTCACAACAATTCAGCTCTTGTTCTCAAAATTATCTATAATATATGATACCAGCTAATCTCCAATTTTTGCAACAATTCAGCCCTTGTCCTTGATAAGAATAAGAATCTGGTGATAAGAATAAGAATTTAATGATAAGAATAAGAATCTGATGATAAGAATAAGAATTTAATGATAAGAATAAGAATCTGATGATAAGAATAAGAATCTGATGATAAGAATAAGAATCTGGTGATAAGAATAAGAATCTGGTGATAAGAATAAGAATCTGATGATAAGAATAAGAATCTGATGATAAGAATAAGAATCTGGTGATAAGAATAAGAATACGATGATAAGAATAAGAATCTAATGATAAAAATAAAAATCTAATGATGAGAATAAGAATCTGATGATAAGAATAAGAATCTGATGATAAGAATAAGAATCTAATGATAAGAATAAGAATCTGATGTTAAGAATAAGAATCTGATAATAAAATAAGAATCTGATGATAAAATAGAATATGATGTTAAGAAAAAGAATCTGGTGATAAGAATACGAATCTAATTATAAGAATAAGAATCAGATGATAATAATAAGAATCTGATTGTAAGAATACGAATCTGATTATAAGAATAAGAATCTGATGATAAGCATAAGAATCAGATGATAAGAATAAGAATCTGATGATAAAAAAAATATGATGCTAAGAATAAGAATCTGATAATAAAATAAGAATATGATATTAAGAATAAGAATCTGGTGATAAGAATAAGAATCAGATGATAAAATAAGAATATGATGTTAAGAATAATAATCTGATGTTAAGAATANAGAATACGAATCTGATGATTAGAATACGAATCTGATGATAAAAATACGAATCTGATGATAAGAATTAGAATCTGATTATAAGAATACGAATCTGATTATAAGAATACAAATCTGATTGTAAGAATACGAATCTGATGATGAGAATACGAATCTGATGATAAGAATACTAATCTGATTATAAGAATACAAATTTGATGATAAGAATACAAATCTGACTATAAGAATACAAATCTGATGATAAGAATACGAATCTGATGATAAGAATTAGAATCTGATTATAAGAATACGAATCTGATTGTAAGAATACGAATCTGATGATGAGAATACGAATCTGATGATAAGAATACGAATCTGATGATAAGAATACGAAGCTGATTATAAGAATACGAATCTGATTATAAGAATAAGAATCTGATGAAAAGGAGAATAAGGAAAAATAATTTTTAAAACATTTATCATTATATATACTGCATTGTCTATACATTTCTCTCTGGAATGAAAATAAGAAAATTCATGCCTGTTCAGCTTGTTCAGTGCTCAGTATACATACAGTGTAAACTCATAAATCACAAGTCTAAACACTGCGTATATAGTAAGGATATGAACATTGAAAAGATAAAGAAAAGAATATTTTCTCCGCTCTAGACAAAAATATGTTCTTCTATATTTAGGCCGAGAATTATAGATTTAAATTACCAAAATCCCAGAAAACCATGCGGCTATGAAAATTGTGCATTTTTAAAGACTGCAGTTCGATTTTAAAGTGTCGCAACGCGTTAGCTTTAAGAAGTAATGGGGCACATGCGTAGACCATTGGTTTTTCAAACTTTGACGTATGTAAGATCAAATTATCTAAGTTTGAAATTTTACAGGTTTACACCATCAGGTTTCAAAGCTTTAGGAATTAGAAAATGTTAGTGTGTGGCAAAGACTCAATCTTTTTATGAACGTGAGAGAGGTAGTTGAACCAGTTGCTAGTAACTTATTGCTCAATAGTTCAGCAATATATCTACTGTTGAAACAAAACTTTTAGTTCTTGAGGAAGCATTTTTTGCACAATCCTTTTCAAACTGAAGCAGTGGTTAATCCCTTTGCAAGTTGATCCGAATTCATAAAAGTTTACCTCTAATTGTTGCCTAGGATGAGAGCCGAGTAGCTGAGGATCCTAGGATGACCGGAAGGTTGGAAAGGTTGGGTAAAGAGATATCTGTGCTCAAAGGGAAACAAACCGATCATTCAACAAGTATTGAGTATCTGGGAAATAAACAAACATCTACAGGTTTGTTCTCTCTCTTATTCACAGACAACACAGAGACTTGTCAAAGTTTAAAATCTATATATAAATTTGGCTTGTCTGTCTGTCTGTTTGTTTGTCTGTTTGTTTGTTTGTATCAAATAAACGTCAAAACGGCTGAACCGATCGGGCCCAAATTTTTTGTGGGACATCTAGGGACCCCAGGGAAGGTTTATGAATGATCAAAATTTCAAATGTTTGTCTCTTCATTAAATTTTTGAAAATTTTGAAAATCCACGAAATTTTTTTGTGAAAATCCGCGAATTATTTTTGTTTTGTTTTTCGATGTACACAAAGAGAACATGTTCACAATTAATTTAGAAGATGGGCGCGAAGCGCCCTTTAAGGCTAGTATTGAATATTTCCTAAAAAAAGTAAACTAAACTGTTGGTTTTAGCATAAATTAGATAAACTAATGAATAAAAAATAACTGTTATGAAATCAGAATTCCTAAAAACTTAAAAATCATGTGAAAAATTGTTTAAAAGACAGTCAAGCCTAGATCAGTAGAAATATCTGGTCCAGGACAGTACATTTAGATATATCCGGACCAGAACAGGACATATAGAAATTTCCGGTCCAGGAAAGTACATATATAAATGTCGGGTACATATGTCAGGTCCAGGACAGTACGTGTAGAAATGTCCGGGCTAGGACCGTTGAAATGTCCAGGCTAGGACCTTAGAAATGTCCGGGCTAGGGCCTTAGAAATGTTTGGACTAGGACCGTAGAAATGTCCGGGCTAGGGCTGTGGAAATATCAAGTACAGGACTGTAAGTGTAAAACTGTCTAGGCCGGGGCTGTATGTGTAAAACTGTTCAGGCCGGGACTGTACACATAAAACTTAAGGCAGGAACTTTAAATGTAAAACTGTTCAGGCTGCTCTATATGTGCAAAACTCTTTAGGCCAGGACGTTACATGTTAACTATTCAGGCCCGGACTGTATCTGCAAAACTGTTCAGGCCGGGACTGTACATGTAAAACTGTTTAGGCCGGGACTGTACATGTAAAACTGTTTAGGCCGGGACTGTATGTGTAAAATTGTTCAGGCCGGGACTGTATGTGTAAAATTGTTCGGGCCGGGACTGCACGTGAAAAACTGTTCAGGCTGGGACTGCACGTGAAAAACTGTTCAGGCAGGGGCTGTATGTGTAAAACTGTTCAGGCCGGGACTGCAGGTGTAAAACTGTTTAAGCCAGGACGTTTCATGTAAACTGTTCAGGCCGGGACGGTTTTACATGTAGATATATTCTGGCCAGGACCGTACAATAGAAATGCCCAAACCGGAACGGGTTTACATGTAAATAATGTGTAGATATATTTGGGCCTGGATGCTACAAATCTGACCATCCGAGCTAAGCCTTCTTTTCTTGTCTCTGGTTCAAGATAATGTATTGTTTTGGTTTCTCTCTAATCTGTATTCTATTTAGAGGCGGAGATTGGTAAGATGAAAACAGATTTAGATCAACAAAAGGAAAAGATTGGAAAGATATTGAAGTTGGAACACTCCTTAGATCAAGCGAAAGATAAGGTAATCTTCATTAATCCTTGGATCAAGCTAAATATGATCTTCATTAATCCTTGTATCAAGCTGAATATGATCGTCATTAATCCTTGTATCAAGCTGAATATGATCTTTATGAAGCCTTGGATCAAGCTAAATATGATCTTCATTAATCCTTGGATCAAACTAAATATGATCTTTATTTTCCTAATAATAAATTTATTTAATTGAATTGTTTTGTTATCATTATTGAAATTAGGTGGAAAAAATAATCAAAACAGCCAAGAGCTGTTTTCCACCTAATTGCTTCGTATAATCATCAATTTGTAATTGTAAACTCGTTCTGTTCACAGATACATGTATTTTAGCAATAAACTGTATCTTATCTTTCCTTGGATCAAGCAAAATATGATCTTCCTTAATCCTTGGATCAAGCTAAATATGATCTTTATTAATCCTTGGATCAAGCTAAATAAGATCTTTATTATCCTTGGATCGAGCAAAATATGATCGATCTTTTCTAATCCTTGGATCAAACTAAAGATTGGATAATCTTTATTAATCTAAGGAAAGGTACACATACAGCACGGAACAAATATTGTTATTTCAAAAATACATTTTCAGATATTTTCAATTTTTAAGATCTTTAAATTCTATTTAATCTAGGTTGAGGAGAGTGCTAAGAGGTTTAATAATCTTAAAGAAGAGCTAAACAGGTATCGACAGTAAAGATGTCGCGGACAAAATAATACACAATGTTTAATTGAAGAAATGTCCTTTCTCCGTTATCCTAGGATTCAATTCTTGTCAAAATTTCACAGAGATCCAGACAACTAGGAAAACATTTTATCCCTGAAATATACAGGAGGAGTCAAAAAAGTGTGATTATTGTAGTCTTTATCAAAACTATTTTTTTTCTTATATGCATGGAGTTTTAGCAATATTTTGAAAAATTGTTTTAATTTTTTTTAATACTCACATAGAACCACAAAAAAATCAACGAACCTTTTTACTTCTCAAAATCAAAAGTAAGGAAAAGCAAAAATGTGTTAATTTATAATTTCTATCTAATCTTTAAATTTTATAAAAATCAGACTCGTGGAAATAGAGAAAAATCGTTAAATCGTTAAGATGAACAAGACGGAGCTGGATTTATTCTCTGTTATGTTCAGTAAGATGAACAGGACGGAGCTAGATTTATTCTCTGTTATGTTCAGTAAGATGAACAGGACAGAGCTAGATTTATTCTCTGCTTTGTTCAGTAAGATGGACAGGACGGAGCAAGATTCATTCTTTGTTATGTTCAGTAAGATGGACAGGACGGAGCGAGATTTATTCTCTGTTATGTTTAGTAAGATGGACAGGACGGAGCTAGGTTTATTCCCTATTATGATCAGTAAGATGAACAGGAAGGAGCTAGATTTATTCTCTATTATGTTCAGTAAGATAAACAGGACGGAGCTAGATTTATTTTCTGTTATGTTCAGTAAGATGGACAGGACGGAGCTATATTTATTCTCTGTTATGTTTTGTAAAATGGACAGGACGGAGCTAGGTTTATTCTCTATTATGATCAGTAAGATGAACAGGAAGGAGCTAGATTTATTCTCTATTATGTTCAGTAAGATGAACAGGACGGAGCTAGATTTATTTTCTGTTATGTTCAGTAAGATGGACAGGACGGAGCTAGATTTATTCTCTGTTATGTTCAGTAAGATGGACAGGACGGAGCTGGATGATTTGAAGACAGGGATGGAAAAGGAGAGATGTAAGATCAACTACTTCCAGGATAAAATATCAAATATTGCCAAGTCTGTGGACGGAGTAAAGATGGAAAACAACAGCATGAGTAAATACTTTCTTTATATTTCGATATTCATATACATTATTTATTGAAAACAAGGAGGCACAGTAAACATTGAACAAGATGCATTACATTTTGGGAAGAAGGCTAAATATCTTTTTTTCTTAGCTATTGATGAATATGTGCCGCGTAAAATGAAGACGATTTATAGGATTTTTTTATATCTGTGTGGTAACTGTAGTATCTCCCGGTATTAAATAACCTGCAAATGTGGCAATGCCCGATTCACAACGGTACCCTTTGAAGCTTTGTATGATCAAGTATGAATTAGAAATAAATTTTTATAATTTGGAAGAATTATTATTTTCAATTGTTCATCTCTACTGCAGGAAAACTATTAGGAATTTTGAGAATGAAAAACTTTTAAACCGAGAAAAAAGACAATATCTCCCCTATTATTGATCAAATAAAGGTTTTAAGGCAACTGTTGAGAATTCCACATTCCCATATTTGCATGGAGGGCCACTTGAAATTACACTTACAGTCCCTTTAAAGCCTACTTGTCTAGGAGACAGATTCTGCTCTGATATAGAGAACCAGGGAAAGGATTTGAAGGAGCTGAAGAGTGTTCTGGTGAACCAGGAGAAGCAGGTTCAAGAGAATAGTCGAACCCTCAAGGATATTACTAAAGATAGTATTGGCAAGATTAAAGAGGTGGCTACTAACTGTATTCAGATAGAGAAAAATATAAGGTTAGCTTTTTTAATGGGCTGTAGACGACATTTTAATAGAGTGGCATGTCCGGTTCACTGTGGTACCCTTCAAAGATTTGTATGCTTAAGAACGCATGATATGTGTATTTATTTCTTTGACTGTAGCTCAAATACACCAAAAATAAAATTTAAATAGTGGCTCTAAAAAAATGCAAAGAAAAACTTAAAGTCTTAAGACCCCAAGTTAAATTAATTTTTTACATTGAAAAAGTTTTTTAAATGATTTCCAAAGTAATCATGAATATAAAGAAACAGACACTATACATTCTGGTTAATCCTGTATTTGAAATCTCTAAAAAGAAAAAAGGCACAAATTAATCTGAATTTCTAGTATATCGTCTTTGTTCCAAGCGGGATTATTTCGTAAATATGATTTTGTAGTATCACAGTTAAAACATTTAACACCGAAAACTAATAGTATGGGGATTTCCAAAATGTGGTCTACTATTTTTTTTTTACTTTCAAAATCAACGGAGAAATCAGGAAATTTGTCCAGATTCCTGATAATCAAAAATCAACAAAACTGTTCGAAATGTTTAATACCTCCGTTATGTTATTTATAAGTTATTGGAAATCAAAGACGATATTCGAGTCGTCTTTCAATTCTCATGTTTATTGGGACACCCTTTATAAAAAGGAAAAAGTTAAATACTTAAAAGTTTGGTGATTAATCATTCTCAGTTCCATTTTCTCGAGAACTCGGGTCAAGAGTTGGATGTTTTCAAATTACCTTTTAGTTAAAAAATAACAGGAATGTTCCGAGAAACACAGTTTCAATAGTTTCTTGAACTCTGTTTGCAATTACGGTATTCAAAAACTTCTCAACTTTTGTTTCACAATTGGAATTCCAGAAATAGTGGACGGGTTTAATGTGTAAAGGAATTTGTTAACTGTTTGAAAATATACATTTATAAAATTCATAATGCACTGCAAAAAGAAACACAGCTAATTAAAGAAAGATGTCCAAATGTTGGATTTTCTTCGTTAAAAAGTTGAATGTTCAGTGATTAACACGTAGGGTCAGCTCAGTTTGTCAGACCAAATGAGATGTGCAGTGCTTGTACAAAGTACATGTACATGGTTTTTTATCTGTATTTATATTTTGAAACGGTGGTTTTTATTTTGGCTGCTCTATACACACTATTTAGTGTTAGGTTAGGTTGAGATAGTTAGGCTTTCACTGAGGTTGGTGTTTTGTAAAAGGAGTAGGGAGGAAGGATTCATGCGACATTTTCTAAGATTTAACCCTAAATTCGCATGACCAGAGCTACAGAAAATTCAACTGATTGGGAAAGGCCGCCACCAATTTTATCCCCGTGTCCTCTTTTCTTTTAAAACAAATATAAAACTATAAAACGATATAAAAATATATATATATAATAAAAAAAATCAAGATTAAATCTATTTCATTTAAAGTTGTTGAATTAGAGAAATATATTTTTCCTCCAAGTGTAATTGAATTGTTTTCAATTCTTTGAATGAATTCAGAGTAAATCCTATTCTCCATTTAATGTATTAAACTAATTTTATCGTTTATAGGTTTTACACCTCATAAGGACTTCCTGCTTGAACAAACTTATAACTTAAACTTCTGTTTATATTAATACAATTATACTCCTGTTCATCTGAAACTAAACTACTCCAACTGTTCAGATTCTGTTTATATCAATACAATTATACTCCTGTTCATCTGAAACTAAACTACTCCAACTGTTCAGATTTATAAATTCCAGTTTATTTCTAAAAAAAATAAACTCCTGTTTAGATCTATAAAAGATAAATCTGTCCTGTTCGACAACAGCTTGAAGGAGGTGAGAGACCAGATCCAGCAGATCCAGTATACTCAGGACCTGGAGCAGAACAGTTTAAAGGAACAGCTACAAAACTTCAAGACGGAGAAGATGAATTCATCAAACCTAACGGGTATTTTAATCCTCAAAAAAAGTTACATTATGTTTAATTATTTTAGACACAGTTTGACATATCTAAGTTGGGTTGCAATGATATAGGGGTTAGAAAATCAGAGTTTGTGTCAAAGACTCAATTCCTTCAAATTTCAGGAGATGATTTGAATCGTGTGAAGGAGACAATAATATGTTTGGAGAAAGATTTGAAGAACCTGAAACAGGATCGGAGAACTAAGGTTTAATTTCACTGCTCTATTGCTAAGCTCTTACAAACAAAACTTTAAAATTTTAAACTATTAACAAACAGTCTCATCCGACTGCGACCTAGAAAGCATCCAAGGCAACATATAAGTCTAGTTGCAAACTGCAAACTGCAATCAAAATAAACAAACTCACAAATTTTAACCTCGTCAAATTAAGCCGGGGTCACAAGTGAGTATGCATGGTGCAGACATTGTCTTCAAGACATTCTTAATATATGCTGTGAGATGACATCACAAAATGGGATTTGTGGCATGCGCTTACCCCTCCCTATGCCGTCCGACCCTCATCCGTTTTCCCTTCCGGCAAAATGTCTTAATTAACATTAAATGTCATGTTAAATAACGTAGCATAATATCGTAAATTTAACGTTAAATTGGGTTCATTTTTATGTTACTACAACGTATGAAAGTGACGTTAACTAACGTTAATGAGTTTTAAAAGGAACGTTATCTAACATTCTGAGAACGCTAATTGGCTTATTGGTGCACTACCAGCAAGAAAAAAGTGCCAAGAATTTGGTTTTACCCATTCCCAAATATTTGCAATAAGTTGGAAAGAAAAAGAAAAAAATAATAATGTTGAACCAAAGTCAAATTATACTGTAGTTTTAACTTTAAAAATGTTCATTTTGCAGTTCAAGTCAAATTCCAGAACATCATTTCACAACCTACTTAATAGAACATTAAATGGGTGATCTTTTTTCACTTACTCTTCACGCCAAAAAAAAGTTGAAAATTAAGGCACGAGCTACGTAGTTAAATATGTTTGTTTATACAGTGTTAGGTATTTTCCCAAAGGCACTATCCCAAGGATCCCAAGGGAGACTTCCCAAGTGACAATTTCCCAAGTGGCAACTTTCCAAATGTTCAACTTTCCAAGCGGCAACTTCCCAAAGGTTAGGTTAGGCCTTCAAAAACGCCGCTGCATTTGAGGACAAGCGCTACGCCTAAGATGAAAAAGGGGGCCGATAGCTGCAGCTAGAACTGGTTAGGGGACAAGCGCCATGCGGCTAGGACAGACGTGGGAAGTTGCCGATTGGAAAATTAAACATTAGGGAAGTTGCTGCTTGGCAGAAAGCCCTTGGAAAGTTGCTGCTTGGGAAAATGCCCTTGAGAAAGTGTCTAACATCTTTTCGAACATATTCTCACGATTCCTGAACAATGAACCTGTATTTATGCAGGACGATGAGGATGAGGAGAGAAGGTTAAGTGTTGAAGGAAACCTACTGGATCTCAGGAACTACGTGGAGAATATCCTTGCTGAAACCAACTCCCACCTGGGCGGTATTGCGGCGGAGGTTGATACAGCGCAGGATAAAATATCTAAGGTATTAAAAGTTAAAACGAACCAAACCAAATTGAGGAAAGAAAGACTAACAAAGGAGGGATAGAGTTATTTGCGCTAAATATTAGAGGCGTAACTTTGGTATTTTAAAGGGGGAGGGCCAGGGACATTGCTATAAAAACTGACCGGGCAAAACTTTTAATGTTCTCTGTTACCTGACTTTTAAAATTGCACTGCAATGTCTGTTTAGGTTTAAAGTTGCAATTCCAGATTGCATTTCGCGACACGGTTTACCCGTTTATATCCTGTAAATTTCCGTTTTAATATTTCTTGAAAGAGCAAATGTTTGTGTTTGGGAAGAAATCATCATCATCATTGCAGAGTACATATCAGAGACCCCCCTTCATTGGAGACCTTGCACGGACATTTATTTTAATTTTGAATATGATCTGAGAAGACTTTATAAGTCCATTTTAAGGAACCATTAGATAACAATGATTACCCCCCCCCCCTCTCCCAGATCATCTCTGCCCTCTGTGATTTTCTTCAAAATACGTCTACGCAAATAGATTCCAGACTTCTAGTACAACAGACGACAACGTAGAATTAGTAGACTTTCAGTACAGCTGTATTCTTACGTCACAAGTGTCAACTTAGTTCTTGTGTCCGACAAAATTATTAATAATAGTGATAACTTTAAAATAAAGTGCTTATCTAACAGTAAAATAAGTGCAATTGTATGTGTTCTTTATTTTCTGTTTTACACTTGTTTATTTAATATTGGAAAATATGTCAACTAATGTGAGAAAATTTCGTTTTTCTTGTTTTATTTGACACTTGTGACGTCGTGTATCCATTTCTCTGTTGCCACCTGTTGTACTTGATAATCTATTTGCGTCTACGTCTACGTCTCTATATCTTATTTAGTTTACTATTTAAAACTGGTTTCAAACAACAATAAGCAGTATGCAACTGCAGTACACAGTTCGGAAAAAATATGACCATTGACCGGGAAGTATGAACTTCTAACAAGTGTGCTCAACTAGGATGTACTGTACATTGTGGTAAACTTAGACCAGTTGACATCAAGGTACTAATGCAAGGAAAGTTAATTGCGGTCGCGTATACTCTGCGTACACATTGAAACCAGTTCTCTCTGGGTGGACTTTGTAAACAAGAATAGATGCATCAGTGTTCGTTTAGTATCCGAGGAGGTTAAAAGCATTTAATTTTGATAATTTTGAAAATTCGCATAATAGTTTCCTATGACCAGAATATTTCACAGATTATTTTTGTGAAAACGGATTCCATGTCAGGCTGTGACATCCGTCTTGTGTTTACTTTTCCGCCCAAAGACAGTACACTGCAGTACAAAAAATGCGTACACCTCTGAAATATCTTTCCTTGCATTAGTACCTTGAGTTGACATAATGGTAATTGACAAAACTGATTCTTTGGAAATTTAAAGATTGACCATATGTTCAAGACTATGTTCAGTAAAAAACTAAATATTGAATTGACTACTAAATACCATTCTAGTGTATGATCGAGTTGGAAGAGATTGCTGGTAAGCATGAGAACCACACAGGGGATTACACCTTCGTCGTTAAAAGCCTGGAGAACAAGATGAAGGAGTTAAGAGAGTACACGGAGAGCAAGCAGCTGGACGCCGTCGAGAGGCTACTGGAGCTGAGGAAGGAGTTTGTCGACAAACATTCAGATTTCCTGGACATGAGTTTAGAGAATAAAAAGTTGGTTGAAGCTTTGGGAACCAAGGTTCAGGATTTGAAAATAGGAAACCTGGAGAGAATAAATCAGGAATTGAATGATCTGAGAACCAAAACTCTGGAGCAAATGAAATGTCTGGAGAAGAATGTTGAAGATACGTCCAGAGCAAACCAGACAAAGTTTGCTGATGTTCAGGCTAAACTCTCAGGTAGAAAAATAGTTCGGGAAACAGGCCAAAAAATGTATTTGTATTTTTGTGACTAAAAATCAATTTCTTTCCCAGAAATGTAATTCTAAGTGTGTAACAATTTGAAGGAGATCAAAATTATTTTTGAGACGGGTTCCTGAGATTTTTGAACATTTCGGAGGGGGGGGGGGGAGATGTGTCAGTTGATGCCGATTTAAAATGCATTGTATTCAGTTTAATTTTTGCTTGTTTGTAGACGTGTTAGCAGAAAATGAGATGGGAAAAAATTCATCTTGGCAGGCTCTCAAGGACGTGAAAACTAACCTGGGCAAGTTAAATTCTGACCTGGAGACTTTAAAGGTTCAGGGGAAGGTGAGGAAGGAGACGATAGACCGACTTAATGAGAAGATAAACCGGGAGGAGAAGGACGGATCAGCAGGATTGAAGGAGATTAAGGAGAAGCAGGCTAAGATCAGGTCGGAGCTGGATATTGTTGGAAACCAGGTACAGCTAAATTTGTCTCGGTTTATAAAATAATGGTTAACAGATAAATATTTAATGGAACTTCAAACTAAATTTTAAGTTCTCTTCCATTTAAAAATTCAAAAGCAGATTTTTAAAATCTATAAAAAAGATATTTTTTTTAATCTGAAAACTGATAACCTTGATTTTCTAGATTTTTCACATATTACATAGAAAAAGGCCAGTCATACAACATCTTTTCTATAATTAAACGCTTAAAATGTAATCATATAAACCTTATCTTGTAAACTACAACAACAACAAGAACGGAAACTATGAATAGATATTGAATACTCATTTGTGTTTCATCATCGTCCATGTTTTAGTCTACACAGAAACTAATTCCTCACCACCAAGAAATCAAGTTTTCTAATCCCTATATCTTTGCAACCTAATAGTGTATTTGAATATTTCAAACTTAAACTTTTTGTGTATCCTACATTTTTCTTTTATGTGAGCGTCCTATCTTGCTTTTCATCCTGTGCATTCTTTGTGTGTATCCTACATTTTCCTTTTATGTGAGCGTCCTATCTTGCTTTTCATCCTGTGCATTCTTTGTTTGTATCCTACATTTTCCTTTTATGTGAGCGTCCTATCTTGCTTTTCATCCTGTGCATTCTTTGTGTTTATCCTACATTTTCCTTTTATGTGAGCGTCCAATCTGACCATCCAACACATGTGTATTCTATCTCTGAGGGGCGTCTTAACTAAAAAAACTCACTACAAATGCTAATTTTTATTCCTTATATCTTTGAACCTGACGTTGTAAACCTTTGACATTTCAAATTATGAATTCTGCTACAAATAGTCAGCATGTGAAATATCAGCTTGCAAAGACATGGAATTTAGAAAATTAAAGTTTGTGTCGTATGTTCAGTTCCTTTTGGAAAAAATATCTTCTGTGAAGAATTAAAATAAGAGGCAAATATTTTACAAACCTTAAAGTTTCGTGAATGTAGTTTATTTTGCAAACTCTGCAACTTTTAAACTGCAAGCTCATGTTCTACCGTTTAATGAATTCTTTTCAAACTAAATCAAGCTGATAAATAGTTTTAATTCAGTTTTGCTTAAAGGCCCTTTCGGAATAATACAAATATAAATTATTTTTCTTCGCCAACAAACTTTTAGAGAAAACTACAGAATAATTACAGTGCAAAAATACATTTCTACAAAGATTAGATATAAAATTCAGAATAATTTTTACAATTCTTGCCCTAAACTAAAGCAGATAACCACAAAGATATTCACAACAAAATTCATTCTAAGATATTCTATCCGAAGTTTCAGTAAAGAAAATTGAATAAATATAGTTGGACATTTATCGTCCTCCACAGAGCTTACAAATTGCAGTAGGAAACTAGGTTTCTTCTAAACGACTTAACCCCAGACTGTTCGTCTTAATGGACAGCTTAGTATTTCTTTTACAGGAACATTGAATGTTTACGAACATTGTCTTTAACTAGTATTTACTTACAGGCTGAGCAAGTGAGGAAGGAGCTAGAGTGTCGGATGGAAAACAATCGAAGACATATCATTGAAATGATCGGATCTACGGAGATTAAACTATCTGAACTGGAGGACAGAATCAAGGTTTCAGAGCTTGCTCTCCAGGATATCAAGGTTACTGAATCCAACCATACGTTGAACCTGGAGAAGAAGATAGAAAACCTGGTTTACAAGATTGATAATTATACATCAAATACGGATAAAATTCGAGGAAATTTAACTGATGAAACCAAGGAGACTCTTGTAGAACTTAGACGCAGTCTAGGTATACATATATTTTAAACACAGTTTAAAATCTCCAGTAGATAGTGTGAAGTTGCGCATCTTTTTGTCCGTTCTTAAATCTATTTTTTTTATTTCAATAGGCCTAACAAATTGTTTAACCCGTTCAGTAACAAACGATATGGTTTTCTTCGATCAGGATTATACACATCTGTCAACGCCGAAAGAAACTGAGTTCTAGTCCCAAACTCTGATTTTCTAATCCTGTATCTTTGCAACCCAATGACGTAAACCTTAGATATCTTAAAATGTAAATTTTGTTAGATCAAACAACTTGAAATTTCAAAGGTTTACACATCAGGTTGCAAAGCTATAGGGACTCGAATTGGAAGCAAGAACTCAGCCCCATTTTGTAGAGAAAATAATTTTTAAATATGATATAACTTCGCAGATGATTTTAAATTATACGCTCAAAACTTCAAAACAGAATACACTAAAAAATTAAGTTTTTGCCACAAACTCTATTTTTATAACCCCTATTTTACCTAATGGTATGCACACTGTAATGGTATCTTTCAAACTTAGACCATAGATTTAGGGATTAAAGAGTTTGTGGCTAAAATTCAGTTCCTTTTGTTGATTTATAAAAACATCTGTAACAATGTTATAATTATTTAGACAACATGAAGACCGAGATGTCAACCTATGAGCTGGACAGCTTCAAGAACATCGTGAACAGTACAACGGAAACCCAGAACAAGTTGATCTCCTCTATGCAGAAGAATGTTGACACCATCTTGAAGGAGAAGAACAAAACTGAACTTTTAGGAATGTAATTTTAAATTATTCCAAGAAGTTTATAAAGTTTAGATTTTCCTAGTTGTTAACTTTATCCTATCTTGGATGCAAAATTTCATTTATTTTCTAGTTGGGAACCTTGAATCCAAACTTTCTAATCTCTCGTGCAACCACGAAAAGGCGGAGACAAAGTTTAGCTCCGCCCTGCAGGAGGAGCATCTGGTGAATGAGAGGATGGAGGAGAGGGTTCAAAACATTCAACTCAATATCAGGGAGATCCATGAGAAATTAAACCAGGTTTGTCTAGCAGATCTTTAGATCAGAAATATGTACTTTAAACGACAATTATTTGGCCGCTAGGTGGCTCTCCCAAGTAAAATCACTGAAAAATCGATAGCAAAGACACCTAGTTGCGGCCAAATTATCGTTGTTTAAATTACATCATATATATTTAAATAAAAACATTATGAAATTTGTACTTTATACGAATGCATCGAAATAAATTTGACATTTATTGGTGATAAAATCTGAATAATTGATTCTAAATTTAATTGAATTATTTACGATCATAGTTGAATAATGCAATTCTGTGGATTTGTATGGGTCTTATAACGTGCCTAGGTATAAGACGGTTTTAACCATTTTATATAACCATTATATACGCAACAGAGAAACGTAAAATAAGTAGAGTTCAATTTTGAATTTAATTTGATATCAGCCTCTTTCATTTTTGCGAACACTCCCTTTAATTCTAAAATTGTTTATAAATTTAGAGAAAGGAGGACGATGTATCCGGATCTAAAGCTTTAGTTGAGGAAATAAGATCAGATTTAAAACAGAAAATTCAAGAAAATTCGCAGAAACTGAAGGAAATTGAGGAATTACTAGGTATACTATACAAAATAGATACATTTTAGATATAAAATACATCACCAAAAAAGTGTTAGAACCAAAACAACAGTGCTATAAATAGTTCTAGTTCCACTGATCTATAATATCAAGTTCTTCAATTTACAATAAATCAGTCGTTTAACTATTTTACAAATGATTGAATAGGACTAAAAACATCTTATTGTCCATCAAACCTGAAAGATTTCAATGAACCTGAACACATGAAGACAACATTCCTTTAGATATTTTAAATGTTTTAGGTACTGAGGTTCTAAAGTTAAAGACAGAAATAACAGCTAGCGGCCAGATTCTTCAAGATAAATTCAACCAGGAAATGTCAGCTAGCGGTCAAATTCTTCACGATAAATTCAACCAAGATTTTACTGAAATCAGTAAAAATAGTCAGGTTAAATATCAAATAACATCCTAGTATATATTATATAGTATAGGGTGTAAAGACTGTTTTGGCTCAAAATTGGTGGAAAAAAGTGCGATCAACGAATAAATGACGAATTATTTTTTTTATCTGCCCTTACTAAAGCAGTTTTAATGTACACAAACATATTCATCAGTGGTGTAACCTTTAGAAAACAAAACAAAAATTAATTAGTGCGTCTAAAAGCAATGTCTGGAAAAGGAGGACATGTTTGAACCTGCGCTTCAAGGACCACCAGGTTAACTTTTGGGGAAGAAGGAATGGCCTCCTAACTCTCCGGACCTCAATCCAATGGTCTATGCTGGAGGAAGAGATGAAGTCGAAAAAGAACCAGCCTCAGAATATTGCTCAATTGGAAAAGCTACTGAAAAGATCCTGGAGAAACATCAGCCTGGAGATCCTGGAGAACCTGAGGCCGAATTTAAAGAATGGTTAATTCCACATAATATTGTATTGCAATTTTCAAGATTTAAGTCGGCACTGAATTGAAACCGGTTTTTGGCAGATTTAAACCGCGGCTCAAGCTCATTAAATTCGGCATCATTGCCAAACCGAGTAAGATATGTCTATAATAATCAGGGTTTTAGAAGTACATTTATTGCTTCTACATGTAAATACATGATAAATAACGAGTGTATTAAAGGAGAGGAAGATGAGTAGGCCTTCTCATGGTTCCAGGATCTGACGCTCCTGATTTGCGGATTTTATAATCCTTTTCGGGGATTTCCTCCTCTACAGGGTCATTATATGTAATAAAATAAATTTAAAATAAACAATTTTTTTGACGCATCTAAACAATTTATTTTGAGCGATGCATTACTTTCTTTACACCCTGTACATTTATTCCAAATTGCTCGTGGAACAGAAATTGCTAATAAAGTTTTTTGCTTCAATCATTCATTATCAAAAAATAAATGGACTGTCAACCTAATTTAAAGTGATTATTTGTTTAAAAAGTGTCATGTTTGATTCACAACAGTACCCATCTAGAAAAGGGGTGATTTCCGCCATTTTTTCCTCATCTAATCCACGAGGCAATATTATAGAAAACGCGCAATTGAAAATTATCCATTTTTAGATAGGAAAAATAGGATTTCTTGGTTAGAAAAAAGGTTTAAAGGTATCGTCAGTGGCACTCTTTATTTGAAGGGATACTTAAAATTACGTTGACTGACAGTCCCTTTATTTGAAGGGATACTTAAAATTACGTTGACTGACAGTCCCTTTATTTGAAGGGATTATAGAAAGAATTTATTTTAGGAACGATCTGCCCTGGCGGAGACAAGACTAAACGAGGTTTTGGAAAATGTTGAAACTCAATCCAAACTGCTTAGTTCAGTTCAATCCTCTCTCTCCTCCATGGATGAGAACATATCCAAATCTTTCAACAAGACGGATGATCTTGAAATTAAATTAAAGTCCTGGACTGAAAATGCGGAGTCGAACCTATCAATGTATGCAACCTTATCCGCCCTACAGGTATATTTGGGATTAACACTAGAAGAGACAATTGTGAGGAATTTACTCCGTCTTTTTTTGTAATTTCTTGGTTTCCTGCAAATGTAAACTTGTTTCCAGACCTTTTCTGAATGTTTCACAAAAAGAATTTCTTCCAGTACTTTTCATCTTCCACATATGTACATTTAACAATGAATGTATATAATGATGTACTTTTTTAAAATGAAAAATGTGCTTTTTCATTTTGTAAGTTTAAGTAGTAATTTTAGCGGTAAAGCCATTTTTCATGTCTAAATGTAATTATCTTCTAAACAGTAGTTTATATATATTTTTTTTTTGGGGGGGAGGGGTCATGATACATGTCATGTTTGTTTGTTTGGATGTCCGATTATAACTCATGAACTCTGAATTGATTTGCCTCAAATTTTGATTTGGGAACTCATGAGAACCACAGGAATGTTCTTAGCTTGGTTTTAAGATTCTAAGTTGAGAGGATCCACGTTTATAGGGAAAATAAGCTAAACTCGTAATTTACGACCAAGCGCGGGTAAACGGTCGGAGTAACTATTATGATTTGCCTCAAATTTTGATTTGGGAACTCATGAGAATCACAGGAATAATCTTAGCTTGGTTTTAAGATTCTAAGTTGAGAGGATCCACTTCTATAGGGAAAATAAGCTAAACTCGTAATTTACGACCAAGCGCGGCTAAACGGTGGAAGTAACTATTAGTAACCTTGGGCAACGCTGGGTTCCCAAGCTAATATTCTATATATAAAAAATTTACGTGTATGTTTTTAGGAACTAGAGAAAGGATTAGAAAAGAGAACTTCCAACGGGCCTGTAAAGGACCTGGAGAGAAAACTAGAAACCTTGAGCGCAGCCTGTAAATCCTTAGATCTGTCATTGATTGATTTAAAGAGTAAGGACGAGGGTTTGGAATCTGAATTGAAGAATATGAAGGTTCAGGTTGAGAACCTACCGGAGATATCCAGCTCCTTGGACCAACTCAAATCTGTTGAGAGCAAGGTAATGATTAATTTTGTCGTGGTTTATATCAGCAAATCCTTGAGTCAGAACTTTTCTGGTGTCTATATCAGGATCAAGATTGATCTTCATCTTATGCAGACCTACGGATGAATTTAATTCCTTTTTGATATCTCGTGGTGGTCATACTAGTAGATAACATTAATTGAAGGATCAATAATTTATTCTCAAATAAAAAAGTGCCCAAATTGGATATCGAGATGAAGCGTTCAAAATTAAGAATACTTTGCACCCGACCTCTAAATATTTTAATTGTTTTCAATTAATTTTCAGTTTAATCAGCAGAAAGCTAAAATAATTGACGTTGAAGCGAGCCTCAGCTTTCAGGAGAGGAGTATAAATAAACTAGGAACAATATCATTAGAGCAATATTTAATCCTTAAATCTTTTATTTAATCTTTAAATTTAACGGAACTGTCGACAATATATAATCCTGAGAACTTGAAGGTACTGTCGACAATATATAATCCTGAGAACTTGAAGGTATTGTTGACAATATATAATCCTGAGAACTTGAAGGTACTGTCGACAATATATAATCCTGAGAACTTGAAGGTACTGTCGACAGTATATAATCCTGAGAACTTGAAGGTACTGTCGACAATATATAATCCTGAGAACTTAAAGGTACTATCGACAATATATAATCCTGAGAAATGAAAGGTACTGTCGACAATATATAATCCTGAGAACTGAAAGGTACTGTCAACAATATATAATCCTTAAAGGTACTATCGACGAGATTTCAAGGATCACTTAAAATCTGGATACATTGATAATTCTAAACTTTAGCCTGAAGGTAATAAATGAGAAATGTTTAATCTTCTGGTTAGAAACAGTATCCGGTTATAATTTCCGTTTTCCATGCATTAAATTTTTAGATTCTGAATTTGACAAGTTCTGAATATGTAAAATGCCAATTTTTCTTTCTTTTTTAGATACTTTCAAGTTTTATTGTTCTCTTGATCTAAGGTTTGCGTTCTATGTTGTATTATGTAGTTTATGATCTAGGTTTAGTGTTATATGTTGAATCATGCAGGTTTAAGATCTAGCTTCTCTGTTCTTTTTTTAGTCCTGCAGGTTCTTTGATCTAATTTTAGTGTTATATGTTGTATCATGCAGGTTTAAGATCTAGTTTCTCTGTTCTTTGATTAGTCCTGCAGGTTCTATGATCTAGGTTTAGTGTTATATATTGTATCATGCAGGTTTAAGATCTAGTTTCTCTGTTCTTTGTTTAGTCCTGCAGGTTCTATGATTTAGGTTTAGTGTTATATATTGTATCATGCAGGTTATAATCTAGATTCAGTTTTCAATGTTTTATCAAACAGGTTCTATGATCTAGGTTTAGTATTATATGTTGTATCATGCAGGTTTAAGATTTAGCTTCTCTGTTCTTTGTTTAGTCCTGGATAGGGTTAATTTCAGTTTGTTAAAGTAAAGAAAACAAGTTAAGACGATAAAATAAAATAGTTATCGAATCTATTAGAATTCCAGTTTGACTTTTAATTTGAAAATGATTTGCATTTGAAAGGCGAGGATGTGAAGAAAATAAATGGAAGCGTATTTGGAAATATCTCCAGTGTTGAGGATAGACTGGGGAAGTTTGAATCTATAGCAGCTGACCTTGTATCTAAGATATCAACGATACAGAAGAAAACTGAAGGTTGGATAAAGGAATTCGAAGTTATAAACTCTGGAAGAACAAGAATAGAAAACAAACTATCACAGATAGACTCCAAGGTGACGAATCTAGGGTATCGATACTTAAAAAGGAATCTGATTTTCCAACGAAAACTCTTAAACCAGACGTCTAGATCACTTCGATCTAACATAAGGAAAAGTTCAAAAGAATTGAGCATTCGCCACAATCTCTAGTTTACTAATCCTTATATTTGTTGCACACTTTCATTATTCAAACTTAGATTATCAGAGCTGAAAACTTAAGAATTAGATATCCTTAATCCCAATTACTTAACCTGAGTATCCAATGGACACACTTCTGATTTTCTTCTTAAACCGTTCTTTCTTGGTTATTGTGGAGAAAAATCAAAAAAAATTGTTGTTTTTTTAGATTTAGAGAGTTCTTACCGTTTCTGTATATAATCTTAAATAGCGCGCAAAATTTTAAATTTATCGGCTTCATATACGCGACTCTGATTGGCTGAATTCTATACACTTTTCAGGATACAAGTACAAGATTAGGTTAGTCTCGATATTTTGAAAAAGAGAGGATCAAGCATTAATCTCAATATCCACCATTCTAAAGTTTTCAGCTCTGATCTAACAGGATCCATAGGTTATCAAAGGTTTACGAAATCAGGCTGCAAAGTTATAAGGATTTTCATAGTTGGAAATATAAAAGGTCTAAGAAATTGGGTTGCAAAGATATAGAGATTAGAAAATCAGAGTTTGTGGCAAAGACTTCATTTCTATACTTTAATTTGACTTAAGACCTTTTTTACAGGAGTTTGTAATATCTAAGGTTTACATCCCTTGTTGCAAAGATATAAGGACAAGATACACTGAACTCACTTGAAAGGGAATGATTTATTTTGTTTCCCGTCCCGTTTTGCCTTATATTATAGACTTTATGTATACTCTAAACCTCGCTATATTATAGACTTTATGTATACTCTAAACCTCGCTATATTTAGGATATTTTACAGATCTTTATATATATATTAGGATATTTAAATTACAAAGGATAGGTTCCGCAAAATGGAGGAATGGCTCAAATTTGGTCAGTTGCTGGGATCTTAGCGGGTATTAATCATTTCAATCCGAGTAAATTTAACAAAAAATTATAAATTTATGTAGATCCGGGCTGAAAAACCTTAGTGCACGGTGAATTGAAACCCCACATTGCAGAAAGGAACCTAAAGCATCCCTAAAACTACTGATTTTATTTGATTTGATATATTAGGATATTTAATATTTGTTTATATATATAAGGATATTTAATATTTGTTTATATATATTAGGATATTTAATATTTGTTTATATATATTAGGATATTTAATATTTGTTTATATATATTAGAATATTTAATATTTGTTTATATATATTAGAATATTTAATATATTCGTGTTTGGTTAGCTTGCAAGCGCTTGCATTTCTGTAGAATTCATTTTTGGAAAATAAGAAATGGAAACTCTCATAATTTTTAAGATTTTGAATCCACGTAATAAAGGATTGAGAAAACTATTTTAAATATTTAAGTATTTATATTGTAAAAACAGTTTATCCTTAAACAATATATACGTAAATGCTACTTTATTGCGATATTCTTTCATAAACATATTTAAAGATTTTATTTGTTTAAAAAAAAATTAAAGGCATAAAAACAATAATAAATTTTAAATGTTTTCTGAGGATTAATTCACAGGCTTAAAAGTTTCGAGAATCTATGATTATCAAAAACCTTGATTAATTGATTTTATGTTGAAGTTTTGATCAGTATTAAATCATCACATTGTATACTATTTTGTGGTTAGGTACGTTTTAAGATGTGAATAACTGGATGTTAGAAAAAAGGTATACAAATGGATCCTGACGTGTAATAAACAATTTAGCAATGAATGGAATTAGAATAAACAAGCTTGATAAATTTGAGAAGACTGATATTTATTTGACGAATCTGACAGTGACTGAGGAGGTGAATAAGCTGAGGAAGGATCAGAAAGAAATCCAAACTAATATAGAGTTATTAATAAACACCTCCAGAACAGAAATAGAAACAATCAAGAAGAAATCCCGAGATGTGAGAGATGAGAGAGATGAGAAGACAAGTAAAGATCAGCAATTACAGTTTACTGCTTTAAGCACTAGGAATATCTTTAAATCCTTTTACAGGATTATACGTAATATAAAGTAATATAAAGTAATATAAAGAGCTTCACCTCCATTTAAAAATTAGCAGATTTACAACCTTATTCTTTATATCTTTATCTCAGCTATTGTTGTTATTTTATCTTGAAAAGCGGTGAATTCTGTAAAGTACGTTCTTTGTCACTGCTGCACATAATGGGAAAGTATCTTTTATAGTAAACCCACAATTCGAAACAATACGTTTTTAGTTTAAAAACCGAGGATATTTTTATCATTATTGCTTAAATAAAGGATAAAAGGGTACCGTTGTGAATCGGGAAGGTCTTTTTCCAAAATGGAATATTACTTGAAAATACGTCGACTGTCTTTTTTACACAATTATTACCAAAGGTTTGCTGAAAAGGGGTAAAATTCTTTGAAAAAGTGCAACCTTGTTCTCCGTTTTCTAACAGAGGGCTCCACCCCTATTTCTGAGCCTAGGACGGAGTTCTGCCCCTTTTTTCTCTCAAAAATCCCCTTTGAATGCATTAAAGGATTTAACAAATATTTTCCAGTATATGTCAGCTAGAAGAAAGTCTGAAAGTACTAGAAACCAAGGTTTCAACTAATCAGGTATCTAGTTAAATGTTTTAAGAAAATAATAAATTCATTCTAATTGTTTGACTTCGTGGTTCAAAATATTAAAACAGTTTCGTAATACTAAGAATTAAAAATAGTTATTTCTCAATATTGAGGTCAATTTTGCAACTCTAAACCCATATTAAAAACAGTATTTTTGGTGTTTAATGAGTTTTGGAATTTTATTAAATAAAAATCTTAATCAGGAGAATAAGAGTTCTCTACCTGTATTGTACACTTACAACTGTTTAATAATAATGATATACTATAGGTTAGGCCAGAATCTCTTATAATAATCAAATATGCAGTACGCTCTCGGTATAGTTCCTGGCCTATACAATTAGTAAAGGATTAGCGTACATCATCACTCTATATACTATCTTAAAATATGAATGTATGTTATATATGAAACTCTGAACGAATCGTACACATATATATTGTCTTTTTATGAAAATGAACATAAATTAAAGTTAACATGAAAGTGAACATGAAAGTGAACATGAAAGTGAACATGAAAGTGAACATGAAAGTAAACATAAAAAGTGAACTTCAAAGTGAACATGAAAGTGAGCATGAAAGTAAACATGAAAGTGATCATGAAAGTGAACATAAAAGTGAATATAAAAGTGAACATGGAAGTGACCATGAAAGTGAACATGAAAGTGAACATGAAAGTGAACATGAAAGTAAACATGAAAGTCAATATAAAAGTGAACATGGAAGTGAACATGAAAGTGAACATGAAAGTAAACATGAAAGTGAACATAAAAGTGAACATGAAAGTGAACATGAAAGTGAACATGAAAGTGAATATAAAAAGTGAACTTGAAAGTGAACATGAAATTGAGCATGAAAGTGAACCTGAAAGTGAACATGAAAGTGAGCATGAAAGTGAACATGAAAGTGATCGAAGGTGAACATGAAAGTGAACATGAAAGTGAACATGAAAGTGAACATGGAAGTGAGCATGAAAGTGAACATGAAAGTGAACATGAAAGTGAACATGAAAGTAAGCATGAAAGTGAACATGAAAGTGAACATGGAAGTGAACATGAAAGTGAACATGAAAGTGAGCATGAAAGTGAAAATGAAAGTAAGCATTAAAGTAAATATGAAAGTGAACATGAAAGTGAACATGAAAGTGAACATGAAAGTAAGCATGAAAGTGAACATGAAAGTGAACATGGAAGTGAACATGAAAGTGAACATGAAAGTGAGCATGAAAGTGAAAATGAAAGTAAGCATTAAAGTAAATATGAAAGTGAACATGAAAGTGAACATAAAAGTGAGCATTAAAGTGAACATGAAAGTGAGCATGAAAGTTAGCATGAAAGTGAACATGAAAGTGAACATGAAAGTGAGCATGAAAGTGAACATGAAAGTGAGCATGAAAGTAAGCATGAAAGTGAACATGAAAGTAAACATGAAAGTGAGCATGAAAGTAAATATTAAAATGAAGATTTAACTAATCATGAAAGGAATTGAGTCTTTGCCACAAACTCAAATTATTAAATCCCTATATCTTTGCAGCATAATGGTGTAAACCTTTGATATTTCAAACTTAGATAATTTGATTTAACAGAATTAATATTTTGAAATATCTGAGGTCTACGACATTGGGTTACTCAGATTTAGGGATCAGAAAATCAGAGTCTGTGGCAAAGGCTCAATTCCTTTAACGTCAAAATGATCTATTGAGTGAGTTAAAGATACTAGAGTATTCATTGTGCGCTTTAGGTTGTTTTTCTTTTTAAATTTTTATTCATGATTTTAAACTTTTTCAATCCAACTCTCTTGAGGAATTTAATAAAACCCTTCCCATTTCTGAACACATATAATAAATTGAATTATATAAGGTTTATACAGGGAGTACCAGAAAACTATGGAATAGGAAGACAACTTTTAGTTATTTCTAGTTACCAATATGATCCAATTAGTAGGATCAATCAGATTTTTGTTCTAGATCTATGGAAACAGGTTGAAAATTGGATTTTAATAATAATAATAAGAGGTTGTGTGGTTTGAAGGAAATATAAATTATTCTATTTAGTATTCCAATCTTAATAAGTTGGCTGAAACTTCTTCTCAAATTCTTTATTCAAACAGATATTTTCATATTAAAAAACATCTTGATAATGTATAAAAAGGCACTTGGATATAATGCACAAAATAACGTAAGGAAAATAGAAAACTTCATATCTTTGCAACTTAATATCGCAAACCTTTCATATTTCAAATTATTAATTTTGTCAGTTCAAATAGTCAAAAGTTTGAAATATCTAATGTTTACTCTATCAGTTTGCAAAGATAAAAGGATTATAAAATTCGAGTTTGTGAAAAGGTTTTTTTTATATTTTTAAATATTTTTAGAACAATCCCATTAATATAGAGTTCTGGGTAAGGATGATTAAGAAGTATCACTTGACAAACTCATCTTATTCTTCTAAGAGTTCCAAAGCTCTATCCTCCACTATATACGCGTAATTGTGTTATTAGATAATTTTATTTTTGTTTTATTTTCACAAACTCCGTATTAGTATTGTTTACAGGAAGTTCTATTGTTTTCTAGAATATTCTATATTTTATATCCAAAAGTAATCTATTTACATTTTCTAGATGGATACAGCTGATCAATCTGGGAGAATAAACTCTAGTATTGAGAATATGAAGATTAAGTTAGAAACCTTAAATACAGATCTAACCAGTCTAAACAATCTAATAAACCAGCAGACAAATAAACATTCAGGTCAGTTACCTCCTTTTATTATTTTTTTTTCTTAAAGCATGAAATTCCCTCCCCCCCCACCATCATGATTTGGTGTAAAGAACACAGAAGAACTTGTATATAATATGGTTAGGTGTTTAGGATACAGGAGAACTAGTATAGAACATGGTTAGGTTGAAGGATACAGGAGAACTAGTATAGAACATGGTTAGGTATGTAGGATACAGGAGAACTAGTATAAAACATGGCTAGGTGTGTAGGATACAGGAGAACTAGTATAGAACATGGTTAGGTATGTAGGATACAGGAGAACTAGTATAAAACATGGCTAGGCGTGTAGGATACAGGAGAACTAGTATAGAACATGGTTAGGTGTGTAGGAAAACTGTATAATGAACATGATGTGTTTAGGTGACGAGGATACAGGACAACTGTATATATAGAATACAGGAGAACTACATAATGAACATGATGTGTTTAGGTGACGAGGATACATGAGATCTGTGTTTATAGAATACATGAGAACTATATGATGAATATGATGTGTTTAGGTGACGAGGATACAGGAGAACTGGATGTATAGAATACATGAGAACTATATGATGAACATGATGTGTTTAGGTGAAGAGGATACGGGAGAACTGGATGTATAGAATACAGGAGAACTGGATGTATAGAATACAGGAGAACTACATAATGAACATGATGTGTTTAGGTGACGAGGATACAAGAGAACTGGATGTATAGAATATAGGAGAACTATGTAATGAACAGGATGTGTTTAGGTGACAAGGATACAGGAGAACTGGATGTATAAAATACAGGAGAACTATATGTTGAACAGGATGTGTTAAGGTGACGAGGATACAGGAGAACTGGAAGTATAGAATACAGGAGAACTATATAATGAACATGATGTGTTTAGGTGGCGAGGATACAGGAGAACTGGATGTATAGAATACAGGAGAACTATATAATGAACATGATGTGTTTAGGTGGCGAGGATACAGGAGAACTGGATGTATAGAATACAGGAGAACTATATAATGAACATGATGTGTTTAGGTGACGAGGATACAGGAGAACTGGATGTATAGAATACAGGAGAACTATATGATGAACATGATGTGTTTAGGTGACGAGGATACGGGAGAACTGGATGTATAGAATACATGAGAACTATATGATGAACATAATGTGTTTAGGTGACGAGGATACAGGAGAACTGGATGTATAGAATACAGGAGAACTATAAATGAACATGATGTGTTTAGGTGACGAGGATACAAAAGAACGACCTGAAAATCCAGAAACATTAGCACTACAAACAACAGTATCTAATCTAGAGAAGGGATGTAAGTATCAACAAAAAGCGATGTATACGAGATTTTTTTTTATTCCAATGCTACATAAAAAAACAATGAATTTGTTGTATTTGCCGAGAAGGGGTATTTCGAATTTTTTAGAGTAACCATTTAAAAAAGAAGAGATATCTATCTATCTATATAAAGTTGATTTGAGAACTCCGTAGAACCACTTGTTTTTAAGATTCTAAGTAGAGTGGGTCTACTTTTACAGAGAAAAAAATAAAATCGTAATTTACGTCCAAGCGCAGTGAACGGCGGGAGAAACTATGAGTATCCTGGGCAATTCAGGGTTCTCAAGCTATATATATATATATACATCTATATTGATAAAATATCTGATCTACTTGCAGTGCGAAGGTTGGATGAAGAACTGAAGAAGAAGATGAATACTCATCAGGAGAATCAACTCTCCCTGATAGAGAAACAGAGGCGGAGCTGGGAGATTACAAGGGAGAAGGCGGAGCAGATGTCTCAAATATTCGACAGTCTTATCATTACAAGTAATAAAGGGAACCGATAATCCAATTGAATAGAGTCATTGCCACAAACTCTAATTTTTAATCCCTATATCTTTGCAACCCAATGTAGTATACCTTTGATACTTCGAAATATGAATTCTGTTAGATAAAATAATCTAAGATTCACAGCGTCAGGTTGCAAAGATTTATGGATTAGAACATTTTAGTAAGTGCGTTTTTAAAAGAAAAAGTCTTTAACACCTTTCGTTGTTAGACGGGTTAAAAAAATCTAAAATCTCTTTTTTTTATCTTTATATCAAAAAGTACATTTTTCCAGACATTCTGTATCTAATTGTTTATCTATCTATTTGTCAATCTACTTTATAATAAAATTACCAATATTTTATAGTTTAGTCAAGAGATTTTGAGCCATCGAAAGAATTTTAAAATGTTGTCTTTACAATTTTTCAAAGGGTTTTATTCTATTATATGGAAATCTCAGTACTTGCAAAAACAAAATAAATAGCCATGAATATGTGGGAACAGTTTTAAATCATAATAATCATTTAATTAAAAAAACTAAATATCTGCAACATTCCTTAACCAGAAAGTTAAGAATACGACATTTGATAAATTCTTCCGATGTCTCTTTATATTTGAACTTAACTGTATATATTCTAGATGACCGGCCATACGTGAGCTGTGGAGTAGATGCTGATATGGAAGGATCAGGACCAGTCATATTTAATCAGTTTGAGCTGATTAACAAGGTTAGCAGTAGCTGATTAGTTATTTAATCAATTTGAGCTGCTTAACATGGTTATCAATAATTGATTAGTTATTTAATCAGTCTGAGCTGATTAACAAGGTTAGCAGTAACTGATTAGTTATTTAATAAGTTTGAGCTGATTAACAAGGTAAGAAGTAACTGATTAGTTATTTAATAAGTTTGAGCTGATTTACAAGGTTAGCTGTATATGATTTATCATTTTAATCAGTTTGAGCTGATTAAAAAGGTTATCAGTAACTGATTAGTTATTTAATCAGTTTGAGCTGACTAACAAGGTTATCAATAATTGATTAGTTATTTAATAAATTTGAGCTGATTAACATGGTTAACAATATCTGATATGTTATTTATTAAATTTGAGCTGATTAAGGCGGTTATCAGTAATTTATTAGATATTTAATCAGTTTGAGCTGAATAATGAGGTTAGCAGTAACTGGTTAGTTATTTAATCAATTTGAGCTGATTAATAAGGTTAGCAGTAACTGATTAGTTATTCAATCAGTTTATGCTGATTTAAAAGGTTAGATGTATATGATTTATTGTTTAATCAGTTTAAGCTGTTTAACAAGGTTAGGCGTAAATAATTTATTATTTATTCAGTTTGAGCTGATTTAAAAGGTTAGATGTATATGATTTATCATTTAATCAGTTTGATCTGATTAACAAGGTTAGCAGTAACTGGTTAGTTATTTAATAAATTTAAGCTGATTAACAAGGTTAGCAGTATAATTGATTTTTTATTTAATCATTTTTTATATAAAAGTTGTACAGATTAGACTCTTTGAAGGTCATAAAACTGAAGTGGCCAAACTGGAGGTCAGATATCTTTCTTTATGTTAGAGCATGACTAACGCGGTTGCTAAAAATGTGAAAACATGTTTTGATTGAATTAAAATAATTGATTGGGAGTAAGAAATATGTTATTTTACGCCTTTTTCTGCGTTTGTGGTGGTCAAATTGGAGGTAATCTTTCTAGATCTTTGCAGATTAGAGCCTTCTTTAGATCTTTATTTTTAGGACCAATCGCAGCCTGTATACAAAATTTGTGTCAAAAAGGTGTCGAAATTCAATTTTAAATTGTCCATGAGACTGCCTAGTATTTTGTAATCATGAATGTTTAAAGCGGAGCAAACAGGATGCCCGTTGCGCAACACTATATAATTATCTGTAACCTAGATTGAATGGGAGAATGAATACGGATTCTGTTTGATGGAACCTGGAGTTTATCTTCTTCAAATCTCCGGGTCCCTGACTAGCTGTACCGCAACGGTCAAACTAGTTTCTGATCAGCTGGAGGGAGAACTGGTTTCTCTCTCCTCCGGTCAACCTGGAACCTTCAGATCCAGATCTACAATATTCACCGTGGAGGATGATGATCGAGACGCTGAGAAAATTGTCGTGGATATTTGTGATAAGGTATACCCCTCCGGACTTATCGGGGTGAGATGAATTCGGTTTCTTCTATTTGAATTCAATCACGTATTGCTCTATAATTCAACAATCTTTAAACTTACGGAGTTATCTGTTTCTACTTTTTGTTTAAAACACATATGCCGACAAAAAATATAAAAGAGAAAAAGATTGTTGAAATTAAATAACTATTTGTCATTTCATGAAACCCTTTTTTATTAGTGTTTAGTTTGTTGAAAAACATAGACTGCACTATTTTACAATTTGGTATTTTTATGGTAGTTATTTTGCTGAGAATCCTAGAAATTGAGAAATTGTCAATTGTTTTGGTCATGCTGATTTAGTAAAGTATAAATACTGTTAATTATTATACTTATTACTGATTTAATATTATTTTAAACACTTTAAAGTTTGTATAATTAGCTTTTAGTTAAAAAAAATATTTACATTGCTCAAGGACGGGTCTGCCTGGGTTGGTTCTGATTTCTCTCTACTCATGTACAAAATATCTGAGGTTTCTAACTCAGAATCAGGTAATAAAATACATAAACATAAGCCTTAATATAAACATAAACATAAACGTACATAAACATAAACATAAACATAAACATAAACATAACATAAACATAAACATAAACATAAACATAAACATAAACATAAACATAAACATAAACATAAACATACAAAAAAACCTTGGGTTTTTATTTTAAAACTAATTTCTCCAAAGGTTAAGAAAATGAATGAAATGTGTGATTTCTTCTTCTGCTGAAGGATTTTATTTTCAATATCCATAAAATCTGATTTTTCAAATATTTCATTTTAGAACTTTGGAAACTTTCAATTTTACTTTTAAACCGGAGAAGGATTTAAAGTATTATAAAAATATATTTTTAATCTAAAAAAATTTAGTATTAATCAATAATCATGTTATTATTATAAAGATTTATTCACACACAGAGATATAAGTACATGTATAAATGGTGTAGTTTAAATTTGTTTTTGAATACATAGTTTTACAAAAGAAAAAAGAAAAATATGCAAAATTATGCACAAATAGGCGACATTTGTATTTTTAAGCTTTCAATGCTGCGTTTTGCGTTTTGTATAATAAGTCCATGTGCCTTGTTAAATAGGGTTTGAATGTCAAAATAAACTGTTTATTATTATTTTATTTTGAAGCACCTATAATAAACTCCTTAGTTTTTTTAAGCCTTTCTTGTACACTGCACTATTCAGCTTTTATTTTAACATTTTTCTTTAAGAATGAAAATATTTTAGAATTCAGTGCTTTCACTATATTTCATTTACGAACAAAATAAAGGATTCAAATATGTTTTATGATTTTATTTCTTTCTTTTCAGACACTAAATTTTGATTTTAAAATAATGTTAAAAAATGCTTGAAATTCATTTTCGAATCAGAAAATGACGACATTATAAATCTGCAATTTGAAAGTAATATATCTCAGACACAAGAAAACTGCCTTGAGACAATTATGTCTGTTCTGTAATACATTACAAACTACATACGTTTTATGTTTTGTGAAGCACAACCTCGTTTACGCTAAATGAATCTGGAAGGTCCTAGTTTTTGTCGTTTTTAGAATTTGTATTAGTATTAGTATTAGTATTAGTATCAGTATCAGTATCAGTATCAGTATCAGTATTAGTATTAGTATTAGTATTAGTATTAGTATTAGTATCAGTATCAGTATCAGTATTAGTATTAGTATTAGTATTAGTATTAGTATTAGTATTAGTATTAGAATCATGAGTAGCTAGATGTTCATACGTTATGATGCCGAAAATGAAAACCATAATATAGAGATAAATTAATTTTTAAATAAAAAATGTCATTCAGCTTGAAAAATTGATTTTTTGTTAGAAATTTCGCCGTCTAAATATGAAATCATGACTTCTGAGATCACAGACCACAGTTTGCTAATATTGTTTTATTCAGGGGACTCCTGGAAGCTTGTGGATATCTGAAAAGTGAAACAAACCATGAATGTAAACTTTAACAAAAAAGATATTTTAAATCTAGATTTTAGAAAGTTGATAACAAAAAACACATTTAGAAGGATAAGAAAAAAGGCTCTTGGGTAATAAAACCAGTTTAATCCAAAATATCTAATTTTCTCTGCGTTTCCTTTTCTGCATTTGCCAAAAAAAATTTATGAATTTCAAAATTTACTTTATTTATAATTAACTTCAGCAAATGCCCTTCGGTTAAATCCATTTTTGAATTGGGACAACTACTTTACAGTAGGGTTTATAGGAAACAGACTTTCAGAAGATAAGACTCAAAGATAATATAATAAAATAAAAAATTATGTAACTTAACATGTGCTCCGTGTGATTGTAGTATTGTAAGCAGGCTAAACCTGTTTTTTACCCTCCCCCCCCCCCCAACCCTGAATCAAGTCACCGAACTTTAACTCCTATGACAATATTGATTAGAAGTATTTAACAAATCTAAGATCATGTAATCTATCAAAATCTAATTTTTCATATAGATCTAGTTTTTAAAATATATAAAGAAATAAAAAAGTATAATTTTCTATATATATGTATTTTACAAGGGTCTGACTTAATATTGTTTAGTTTGACAAAATCTCTAGTTGGAACTAATAAATAAATAAATATAAATAACATTCCGAAAGTAGGGAAGATGGTTTTTATGTCGTCTTATTTTATTCAGAGCTTTGACAAAAACGGTGTTAGATACTTTACCAAAGGAATTTTCCCAAGGGCGACTTCCTAAGTAACAATTTTCCAAGTGGTAACTCCTAAATGCGTAATTTTCCAAGCAGCAAATTCCAAAGGTTTTGTTAGGCCATCTGAGGCTTAGGCTGTAATAGTGGCTGAGCGGTGCGGCTAGGATGGCCTAGGGGGCCGATCGCTTTAGCTATAACAGGCTGGGGGCCGAGCACTACGGCTATGACAGACTTGGGAAGTTGTCGATTGGTAAATTACACATTTGGAAAGTTGCCATTTGGCAAAATACCCTTTGGAAGTTGCCACTTGGTAAAAAACCCTTGGGAAAATATCCTTGGGAAGTTGCCATTTGGGAAAAAAAACTTTGGGAAGTCGCCACTTGGGAAAATATCCTTGGGAAGTTGCCACTTGGGAAAAATCCTTTGGGAAAGTACTGAACATCGGACAAACATCATTAGAAAACTGGAAACTTGAGTTTCTGTTTCAAGTGTTAAGATCGTATTCAATATTGTATATTCCATACTTATAAATGTCCATTCCAGTCTCAATTCATAAAAACCAACAACATAGAAATCTAGATGAACGACTTGAAAATTGTAAACGTTTTTTTTTGACAAATTTAGATTTTAAACTATATTTTATATAGCTAGGAACGGGCATCGTTTTGATGCCCGTTTTTAAACCTCTGAGGTTTTTTAACTTAAAAGTGATCCCCACGAATAGGAGTAAGCTTTGACTACATTATGCTAATAAAATTCTCTGATAAAAGATATTGTTCGGAACGATTTATCTAAACAATTTAATAATTTTTTTTCAAAACAATGCTTATATCAGTACATAGGGTTTAATCATAAAATACGATTTGTGGAACCCCTCCTAGCATTTTCGTACAATAGTGATGAAAGAAATTAGTGTACTTCTGCATGGAAGTAACGCGAGAAAAGCAATTTATTTTACTAAAAATGCTTTTGGGAAAAAGGCTGAAAAAAGTATTGAAATTCGAGTGAATATGAATTATCCACCTTAAATACTTTTATCTCTATTTAAGCGGTTAAGTTTTACATTAAGATAATTAACTTTTTTAATCCGGAAAATAAAGATTTGTTGTTTGTTTACTTTTAGCATCATGTTTTCTTATACTTAGAATATTTCGAAACTAAATGTAGCTAAATCATATAACAGAACTTTAATTAAAAGTTTACATAAAAGACATCCCATGCAGGGGAAGATGCCTTCCGGAGGCAAGATTGTCCGAAAACCGTACTGCACTATAAGTACGCCACAGTTGAAAACCTTGGTTAGTTTGTTGGTTCAGGGTGAGCAAATTATTTAATTGGCTCACCCTGATTAATATTTTGTGTGTTGAATTCTTAAACTGTTTTACAATGAAATTTTTGACAAATTTGACTGAGTATTGCATCTTGAAAGTCTAATGATTATTCAATTACTGACTCATTATACTAAATCCAAATCACTTATTAACCAACGTGATATTTCAAGATGCAATACTCAGTCAAATTTGTCAAAAATTTCATTGTAAACCAGTTTAAGAATTCAACACACAGTATTAATCTTAAGTAGAATTGAAAAAATGGTTTGAGTTGTGCTTTTTTGCGTGACGCAGCTGTATTTTTTAAAATCACACTTTAAAGGCCCTAAATGGGCCATACCAGGGCTCAAAACTAAAAATTGAACTGCTTTGTTGCCTGTGGCAAAATTTAACTTTTAAACTGAACATACTCGCTCCAGAGATGGAAGGTTGGACCATGATGCAACAAAATGATGTTGATCTTTTGAACCGATTCAAATTATCTCCGCAAAGGAATTGAGTTTTTGCCACAAACTATGATTTCCTAATCCCTGTATCTATGCAGCTCACATATCGTAGACCTTTGACATTTTAAATAATAAATTCTGTTAGATCGAATAGACTAAGTTAGAAATATCAAAGGTTGCAAAGGTAAAGGATTAGAAAATTAGAGTATATGGCAAAAAAAAGTTAATGAATCAATTAGAATGTATATGTCTAAAACTAAGTTCTTAATTTATGAATGCAACAAATTCTTGTTGCCTCCGATATTTATTTCTAAAACAAATTAAGCCTCATCTTTTCCTGTTTTTATTATACTGCAATACAATACTCTAGAAAGCTACTTTATCAATTATTCCTCATGATGCATTCATTTTATCATATTATGACAGGAAGAACACTTTCTCAACACTATACTAGACAAATAATAATAAATAATATAAGAAATACAAATATCATGAATGAATATGTAAATATGTATATATTGTAAAATATTTGAGTAAAGTATCTAAATATATAAAGTTGTAATCTCTGTTTGTCTGTTTGTTTGTTTGTCCGACCATAACACATGAACCCCTGGACCAATTTGCCTCAATTTTGATTGAGGAACTCGGGAGACCGATGGAAATGTTCTTAGCCTGGTTTGGAAATTCTAAATTGAGTGGGTCGACTTTAATAGCGAAAATTTAGTTTCCAGATTAGAATGGGGGTCATGATTTTTCCCTGATATTTAAGGATGATTTTCTATCCTTGTTTAAACTCTTGCTTTCCCCATAGGGGTTTTAACTTTAACCATTTCCCCTTTAGAGAAAAAATTCATTTTTCATTGTTACTTGAATCTCCAGGTCATGATTTATCTCTGATCCTTGAGGATCATTTTCTATCTTTTTTTCAAACTCTTGTTTATGATTAATGGCGTGATCCTAGAGGATTACCCGTCGGGATCATTCTGTCCCTAATTATTCCACGAAAATGATGGAAGGTGAGGAGGTCTCTGTCCTCCGCCCTGTCTCTGCTTTACATCTCCAGGTTCACTAGCTTGGCCAACGTCTTGCTATTTCTGACCTTAATAAAGATATCGTTATTGTTGAACATGTACATAGATGGAGAACGTAATAATACTGGAAATAAAAAATCATTGTTGCTCTTTTATTTAAATTGCAAACACTAATTGGTATCCACTTTCCTTGCTTTGCAGGGAGTATTATCAAATTTTTGACTTTTGCAATTAAAAGTTTTTTCTCCCCAATGGCATGAATCCCCCCTTCTTTTCCCTTTCTATTGTCGTCTTTGTTATCAGTCCATAAACTACTCTCCCATCTGTCTCTACTTCCTGCCCTGCTTCCTGGTCTACTTCCTGACCTACTTCCTGACCTACTTTCTACTAGACTGTGTATCCTGACTTGTTGTCAACTAATGACTTATTAATTTTGATACTCCCTGTTTGTTATATCTTTTCCAGAGATGCTGCTCTGGTTCTGGTTGATCCTCTGTAAAAGACTGGTAGAGGTTGTGATCATCCTCAGACTCTTCTTCTTGGTGGTCCTCTTCAGAGGTTTGACTCCTTATCTCTGTAATGTTCCTGCTGTTGCTGTTGTTACCTCCATTGTTGCTTCTGATTGATTCTGTCTTGTTGCTGACACTCTTCTTGCTTTCTCTGCTTCCAGTGTTGCTTCTGATTGATTCAGTTGATAAATAATCATCCTGGTGTTGGCTCCCATGGTTGATGTCTTTGTAGAATTTTGTCAACCAAACTTTGATTGACTTTACATGGTAAATTGATCCTGGAGAGCTCGTCTTCTAACTGTAACATAGCTTCCTTTGGTAGTCTTGGTAACCGAAAAATAGGATTTAAGGTCTCGTTCTCCCATTTTTTTCGCGAGTCTGAGTTTGCTTATATAAGATTTATACTCTCTAGGATTGGGAACATCTATTTCCTTTCTTTTCACTTGAGCTTGATTCACGATTTCTGTGATCTGTAGGAGTCCGGACCACTTCAGATGCAGCTTTGGAATAAGACTTGAACTGGGATCTTATCCAGACATGATCTTGTCTGTGCATCAGGTCAATGATCCTGTCCAGCTCCTCCTTCAAGGTGTGTGGCGTCATCTTTGAATTTTGGCAGCAAGGAAAGGTTAGGCAGGTTTGTCTCCCTCTCTAAAAATAAACTTAATTCTGGGACTGCACAATGTAGAATAATGTTGTGTAGCGTTATATGCAAAAATTAAAAATTAAAAGTGGGTAAACTTTTTTCCCAATCATTCACCCCATTAGCTTTCTTAGCTTTTAACAAGGACTACAAAGTTTTTTGAACTGATGATTATAGGGGGTGCCCACTTTAATGCTCTTTAAAATAATCATCATAGAAACAATTACAGAGTTTTTAAACTTGAGTCCCACGTCAGTCCTGATTTTTGTCGGAGTCCCATACAAGGCTATCCAATGAGTCAGGATTGCTGTGGAGACTGTCTTTGCTAACTAATTAGGAATAGGGTTGTTTGGCCCCTGAGAAGTTACTGTTTACTTTCAGAGGCCGTTCCTTCCATAAACTACATTGGTCGACAACTTGACGTCGTCTATTTTGGTCGTGAAATGTACGGAGAAATATCTATCTATCAGATAAGAATTTAGCACGAGACATCTAGCGGCCAACATATCGTCCCCCAAAGTACGTGAAATACACGACCTCTGCAACCTGAACAATTCGAGTTAGTATTTATCTTTCCAGGAAGGGTTTAGGAACTCTACTGTAGTTTACTTTATCTGGTTACTCTTTATATGGGGCGTAGGAGATTGCTTACTTAGAGGTCCTATCGTTTTTGTCCTGTAGATTAGTTTATTGCTAATTCACTGCTTAAGTTCATTTAGAGGATGTTGCAGCAGCAGAAACGTAGGTAATGGCTTTGAATGAAACACTTTTTGTGTATTTAGTAAACATTCTAAATTTTTTAGCCATTCGCAAATATTTACACACTGGTTGAGACATACTCTATTTTGTAATGATAATTAACGTCTAATTTTTGCACTTTAAAGTT